TACTCTAGGTTTCTAAGTAAATCAAAACCAACAAAGAAACCACGTGATCCTTTGGAAATGTGTGAAACTTAAATAACAGGGGAGTACTATAAATGATGGTCAGGTATGAGGACAGTTCACGTCATCAAAATAGCATGGCTGTGTTATTTTACTTACCAAGTATCTGTGAAATGAGTTGGGCGGCCTACCTACTGTTTCCAAGACTAGAGAAAACTAGACAGCCAAGTGCTTACCCTGCACTTGAGGACCTGAGGTCGGTCTCCAGAACTCACATAATAAAATAAATAAGCAATAAATAAATGCCAGGCACGGTGGTAGGTGCATATAATACCAACTCAGTCCGAGACAGGTGGACCCCTAGGGCAAACTGGCTGGCAAGCCTGGCCTACTTGGTGAGTTCCAGGCCAATGAAAGGGAAAAAGGTGAAGGAAGGTGAATGGTACCTGAGGAATGATATTCAAGGTTTTCCTCTGGCCTACACACCCACACACACGAACATAGTACACACACACTTTCAACATAGTACACACACACACACACACACACACACACAACACAGTACACAAACACTCTCAACACAGTACACACATACACAGACACACACACACACATCCAACATAGTACACACACTCTCAACATAGTACACACAGATACAGACACACACACACCCCCAACATAATATACACACACACACACACCCAACATAGTACACACACACTCTCAACATAGTACACACATACACAGACACAGACACACACACACACACCCAACATAGTACACACACACTCTCAACATAGTACACACATACACAGACACACCCACCCCCACACACACCCAATAGTCCACATACACTCTCAACATAGTACACACACACACACACACACACACACGCACGCACATCCAACATAGTACACACACACTCTCAGCATAGTACACACAGACACAGACACACACACACACACCCAACATAGTATGCACACACACACACCCAACATAGTACACAAACACTCTCAACACAGTACACACATACAAAGACACACACATACATCCAACATAGTACACACACTCTCAACATAGTACACACAGATACAGACACACACACACACCCCCAACATAGTATACACACACACACACACACCCAACATAGTACACACACACTCTCAACATAGTACACACATACACAGACACAGACACACACACACACACACACCCCCAACATAGTACACACACACTCTCAACATAGTCCACACATACACAGACACAGACATACACACACCCAACATAGTATACACACACACACACACCCAACATAGTACACATACACTCTCAACATAGTACACACATACACAGACACACCCACCCCCACACACACCCAATAGTCCACATACACTCTCAACATAGTACACACACACACACACACACACACACACATACACACACACGCATGCACATCCAACATAGTACACACACACTCTCAACATAGTACACACAGACACAGACACATACACACCCAATATAGTCCACATACACTCTCAACATAGTACACACATACACACACACTCTCAACATAGTACACACATACACACATACAAATACCCAACATAGTACACACATACTCTCAACATAGTACACACAGACACAGACACATACACACACATATCCAACATAGTCCACACACACACATACACACACACACACACACACACACACACACTCCCCACAAGCACTCACACTTTCCATCAGGTCCACTGGCAGGACAGCTGAGTTCAAGACCAGAGTGACTGGCACAGAAAACACACATTATAAAAAAAGAACTGATAACCTAACATGAACTATAATCCAACCAGGCAGGGGACTGTCAAGGCTGATGGAATGGACCATGGGAAAGGTTTAATAAATTAGGCCTTGGCAATAGATTTATACTATGACAGAGCTGAACCTTATCAATCTCAAATAGGACATTCTTTTTTAAATTGTTGAAAGTCAGGGCTGGAGAACTGGCTCAGCAGTTAAGGGCACTTGAGGCGCTTACAGAGGACCTTGCCTCAGTTTCCAGTGTCCACACAATGGCTCACATCATTTGTAACTCCAGTTCCTGGTATCTGATACCTGCTTCTGGCCTCCATAGACACCAGGCATGCATGTGGTGTACAGACATACATGCAGGCAAAACATTCATACCCATTAAATCCAAGAAAATTATTTTGATATTGAAAGTCCATGTTCATGCTTAAAAACTCCACTTCTAGGAATTTGTTTTTAGACTATTTATTTAAAGAATTATTGATTTTTATTTTATGTGTATGAGTGTTTTATCTGCATGTACATACGTGCACCACATGTGTGCCTGGTACCCATGGAGGCCAGAAGAAGGCATCAGATTCCCCTGGAACTGGAGCTGTAGCCAGCTCCCACGTGGATACTGTGAACTGAACCCAAGTCCTCTGCAAGAGCAGCAAGCACTCTTAATCACAGAGCTATCTCTCTACCCCCCACCATTAAAAAGTCTTTAAAATATACATAAGCTAAAGTACTAAAAGAGAAGGAAAATTACAAGGGCCAGTGAGATGGCAGTGGGTAAAGGTGCTCGTGGCCAAGTGTGAGGACCAGAGTTCAATCACTGCATCCTACACTGTGGAAGGAGAGAAAAGACTCCTACAAGCTGTCCTCTGGCCTCCCCATGTACACCGTAGGACTCAAACACCCTCACATAAAAATATGTAAGTACAGCCTGGGAGTGGTGGCGCATGTCTTTAATCCCAGCACTTGGGAGACAGAGCCTGGTGGATCTCTGTGAGTTCGAGGCCAGCCTGGTCTACAGAGTGAGTTCCAGGAAAGGTGCAAAGTTACACAGAGAAACCCTGTCTCGAAAATCAAAAAAAAAAAAAAGTGATTAAAAAAAAAGTAATTATGTAATTACATAAATGTAATTAAAAACTTAAAGAGGAGAAATGGAGTAAACTTACAACAGAAGTCACTTTGCACTTTTTTCTTTTTCTTTTTTACCTCTGTACTTGAGTTGAACTCAAGGGTGGGACAGATGGCTCAGTGGTTAAGAGCACTGGCTCCTCTTACAGAGGACCAGGGTTCAATTCCCAGCACCCACATGGCAGCTTACAACTGACTGTAACTCCAATTCCAGGGGATCTGACACCCTCACACAGACATACGTGCAAGCAAAACACTAATGTACACAAAAAATAAAAAGGAATCATTAAGATAAATTAAAAAAAAAAGAGTTGAACCCAGGGCCTTAGGCACACAAGGAAAGGACTCTATCATTGAACTATTTAATATTCTCAGCTCAACTTTCACTCTTTACTCTATACACTAAAACTGAATATATATGTCATTTTAATAATTAGCAAAACTGAAGACACTTATATTTTAGTGTGAGAACAGAGAAAGGAGAGAGAGGAAAAGTCAGTTTGATTCCTAACAACACAGTAGTGAGTAAAGAAGAACTCCTTGGGTTCTCTTATCATTCCTGTTACACGATTAAGTCTCTGGCAAAGCTACTTCCTGAGCTTTGGCTGCTTCATCTATAAAAACCAGATTTTAGTTAATTTCTTTACGATGTTAACCTCTGGGGCACCAACTCTCAGCCGCGTAAGCTGGAATACTTTTAGTCAGTCGATGTCTCGGTTTCTTCACCTGAAAGATGAGGCATGAGTTCGTCTAAAGAGCCTACTTCAAGAATAACCCGGGTCACCAGGCTTGGTGGCGGGCGCCCAAACTGACTGATCCATCTCGTCAGCCCATTTTTTAAACTCTTCTATTGAGTTTTACATGTCTTTCCACGGACTTCATATAAGCTCATGCATGATATGGAAAAGAGACTCAAAATCCCAACCCCAAATCCAATTATTCACAGAGAAAATATTGCACTCACCAAAAAATTGCTTATTGTCCTCATAGTATTTGTTTCCATACTTGTCCTCTCCCACCAAGGTACCGAGCCGTATATCATTTGCCCTGTAAATACACGGGAAAAAAGGGGCATCTCAGAATGGTTCACTGTCCAAGACACCAACAGAAACAGAGCGTGAATACCATGTTCTGCTGCACCAGCTACAGGAATGAGGAGATTGTGGGGACAGTCGCCGGTTGTACATCTCTATAGCCTTCCGCAGAAGGCTCTTGCCACTCAACGTTCAAGGGTCACCTTTCCTGCTAAGAACTCTGGCGTCTCCTGTGTGGTCCCAGGAGCACGTAGACAGGTGAGAAGAAGGAACCAACACAACGGGTGTGCGCTTAAATTATATTTAAACCACGACCTGCAAGCCACAGTACACGTTTTTTCTACCTTCCCTGCACCCAGAGACACGAGTCAGCCAACTCTTCGGAGAGTCAAAGTACTTCATCTTCGCATGGCGAATGTCTCCTGGACTTTTCAATCCACTGCAGGTCTCCAAATGGTTCCCCGCAGTGGCTGCTGCTTGTCGGGATATCAGGGGCGGACACAGAAGATTAGGAGCACCTCCTTCAACTTCTGACTGTATGCCAGTAAGTGCCAAGGAAAACTCCCCAAGGTCACCAAGGGGGCGTCTGGTAAGTCATTGCACCCCAGGACTCGGGGACCGGTGCAGCCCAGCTGTCCCCAGCCCTGCGGGCGTCACAGCCCCATCCATCACTTGGGACTGAGCCGGAGCCAGAGACTTCCGAGGACGATCGCAACCCTGGGACCGAACCTGTCGTCCTTGACGGGGACCGCGGCTCTCCGGGGGGGGGGGGGGGGGGGGGGGGTGAGCGACCCCGGGGCCCCTTTTCCAGGAAAGCAGCCAGCGCGGGGCCGTCCCCAGAGTCCCCGAGTCGAGATCGGGCCCTCCTACCTGAAGAAAATCTTCAGGAGGCCCCGCAGGCCGCCGTGGCCGGTGACCTGCTGCAGCCCGCGCTTCAGTACGGCCACCAGCTCCATGTAGTAAGCCTCCATGGCCCGCCCCTTCCGTGCTCCCGGCAAAAGGCGCCGGTCGGAAGCAGCGGCTAGCGCGCAAGAAACCGGCGGTTGGAGGTTCCGAGCAAAGAAGAAGCCGCGGAGGGCACCGCGCGCACGCGCGCAGAGCTGGAGCCGGCCGGGCCGAGGGAGGTCTGGATCTCACTGCAGGCGCAGGTCGGTGTCCTCCGGAAAGGTGGAAAGAGTGCAAGTGTTTTCAGAGGCTGGACCCAGAAAGCGACCCTGCGGGGGACGGTACACCAAACAAAGCTCCCCCAGATGGGAGTTTCTCCGGTGCATTCTTCAGTTTCTCCCTCCAAAAAAAAAACAAAAACAAAAACAAAAAAAACCGATGGAACCCATTCCAAAAATTCCTTACAGCGCTAGAAACTAAGAAATGCATCACTGACCCCGTATCGGTATTGTACCTTCGATACCGAGTGCATCTGACTTTGAATGCACACGTTGGTGGTGTGTCAGTAGGGAGTGAGGAGGAAATGAAAAGTATAAGATTAAAATACTTCAAGGATTAGCTATTTTAGTTTGCTAGGTTAATATTCAAAATGTAAGCATTTTGTAGAGATTGAAAGGACACTACATAGACTCCATCACAGAGTTAGTGCTTTACAAAATAGTAAAATAAAGAATCCTGGCAAACCCTTAACCATAATAACCAGGGCTGTGCGGTGGGGAGGAAAAGAGAGAGAAGATTCAGATTAATAAAAACTAAGATTAAAAACAGCTGTCAATGAAATCTAAAGGATCATTAGCGAATACTACAAAACTTATATGTTTAAAATGCTGGAAAGGACAGGAAATGGATAAATTCTTAGACACGCGTAGCCTACCAAAATTAATTCAAGAGAATATGAGCAATTTAAACAGATCCATAGCAGTCAATGAGACCAAGGGCGAAACACAAAGTCTCTTAGCGAATAAAAGCCCAGAACAGATTAATTCTTAGTTGAATTCTACAAAACCTTAAAAATAAAAGAGCTAGCGCTAACTTCTCCAAGTGTTCCATAAAGTAAAAACGCTATCAAATTCGTTTGACAAAAGTCAGCATTATCCCGGTACTGAAGCTGAATAAGGCCACTTCACTAAACCTCATAGAAACAAAAATTCTCAACAGAAGCCTTGCAGACTGAATTCAAGAACTCATTGAGACTACACACCATAACCAAGCTGTTTGGATGTAAGTATAGTTCATCCTATGCAAATCAACAAATATAATACAACCCCAAAAACGGCTTTAAGGAGAGAAACCACAAGATTACCTCAACAGATGCAAGAAAGCCTTTGATAAAGTTCAACTTCCTTTCATGTTAAAACCCTGAAAAAAAACTAGGAATAAAAAGAACATACCTCAATATAGTAAACACTGGATATGACAAACCTATAGTAAACATTACCAAATGTGGAAAAATGGAAAGCATTTCCCCCAAAATCATGAACGAGACAAGGGTGTTCACTCTCTCTGCTCTTATTCAACATGACGCTCAAAGTCTCAGCTAAAGAAACAATCGAGAAAGAGAAGAAAGAGATACAAATGGGAAAGAAGTAAAAACAAACAGAACACCCTATTTGCAGATGACATGATCCTGCACTTAAAAGATCCTAGATTCCCCAAGAAGTTTTGGGCTAGAGAGATAGCACGGTGGTTAAGAGCACTGGCTGCTGTTCCAGAGGACCCGGGTTCAATTCCCAGCACCAACATAGCAGTTTACAACTGTCTGTAACTCCAGTTCCGGGGGATCTGACAACTTCACACTAATGCAAATAAAATAAAGTTAAATAAATTAAAAAAGAGAAAGAAATTCTTAAATCAGACAGATACTTTCAGCAAAATCAGGATACAAAAATCAGTATGTCTCTCTGTACCAATAACAAACTTGTGGAGAAAGAAACCAGGAAAACCATCCCATTTATGAAAAAGACTCTAGATGAGCATTTCAAGACCCTGAGGAAAGAAAGTGAAGAAGGCACTCGATGATGAAATGATGTTCCATGAATGATGGTCCATGTTCATGGAGTGCCAGAGTCAATATTGCTTACACAACCTTATTCTTCATTTATTAACCACAGATACCACCCCATCAACTGTTTGGTTCCTGAAATAATACAGTCCATATATAAAAGTCAGATGAGTGCTTGATTCATTTGGAGCTATAGCAAACTCTCTCTCTCTCTCTCTCTCTCTCTCTCTCTCTCTCTCTCTCTCTCTCTCTCTGTGTGTGTGTGTGTGTGTATAAGAGAGAGGGAATATAATTTATAGATTTGACTAATTTAAATATCTCATATAGGTGGGATTGTGCAGTGTCTACCTTTCTTTGCTTTAGATTTGTGTGTTTATATGTATGTGCATGCTCATGTAGAGGTCAGAGGACAACATGTTGTTCCTCAGGTATCATCTACTTTTTTAGACACAATCACTCATTGGACTTGAACTTGTAAAGTAAACTAGACGTGCAAGACTGAAAGCCTCACCGATCCACCTGGCTCCACTCCCTAGCACCAAGACTACCAAGGTGCCACCATGCCCAGCATTTTCTACATGGGTTCTGAGGATGTAACAGGTTCTCATGCTTGCAAGGTAGGCACTTGGTGACTGAGCCTTGTTTATTTTTTTCAACATACAAGATTACCATCAAGGCTTGGCAGTGGTGGCGCACACTTTTAATCCTAGCACTCAGGAGGCAGAGGCAGATGGATCTCTGAGTTTGAGGCCAGCCTGGTCTACAGAGTGAGTTCCAGGACAGCCAGGGCTGTTACTGTTACACAGAGAAACCCTGTCTCAAGGAAAGAAAGAGAGGAAGGAAGAAAGGCAGACAGACATGAATAGTTTCCTTTCTGAGACTAGATGAATTCACTTACTATGATTATCTCCCGTTGCGAACATTTTCATGCAAGTGACATAACACTTCATTCTTCTCAGAAAAATTCGTCACTTTATAACTGGATCATTTTTGCCACATCATCAGGAACGTTCACCTTATGGTATGAATGTAGCTCACCTGTGTATATATATGTAAGTGTGCAGGTGTATATACATGCCCATGAACTTGTGCAGGTGTGAAGGCAGAGTTCAAATCTGGGTGTCTTCTTCTATCAATCTCCACCTTATTATTCTTTAATGTGCATGGGGGTTTTACCTGCATGCATGTCTATGTACCACATGCACGCACAGGTGCCCATGGATGCCAGAAGAGAGTATCAGATCCCTTGGAACTGGAGTTACAGACTGTTGCGAACCACCCTGTGGGTGCTGGGACTCAAACCCAGGTCCTCAGCAAGAGCAGCCAATACTCTTAACCTTATTTTAGAATATTTTTTATATGTATGCTAGTTCCTGAACGTATGTACATGCTGCCCATGTGTGCAGTATCCTGAGGCGGAAAGAGGGAGCCAGATCCCTCGAACTGGAGTTACAGATTGTTGTGAACCACCATGCGGGTGCTGGAAAACAGATCCAGGTCTGCTGCAATAACAGCCAGGGCTCTTAACTGTTGAGCTGTCTCTCCAGCTCCGCCAATCTTATTTTTGAGACAAGGTCTTTCACTGAACCTGAAATTTGTCTAGACTGACTGGCAGAGTGCTCAGGATCCACTTGTCTCAGTCTCCACCCCACCTCCTGCCCCGCCCCCAGCACTGAGTTACAGATGCACACCCCTGTACTTGGCTTGTATGGCTTCTAGAAATCCAAATTCACATCATGCTTGGGCAGAAAGCATTTTACCCACTGAAGCATCTCCCCAGCCCTTGGATCACTGTTTTTTTGTTTTGTTTTGTTTTTTTGTTTTTGTTTTTTTTTTTTTTGGTTTTTCGAGACAGGGTTTCTCTGTGTAGCTTTGTGCCTTTTCCTGGCACTCACTTGGTAGCCCAGGCTGGCCTCGAACTCACAGAGATCCGCCTGGCTCTGCCTCCCGAGTGCTGGGATTAAAGGCGTGCGCCACCACCGCCCGGCCTTTTTTTTTTTTCTCTAAAGATTGAATAATAAATAAGCTCTACTTCATGTATGTATTAACTATTCTCTATCCACTCCTTTATCATGGTAATTTAGGTTGCTTTCATCTCTTGACTATTCTGAACAAAGTTCCAGTGAACATGGGTGTGCAAATATTGAGGTCCTATTTCCTAAGCATATGGTAATTTTGTTTTAAAGGAATCATTATATTGGTTGCACCACTTAATTGTCCCACTAACAGAGCACAGGGTTCCAATACCCACCCTCCAAACACAGAGTGAAAGACAGAGGTATGAGGATGTACTATAAGGTGAACATTGTTGATGCTGTGCTAAAGGAAATTTTTTAGTTATCTGTATTTTGCGTGTGAGTGATGGGTGTTCTTTACGTATTCCTCACCAACGCTTATTTTCTTTGATGACTAGAATGCAGAAGAGTCACAGGGGGAAGAAAAGGCAAAGTGGCTTCCAGGTGACTGTCAACTGGGCTGTGAGGAGCAGAACAGGGGGACTATGGACACGGCCTGGTTCTGCCCACCAAAGTCCCAGCTAACAGCCACCGACAACTTCCAGCAACATGAGTGACTACAAAGATTTGAATCCACGACTTCTGCATGAATCCTGGTCCCTGACAACCTCTGTCCATACTGTAGATTCATGAGAAAATGCACATTTCAGCTGGAAGGTTTGGGGTGACTTACTACAAAGCAATTGATGCTTGAAATACTAACAATAGTTAGCCCCTTCTAGATCCTTCCCTGCTCACACCTTCTTCCTACCTCCCTAACTATACTTATTATTATAATATACCTATACTTATTATTCCTAATGCTTTTCCTTTTTGACCACTAGTTTTTATATGTATATGAACATAGAAAAGTATTGTTATGCATATATAACAATAAACTGGTTAAATCATATTCTGCTTGCTTTATGTATTTATTCCTGTCAATACAGGCTAGCTCTATTTATAAAATCTTATCACGTGCAAGTGTGCATGAGTGTGTGTCTGTATGTGTGTGTAACGGGGGCATGTATGTGCCATGGTGCATGTGTGGAGCTCAGAGGATAGAGACTGAACTCAGGTAGCAGGGCTTTCAATGGAAAGTGCTTTGACCCACTAATTTATCTAGCTGGGCCATTATTTTTGCTCTTAAAATACTTACATGATTTTTCCCCTTCTAGTGCTGAAGATTCAACCTAGCATCTTATAAATATTAAACTAAGCACAAGGATCCTTCCCCTGCCCTATGACATGGGAGACATCCGAACACTGAATAAATAGGTTACTGAAATAAAATACATGGACAGGATACGGAAATTTGTAATGCAAGTCACATTTTAATACAGTTTCAAAACCACTTCCCGATATAACTACAAATTTAGTCAGGAAAAATATGACATATCTTAAGCATTGGTACACTGCTTTAAAGCACTGTTTTTCCTGAATCCTTTGCTTACTATCTGAGATGACAAAGGTTTCAGAGGTGTCCAACATTTTGACACTGTGATACGACATTGTCATCTACAGATGTGTTAGGCTACAGGTTAGACATGCCCTACTGAAATAGTCTATGTGAGCATTTTATGCTCTGTGTAGTTTTTCCCCCAGCAGCTTATTATAAATAAAGCTGTTGGCAAAATTAAACAGGGAATAAAGCCCTCGTCGTAAGTTGATAAAATTTGCAAGATTATACTTTTAAACATTTTGTTACTATAATTATTAGTAAAAGCCACCCCCATAGAAAAATTCAGCAAAAATCTTTATTAAAAGAATGTACTCTGGCTGCCATAAAATCTCTACATTTGTGTTTAAAAAATAAACAAATATCAGCATGTGGTACATGTCTTTAATCCCAGCAATTGGGAGCTGGAGGCAGGATGACCACTGCAAATTTGAGTCCAGTCTGGGCTGGGAGGTAAGATCCTGGCTCAAAAAACCAAAACAGAGAGGAAGAGGGAAGGGAGAGAGGAGAGAGAATATTAACAAACAGATGAATAGATTTACCAAAGGGATTCTCTATGAAATCAGAACAAAGAAATATTGATTGCTTGTAGTACTGACGTGGAAGGCTCAGGAGGCTGAAATGTTTTTGGTGTAGCCAATGAGACTTCATGGTGTTTTAACAGTCCCTCTTCTACTTAGTGGAGGAAAAAAACCTCCGTCGGCTCTCCTTTTACCTTTACAAATCACCAAGGGCTTTAATTATTTAACTCACCTGGGGACCATATTGGCTACGATAATTGCATTACTTAACAAACTGGGTGAGTCTTTTTAAACGACCTAATAAAACTGGCTAAAAGCCAGGGTAGAATGGAGAAGCTGAACCCCATCTGTGGAGAGGCTAGGTGCTTTCTGTGGAATGGAAAAGCAACAATTTTAATGCCCAGTCTAAAATATTAACACATCCTGGGTTCAGTCTTGACTGTGTTTAGAACACAGGAAACCCAACATTTTAAAACCAGATCTCTATCTTGTTCTCAAAACTAATTTTCTACCACAGTGAATAAAAGTGCTCATAACTGATAATATACAACACTAAAAACCAAAATTACAAATGGCTTCTGTCTCATTGCCAGCAACGAGAGTGTTAAATGCTTGATAGTTATAAAAGCTAAAAATATATATTCATTTCTTACTTCCCATAGTTCTAAAATTATCATTATATAATTGAACATAAAATCATCTTTTGACCTGCTAACTAAAACGATTACATTTTGGAGGAATAAGATGCAGCTGCCTGGGTGTCTCATTATTACAGTGAACCAGCTCAATGGAATTAAACAGGAAGAGAACACAATTCAGGGGAAATACTAGTTTATTTGTTTTATAAAATAGAATGAGAAAGCTTAGTGTAGATGGTCAGGAGGAGACAGTCCTGGGTGTCACCTTGATCAAGAACAGACCCACACATTTCTAATTCCTCCCCCAGCACAGACCGGGAAGTCTATTCCGGATCCCTGCCTCGTCACTTCAATTCTTCTTAAGGAATCCAAAATAAAAATACTTTGAATTTTGGTTACTCTTAAAGTTAGTACTTGCAGATGCCCTGGAAGCAACAGTTCAATTTGGTGTCTGGTGTCCCAAGAAGGAACAGTAAACTTAGTCCACAGCCACGTGCCCTCGGCTTTCAAAGGCTGTGACCAATTATCTGCGAGTTGTAGTCCGCGGGCTCCATCTTTAAAATGTGTGGGATGACACTGTCGATCCGCACATTCCCAATGAGACCTTTGAAGAACAACTCCTCGGTGATGGTGGCGTTCATCAGTCTCAAAGCCGGCAGTCTGAGAAGTAGTCGGGACAGCCTGGAAGGAAGCAGCGGAGTCAGGTGAAAAGCCAAAGAGACTTAGGAGAAAAGCATCCATGCCAAAATAAAGAACAAAATGTCAAAACCCAATCCAAAACTTCAGATTGTCAAGGCTTCGAATGACATGACAATCACCTACACACGGCTCCAATCTCCACAGCAAAGCCGTGCTCTGCACTGCTTCACCACGACCACAGAACTACATTATTAAACCATGAGTCAGGTTCTTTTAAGAACAGCTTCCCAACAATGTTTTTAAATGTTTTAACCATGGTTTTAAGAACAATGTTTTATGTTATCAGAACACGGGAGGGCTGATAACTTTTCTTTTGAAAATGCACACACACAGAGACACAGGCAAACACAGAGACACACACACACACAGACACAGAGACACTCACACAACAGAGACACAGGCACAGAGACACATATAGACACACACAGACACACAAAGATACATACACACACAGACACAGACACAGACACACAGACACACACATACACATACACACATACACATACACACACACACACACACACACACACACACACACACACACTCTTCTAGAATGGTCTAACAGGCAACCAACGCCATTATAAAGATCATGGCTATGGAAACTGGTCATTGGGTTCAAACCGTGACCCAACTGCCCCTTTTACATGAAAGCGTCACTTCCTCCAGGCCTTTCCACAGAGCTGGTGTGAAGATGAGTGATGCTTCCTGACTAATTCAACGTTTAGGAGTAAGTTCATAAAGGCAGGACCATTAGCTTGTGTGAAAGTGTATTTGAAGCTAAAAATTGCAGTTCAAGGGTAACAACTTTACATAAGCAGGGATGTGAAAGACTGAGAGAGCATCCTTACTCTGGTGCTCTGGCTTGTCAGGAAGTAAAACAAGGGTTATCTGAACACAAACCCTGAACGAAACACCTGACACCCGAGATGGGTACCACACGGTCAACAGGAGAGCAGTCTGTACAGCATGGATATGCTAGGCAGAGGGTGATGCAATCCAGGATGGGACAGAACAAGAGAACACGACCTTTCATGGCTACTCACAATAGCAATTAGAATGCATGAATAATTCCTGGAATTCTTTAGTTAATATTTCTAGTCTGAGACTGACCACAGGTAACTGAAACTATGCATAAAGAAGCCTACTAGAATTTTGATAAGTGCATAGTATTATCATAAGTGCAACAGACATTAAACCCAGCAAGCATGGTATCATATGCTTATGATTCTTAATCATTCTGATCTACTGTCCTTTCTTCAGAGATAGGTGGCTGTTTTTATAAAAATAAGAAAGGAGAGTTGCCTCCCACTCCAAAGAACATTGGCAAGAAGTAACTTGGAAGACTTATCATAAGTTGTGTTTCAAACTGAATTATCTACCAGCTGAAGAGTGTTTTAATTCATTGTTTTCCTCTCTCTTTTCACTAATTATTTCATCTGAAAAGTTGGGCTCTGACAATCCTGTGTCTTTGAGCCAGGTCTTCACCCTCTATTTAAAGCAGTGGTTCTCACCCTTTCTAACGCTGCGACCCTTTAATACAGTTCCTCATGCTGTGGTGACCACCAATTATAATACTGTTTTTGTTGTTACTTCATAACTGCAATTTTGCTGCTGCTAAGAATCATAATGTAAATACTTGTTTTCCAATGGTTTTAAGCAACACCTGTGAAAGGGTTGTTCAACCCCCAAAGGGGTCTTGAACCACTGATTTAAAATGAGAACTCATTAGCTATTGCATGTGAGGTCTGGTAACAGCTAGTTTGTCCCCTCTGTTGTTGGTGACTCTGTGTGTCACCACTAAACTAAAGCCCTGGGAACGTCTTCAGTTCTGTCTTTTTGTGGTGCTGAGAAGGACACTCAGGAGCTTACATACACTAAGCAAGCACTCTTAATGCCAAGCTGCAATGACAGTCACATTATGGCCTTCAATAGCATTAACCACTGCAAAGGTCAGGGCTGACTAAAACACTTCATTCCTCCGAAAATGGAAAATGATGCAGAACAGATTTACTAAAAAGCTTTTAGGCCAGGCATAGTGTTGCATGTCTAGGTATAATCTCAGCAATCTGGAAGCAGAAGCAGGGGAATCATAACCAAGGCTATCCTTGGGTACATGTAAATTCAAGGCAGCGTAAGCTACATGAGACCCTATCTCAAAACAAATGCAAAAATAGCTAGAAGTTTCTCTGGTCCTGCCTGGGCCCTGCAGTCCCATGGCCTGCTTATAAAATAATCACACAGAGGCTTAATATAATTTATAACTGCTCGGCCATTAGCTCAGGCTTATTACTGACTAGCTCTTACACTTAAACTCAGCCCATTTCTGTTCATCTATATGTTGCCTCGTGTTCTGTGGCTTTACCTGTGTGCCATTACATGCTGCTCCCTGGATGGTGGGCTGGCATCTCCTCACTCAGCCTTCCTCTTCCCAGAATTCTCCTTGTCTGCTTATCTCGCCTATACTCCTGCCTGGCTACTGGCCAATCAGTGTTTGATTAAACCAGTATATAAGAGCATTATTCCACAGCATACAAATCCTTTAAAAGAATGGCGCTGAACAGCATAAGTCTTGAGGTACCTGTAGGTGTCATCTGGATACGTCCTGGTGATATAATCCTGGAACTCCACATAAGCCTTTTCCTGAAATCTCTCAATCAGCTCCATGTTCTCCAGGCCTGGATGATCTAAAACATAAAAGAATATAGTTACCCAAGTTCTGAATGCTCACTTAATAATTCATGGATGTGAAGAAGGGGGAGGAACCAATAGTTCATCAGAAACAGAAGCGCCACATACAATGTTTTGCTCCTTCATTCCATAAGTATTTACTGGATACACCACCAAACACCACATTGTAGCCAGTGGTAACTATTATAACATCTAATAAAAACCAGATCACTGTGTGTTACCAACATGTTTTCTTCTCAAAAGTAGTGGAATGCTTTTTTGTTGTAAGACTAAAATTAAAAGACTAAATTTAAAAGCACCTTTAATCCACAAAGTATTTGCAGGTTGCATCTGTCAAGGAGCCCACCAGATATGGCCAAGTTTTAAAAGTACTTATGAAATTATGAGTTACGAGCACTTTTACCTCTCTCAGAAAAATCATAATGCAGGAACATGACCTGATCTACAAAACATTTTGATTGTCATATTTCACAAAACAGAAATATTTAAGGAACTCCATCAATTTATATCTAACTTTTCAATTTTACCCCAAGAAAACAAAATTGGCTAAGGGGTTGTGCTAAAACGGAGACATGCGTGGCTCAGGGCCAGAGCTATCTCCCGTCCAGTACGGTCCTATGCTGGAACTCAGCACCACAAACAGGAAAAACAGAGTGAGTGAAAATGGAGGGACCGATCACCAGCTCATGCAAAGCACTCTCTACTAGGAGAAAACGTTTCAATATCTTATTCATATCACTGAGAGGAAGAATCAGGTTTCCCCAGTTTTATTAGGACACACAGGAACACAATACCTACAAAGTGGAAACACAGACCCTCGGAAGACTGTTGATCCCTCCTACTCATGAACTAGAGATCTTAATGTCAGTTTATTGAAAACTAGACACTGTCAGGAAAGCAAGAGGCCCATCTTTCTACATTTTTTACAGTTTTCATAAGATCCTGAGAGTGTAACAAACCCTGAGCACAGCAATAATTGTCTTGTGTTCTGGCTTTAATAATGCCTAACAAGATAAACCTAAGAATTCAAATAATATAGGCCTATGTGTTCCACTGATTACCCATGAAAGTGTCTGATATTCTTAAAATCACATTTAGAGCACAAAATTAGATGATTTTAGAATATTCAGAGTTTTATACTTATTATCACAATGTAATCATGGGACATTTTTATGATTCCAAACTGACCCCCAACCAGTAGCAATCACTCCCCATCTCCCGACTCCTTGACTCTACAAATGACTAATTTACACTCTTCTTCATGCTTGTCTATGTGGGATTATTTCATATAAATGGGAGTCAAAGAATTATGTGAGCCTGTATGAGTGGCTTCTTTCACTTAGCATAATGTTTTCAGGGTTTATCATGTCACAGCATATATCAAAACTTTTTATGCTAATAGTATTTCACTGTATGCACATATTACACATACAAACCAATCAGTCTTTAAATTTTCTTATTACATTTACATATTTGTGTGTGCGTGTGCACGTGCATGTGCGTGTGCGTGTGTATGTATGTACAGGAATACATGCCACAGTGCATCTCTGGAGGCCAGAGTCTTGCAAGAGTCAGTTCTTTCCTTTTTTTTTTTTTAAACCATGTGGGTCCCAGGGACTGGAACTCAGGGCACCAGGCTTGGCAGCAAGCACCTTCCCTGGCTGAGCCAACTCACCACCTCATTTTCTTTTCTTCTTGTGTTGTTTTGAGCCAGAGTCTCATTTAACCAAAGGTGGCCCAAATTCGCTATGGAGAAGTTGTCCTTGAACTCTAATCATCTCACATCTACCTGCCGAGTACTTAGATTAAGGGCGTATCCCAGAAGCCTGGCTTCATCCATTTCTTGATGGGCAATTACACAGTGTCCATTTTTTGGCTACTGTGACTAGTGCTAAGATGAATATTCATGTCCATATTTTTGTGTACATATATACTTTTCTATTTTGGAGTCAATCGGAATTGAATATATGCTTAATTTTTGTGTGTGTGTGCAGCAAATATACTTGTTATTATAGGAGTGTTTGTGTGTGTGTGCGCACAGCAAATATATTTGTTATTATAGGGGTGTTCATGTATGTGTGTGGCATATGCACTTGTTATTACAGGTGTGTTCGTGTGTGTGTACGATATATGTACCTGTTATTATAGGTCTGTTCGTGTGTGTGTGTATGTGTGTGTGTGTGTGTGTGCGCAGCATATCACTTGTTATTATATATTATAGGTGTGTTCATGTGTGCGTAGGTCACAGGGAGCCATCTGGCATCGTTCCTCTCTGCCATTATGTTTTGAGACAGAGTCTCTTGCCAAGCTTATCAATTTGGCTAGGGTGGAGGGCCAATGAGCTTTAGAGATCTGTCTACCCACTCCCCAGGGATCTGGGATCACAGGCACATGCTAGCCTAGCTTTTTATATTGGTTCTGGGGACTGCATGACATGTACTTTACCCACTGAACATATTTCCCGGACTCCTTACATTTAATGTTCTGAAGAAGGGCTGAACTCTTGTCCAAGGCAACTGCACCATTTCACATTCCTACCTACAATGGATGAGTGCTCCGACTTCTCCACGTCATCCAATACTGTAATGAGACACAAACGTCCTGGGCATGGCGGTGCATATCTGTAATCCTGAACTTGGGTATTTGAGGCAGGACTACCAAGAGTTCAATTCAAGCCTGGGCTACATAGACAGTATCAGCCTCACCATGGCTACATGTCCAAGACCCTGTCTCAAAACTACAAAAGTGACTAAATAAATGATAAAGAAAACACAAAAGACGTGTTTACAGACCTGGACTGAAGAGTACTATTGCCTTCAGGTAGGCGTATTCATATCCGTCGATGCAGAGTTTAACCATGCTGTTACAGAACTCCTGCAACTTGAAGATGTGCTCCATCAGTGACTTTCTCCTTTCAGGTGACATTTTGTCTTTAAAACACAAACACACACACGTCTAATTGTCACTGAAAGTGTTTGACGGTTTTCATGCATTTTCCTTCTCACTTTCCCTCCAAGACTGAATGTAATCAATCTCTAAATGCTTAGAATTCAGAATCTCTGCATAGCGAAGAAGGTCACCGCAAATCACTTTCTGGTATTGCTCATTCAAGAAAAAGGAAGTAAAACCCCAAACTCAATGTCCCTCTTCAGACACCCCTTTAGATGCAGAGGCAGCCATCTGAAAACGACGCCCAAGTACAAAGCGGGGCCAGGGATGGAGGTCAACTGACAGAGTGCTTATTTAGCACTCAGGAAACCTTAGATCTGATGGCGCGTACTGCACAACCCTGGTGTGGTGGTGTGCACCTCCCAACGCTTGGGAGGTAGAGGCAGGGGATCAGGAGGTCAAGGTCATCCTTTGATACTTAAGGAATCTGTGGCCACAGAGACCCTGTCTCAACAGAAACAAAGAACAACACCATCAAAAACTAAGGTACAAAAGACTCAAATGTTTATAATAGGATTCTATTTAAGTTTATGTCATTTGGAAAAATAATGAGGAAAACCATTTTCAGTTTTAAAAATTAGAAACTCTAGTATAATAAAGACAAAAACTGAGCAAAACACATTGCTAAGACCAAAGAAAAGTTGAGAAAAATAAAGTCTTACAATATTTACCTTATCTAAAAGGGATGCGTGTAAAAGCCATCTAGAGTGTTTAATGGACTGCAGCTTTCCTGAAGGCATGCTGTACAACACATGAGCAGACAGAATGATTCAGGACCAGGGATAAGAAGCAAGTGTGGTGCTGCCTTTTGGGAGTTTTCTCGCAGATGAGATTTAAAGTGATTTTTCAGTCCTTTCTGAGGAAGCAGATGATTTTAAAATAATGTAAAGAAAAAATCAGGTGTGATGGTGCATAGCTGTAACCACAGCCCTTTGGGAGGCTAAGGATGGAAGGAGAATAGTGTAGTGTAAGCCTGTGCGGCACAGTGAGGTGAGGCCAAGGGGAGACTCCGCCCCTAATCACAACCACAAGAGAATAGTGTAACGTAAGCCTGAGCTACACAGTGAGGTGAGGCCAAGGGGAGACTCCACCCCTAATCACAACCACAGGAGAATAGTGTAGTGTAAGCCTGTGCGGCACAGTGAGGTGAGGCCGAGGGGAGACTCTGTCCCTAATCACAACCACAGGAGAATAGTGCAGTGTAAGCCTGTGCGGCACAGTGAGGTGAGGCCGAGGGGAGACTCCGTCCCTAATCACAACCACAGGAGAATAGTGTAGTGTAAGCCTGAGCTACACAGTGAGGTGAGGCCAAGGGGAGACTCCGCCCCTAATCACAACCACAGGAAGAAAAAGGAGGAAAGGAGAAGGAAGAAGACGTGTGAGTGGCTAGCACACCCCTGCCAGGCAGCATGTGGAGAGGGCTGGGAGGTGTTGAAGGCGGGGGAATCTCAGGAGCTCCTGAGATGTTGTCCTGATAAAAACAAATACCAACCTAAAATACAAAACCAACAAAAACAAGGGGAAACAGAATGTACTGGGGACCTAAAAAGTGACAAGTGTATAAATTATTCCTGAGCGTAAAGGCAGTCGTGTTTTAATTAGTCAGCCATTTTCAAAGTGTTAAGTTACTGCCTGCCTGCCTCCTCAGATGAACAAGCATCTAGAAATTAAAAAAAAAAAAGCAATAAGTAATCAGTGACTTTCCGGTTCCCTCTTCTTGTAGGAAACTTTTGGGAGCTGGGTTTGGTAGTGTATGCCTTAAATCCTAGAGTTCAGGAGGCAGAGGCAGGTGATCGCTGTGATTATTTCAGAACAGCCTGACCTAGACAGTGAGACCATGTCTACATAAAGTGTCTACATAAGGTCTGCTATTTGGCCCATGATGGCCTTGAACTTGTGCCTTCCTAGGCCAGTCTTCCTGGCAAGCACCATCGTGTCCAATGTGTTTCCATGCTCTTTACATGAAAGAAGAGAGCCTAAGGAATTGACTCAAAACCAGTTGGTCATGTGACTCTAAGTGTGCTTAAGAAGAAATACAGCTTTAGAACTGGGAGAGAAGAAGTATACATACTGAAATATTTGATCATTCTCTATGGACTTTTATAACTAAATAAAAGTACAAAATTTCACAAGCCCTATATGATGATGTGTGGTTTGTCCCTGCCAATCATTCTGAATTTGGTTGCTAAGGCAGTGGTGTTGGGGGGCAATCCCTTGTAAGAGTGATTAACGTATCTTCACGAGCTTAGAGTCATTTGTGAAAGCAGGTTGTTAGGAGCAAGTCTGGATTCCTTGGTGCAATCACATGTGTTCTCTCTCTTCTGGAGACATCCACTTCATAAGCCAGTCTCAGGTATTATATTTCAGAGACAAAAACTTGACCACTAAGCCTTTCCAACTTAAATTCACCAGCCTTCATGTTTCTCTCATTTAAAAATATTTTGAATGATCAATGGATTTATCAAAATGTTAAGATTACCCTGAGTAAATCAAGAGTCATCAGGCTACCTAATTTGGCCAGAACCTTCTGGAAAGCTGAGGACTCCCCTTCTCTCCCTGCAAACATAGAAAGTCAGGAGTGTTTTTACCTTGCTGAAGGCTACTGTGGAGACAGTTGACAAATGTTGCTAATATGGTTGCTACGTTCATCACCTGCCAGCATTGGGCAAGACCAAGAGTGAAGAGTTCGTTCCAATACGCTTTTACCAACGAGATACTGTTTTCTTGCCTAGTAAAAACAGGAACAAAGGCATACATCAGATATAAGCTTCACAACCGATCAATGTACTAAAAACACCAAAGCATAACTATTCTAAAAGACCCGTGAGCAAACACCTGAGAATTCTGTGTTCTGTACAGTTGACAGAAGTCCACCAAGAGGAACTAGAAATCTAAATCTCAGCTAGCTTGCTACCACTCAGCCAGTTTACAAAACCAGCTACAGTAAGATTTAAAAACAGCTCAGTAGAGAGGATTCTGAACTTTCCCAATACATAAAAAAAAAAAAAGATGATATGTACCTGAGGTAACAGATGTGTCGATTACCCTAAGGTGATCACAACACATTGTATGAGTGTGGAAATGACCCAGCACTCTCCTTAGACATGCACAATTTCTATGAATTGCCAATAAAAATATATTGCAAAAACTTTAAATGAACAGGCCATGACATGCCAGGCACTGGTGAAATAGGAGTTGACATGGTGAATTAAGCCTGCCTATGAGAGAGAAGGGCTGGATAAATGTGTAATTTTAGATATTTTATATACGTGTTATGTAAACATATACATGTGATTATTTACACAGCTCATTTCAGACGATTAAAATTCCACTTGCATGAAGACGACATGTAAGAAAACGGGCGGGTCAGGGGAGAGGACTCTGATTTGAAGAGAGATGGCAGATCTTTTTTTTTATTTACATGCATGTGTATGTGATTGTATATGCTGTGTGTGTGTGTGTAAGTGTGCTTGTCTCGTGTGTGTGTGCTCCTTTCTGTGTGTGTGTGTGTGTGTGTGTGTGTGTGTGTGTGTGTGTGTGTGTCCTCAGGGGCCAGAAGAGAGCATGAGATCCTCTGGAGCTGCTGTTACAGGCTGACTGGAGCCTGCTGTGGGTGTTAGGATTCAAACTCAAGTCCCCTGCAGGAGCATTAAGTGCTCGCAAACAGAAACTTATCTCCGGCTCTAGGAGACACTTTTTGAAATACAAAAATGTTGGGATTTGCTTGCAATCCCAGGAGTCAAGGTGGAGGCAGGAGGATCAGGGAGGGGTTCAAGGCCTTTACAGTGGCTGGAGGTAAGCCGGGGCTACCAGAAATACTGTCTTACAAATCCAGAGACTGGAGAGCGAGGACTGCAGCAATTAGAGAGAACAGGGCAAGCCTGCAGCAGGGGTGTGGTGACTACCGTTCACTGTCAGCTGTCACCACGACCCCGTCATGATGGACAGTAAGGTTCTTAAACCCGACCTTCCCTCCTTAAGCTGCATCATCAATGAGAAAGTAACGAGCTGGGAAGGGCAACATTAGTGCTCAATAGTGTTGATGCATTTCTAAAGGCGGCTCTGTCTTCTCTGAATGTTTTTTCCACTTCGTTTTCTAGTTAACAAACCCACTCATTCTTTGAGGGCGATATCAGAGCTGTGTGTGTGTGTGTGTGTGTGTGTGTGTGTGTGTGTGTGTGTGTGTGTGTGTTACTGAAGATGTGTGTGTGTTACTGAAGATGTGTGTGTGTTACTGAAGATGTGTGTGTGCTCTCATGTGCTGCTGAGGATGACCCCAGAGCCATGAGCCACATCTCCATGCCCAGGAGTTGCAGTTATGTAGTCACTGATTGATTTTTGTTTGAGGCAGAGTTTCACTATGGAGCCACTGATGGTTTGGAATGCATGGCCCTCTTGCCTCAGCTCCCCTAGCGCTAGGATTACAGGTATGCACCATGATAGCTGGCTTCAGAGCCTGGTTCTTTGAAGAAATGCCCTCTTATAATCTCAATCTCTCTCTCTCTCTCTCTCTCTCTCTCTCTCTCTCTCTCTCTCTCTCTCTCTCTCTCTAGTTCCCTCTGGTGTTTACTTGACCATACAGTTTGTTATGTTAGGGGTCTGTTGCCACACTGCCCAAAGGTAAAAGTTCCCTCATTTCTGCATCACAGTGAACAGTTCGAAGCACATTGTATACAGAAAAAAATCTGGGCTTTTTGTTTGTTTGTTTGTTCTAATCTTTGAGGACATAGAACAGACAGAAGTGAGGACTTTAAAAGGTCAGCTAGAGGCCAGGCTGTGGTGGTGCACACCTTTAATCCAGCACTGGGGAGGAGAGGCAGGCGGATCTCAGAGTTGAGACCAGCCAAGGCTGTTACACAGAAAAACCCTGACTTGAAAAACAACAAAACAAAACAAAACAGTCAGCTAGAGAAGTTGTAGGTATAGGACTTTTTAGAAGAAAAAAATCTTCTAGCAAAATCTAAATATGTTATTATAAGATGTTTAAATTGTTGGATTTCTTTCCTTTCTCCAAAGGGATTCAAGTTAGTAAGCACAGGCTGCTAAGAAACACATGGTCCTGGCGACGGCACATCAACTATTTCCGTCTTGAAGATGCCACAGGGCGTCAGAGATGGTCCACAGGTGAAAGTGCTGGCCATCAAGCCGAGCACCTGGCGGGCCCGGGACCCACACGGTGGAAGGAGAGCACTCGCTACTCCAACTTGTCCTCTGACCTTCCCATGTGGGCTGTGCCATGTGCGTCCCATCCCTCAGACACAAATAAAATAAACCCTGCAACTCTGTGTACGTAAGTGCACTCAGGTACACACATACACATAAATAAAAAGAAGAAGAGACACAAGGGCTGACATTGTCACCTAAGAGTTTACAAAGTAGCTGGACTGGGCGGTGCATGTGTATACACAAAGATGGGGGAGACTGAGGCAGGAGGACTGTGTGAGTAAGAAGTGAGTCTGGGCGGCATAATGAGTTCCCAGCTAGTCTGCACTACAGTGTGAGATGCTGCCTCAAGAGCAACACACAAGCAAACAAAAAACCAAAGCCAAACCAAGAGTTTACCAGGAAGCTTTTCCTCATGGGAATTCCTTTAGTATCTGGGAAGGACGGCCTGCCATCAGAAGAAACTGGCTATGGAATAAACTTGAAAGGGAAGCTCCAATGCAAAGAAAAGCAGTATTTATAAACCTCCACACAGAAAATAATAAAGAGAAAGCCATCTCAGTTAAAACCAAGGAAAATAAGAAGACACTGTGCTCTGTTGGCAGGAACGGTAAGATCCAGCATCAGTAGTGAGGAGAAAGCAGCACTGGTCAGTGCTTTCTGGGAACGACTTCTAACAATATCAAAGCCAACACGCATACCTTATAAGACCTCGCAATTTCACTGGAAATACCTATTTTATGGCAGGAGTAATGCATGTTGACAAACTGTGCTTGACAGCACTGGACAGAATACAAAGCTGCCAACAGCTCAGACGTCTACTGATGGAGATGAGTATGTAAGTTGTAGTACTTCCACAAAGATGGCCGTCAGGAATTTATACATGTGGCACAGGAAACTTGACTGTGTGATGGGACATCACAGAGAGTAACAGGACGTGCCACTATGCGAAAGTGTTTGGACAGTTTAATAACCAGGGCATGGGAAGCGCTGGCAGGACACTGAACTCTTGACTACGGAATTAGCTTTCTGGAGAGGAGGTTTTACTTTATGGTTCTATACTTCAGAGTTAAAAGCAAATCAGTTTTCATCTTAACCTGATTATGAAGTTTTAAAAAGAAAACAGCTAACCAAAGTAGTTGAATAGTATGGTGGTTTGAATGAGAATGGCCCCATAGGCTCAAATATGTGAATACTTGGTCTCAATTGGTGGAACTGTTTGGGAAGGATTGGGAGGTATGGCCTTGTTAGAGGACATGTGTCACAGGGGGTGGGCTTTGAAGTTTCAAAAGACCCAAGCCATTTCCCATGTTTCTCTCTGGCTCTTGTCTGAGGTTCAAGATGTAAGCTCTCAGATGTTGCTCCAGCACCATGCCTGTCTGTCTGGGGACACACTTCCTGCCATGATGCTCATGGACTCTGACCCTCGGAAGCTGTAAGATCCTCCAAACTTTTTCTTTTGTTAGTTGACTTGGTTGTGGTGTTTTGTCACAGCAATAGAAAGGTCACTAGGGCAAATGGCAAACACAGGAAAGTAAAAATAACTGGAAAAAAATACCAGAGCTTGTCTGTGCTACCCTTTGTATTGGAAACACCTTGGCCTTATGGAGAGGGCTCAGAGACCAACTTAGATTCAATGCAGAGGATGAGAAAGGTTGAAACAAGGGGCCGAAAGGGGCAACCGAGAGTAAATTACTAGATTACTTCTTTGCCAGAGAGAAAGTTACAGGGTTAGTTGTAGAAATCAATTACAGAAGGATATCCATCTAAGTTTATTCAAAACAAAATTCCAGCTAGGGATGGGGTACAGGACTGTAATCCAGCACTTGGAAAGCTGACGCAAAAGAAGCAAGAGTTCAAGGCCAATCTGAGCTCCACAGTGAGTTCGAGGCTATCCTGGAGTCATAGCCAGACCCTGGATCACGGCCACGTTTGCTATCAGAGTTTTTCTGTTAGGAAATAAATGACTATTGCAGTATCCTTAAAGTACCTATTTTCAAATCTTTTTTCTGAGGAAGTAAAAGAAATGGATAGAATGCATTTAAACTATCCATCCAGGTCCCAGAAAGTCCCACACATATCAACAACAGAAGCAATCTGTTGGCCCGGTCACCTATGTCTGAGGACAATTCGACCATCTGGCATCCACATAAACACACCCAATGTGCTACCTGCCACTTCAACATCTGTTTGAACTGAACCCATGGTCCTTAGAGAAAGAGAATCAACAAGAAGCAATTAATTCACCAAACTACAGGTCTGAAACCAGCAGGTTACAGATGACATTACATTTTATGGAACCACAGAAGATTTAACTTTCAGGTTAAAGTGGTGTTAATGAAAACGTGTGTAAATCAGAAAGTCTCTGTGGCAAACGATGGCGGCCTGGAACTTTGGGCTCTAAGACTCTAGGCAGAGTTAGGCATGGTAGTGCGTGCCTGAAACACAGCACCTGGGAGACTGAAGACTGGGGGCTGACATGAGTTTGAGGTCAGCCTGGGCTAAACAGTCAGACCCTGTTCCAAACCCAGGGCAGTGAGATAGCTCAGCGGGTGAGCACTCACCACTGAGCTGACCGTGTGAATTCAACCTCAGAACCAGGGGGGACTGACTTCCCCTGAGCTGTCCTCTTACATCCAAATGTGTGCCTGCAATGCATGTGCCAGACACACACACACACACAGAGACAGACAGACACACACACACACACACACACACACACACACACAGACACACAGAGACAGAGACACAGAGACAGACAGACAGACACACACACACACAGACACAGAGACACACACACACAGACAGACAGACACACACAAAGACACAGACACATACACACACACACAGACACACAGACACATACATACACAGACACACATACACATACACACAGACACATAGACACACACACATACACACACACAGACACACACAGAGACACACACACACATACAGACAGACACACACACATACACACAGACAGACACATACATACACAGACACACATACACATAGACACACAGACACACAGACACACACACACAATGTAAAGAAAAATCAGAGTAAACAACCCTGTTACTGTCCACACTCTAGGCAAATTACACTAAGTAACCCCAGCTTCTTAGTCTACTGGAACTGTGGAGTCATTTACCTAAATCATGCAGAATGATTTCCTATGAATTAAACTACAGATCTTAAACAGAAAATCAACATTCCTATTAAATATTGAGTCTTTTCCAAATACAAACGACACTAAGCAAATCTCCACCCACTAAGGCATCTGAGTACACATGCCTAGTACCGCTGTCCATGTCTCTGCAAAACTAGAACTCTGAGGACAATTTCTGTATCCAGCCAGAAAAATTTAGCACCCAGTCAGGCTTAGAACATCCTCTGTCTCCACATAACAGAGCTTCCCGCCATTAGCATCCAGCACTTATCTGATTAAGTCAACTCATAAAAAGGATTTAAAGATTATCTAGGCAGAGATAAGAAGTAAGCCATATGCAGCAGCTAATGGCCTGGATTGTTAGCTCAACAGCTATTCTAATTAAGAGGCCTGTGGCTGCGGCACAGAAACGGATTTCCACTACAGATCACAGAGAAAAGTGGCTGCCACTATAAAATTAATTATTCTATAAGCAGAAACTTCGGGCTCTGTTCTTGGGCTCAACATCTCAGCTGTTTCCCTGAGATAGGCACATTCCACAGAGGTACTTAAAACCAAGGGCGGTGGGACTAATGGACTTCAGCTATACCTCCAATTCTTTTCTTTTATTAAAATAATGAAGAGTGGATTCTGGAGGAGGTGGGCGGGGTTGGAATCGAGAATGTTTTTTCTTAAAAAATGTTGGAAAATTACTAAAAGCTGAATATTACTCTGAGATAAAAGGGAAGGCTCACTCAGAGATTACATACTCTAATGTAAGCTCTGCTCTGTATAACCACAGATCACTGATTAGCTAGCAACCAAATCATGGTATCAACTATATCCTTTGGAATCAGGGCTCACATGTTTTTTAGTTACAGTCAAAGTATTCTGTGATAGCAAGGGAGAGTTACCTCCATTTGTCAGGTGGGCAATCAACGGACAGGCTAGGAAAGTGAATGGTTACAAAACCAGACAGACAGGGAGGGTCCTGTGATAAACGAGCTTGCTGGCTAAGGGCAGACTCCTTCACCGACACAGGCCAGTGACTTTAAATGCGTGTCGGCGAACTTCAGTAAGGCTTTGATTTCTTGGAGTGGCTCACTTTCCATTTCACCTGACTGCTTCAAAACCAAATACAGACACGGTCTGTCACATCGCACATTTCTGAAATGATCTTTGGAGGTTGGGGGAGGGAACTAGGTGACTGGGTAACAGTCACTGCTGATTTTAAACATGTAGGCAAATACAGCTCCCTAGTGACATGCCTGGAATGAACACTGAAACAAGGCTGCAGGGGGTAACCACCCAAGAGGAGCACCCAGCTTTCGACACTGCACAAGACACCTCCATCTACAAAGAGCACATCATCAAGTTACAGTAAGAAAAATTAACACGTCCCCCAAATTCTATATTGTTTTATGATTTTATAGCTATCGCTGGCTGTTATGTAGTTCACGGCCGTGAGGCCGGACATGCCTGAGTTCTAACACATTCCCATCTTAGGGAAAAATATGTGTGTGTGTGTGTGTGTGTGTGTGTGTGTGTGTGTGTGTGTGTGTGTGTATTTTGCCTGCATGCATGTCTGTGCACCATGTGCATGCCCAGTGCCGGCAGCAGAGTCAGAAAGAGGGCATCAGATCCCCAGGGACCGGAGTTAAGAAGGCTGTGAGCCACCAGCTCACCAGGTGGGTGCTGGAAACAGAACCTGGGGCTTCTGCAAGAGCAGACAGTGCTCCTAACCACTGGGCCTCTCTCCAACCCCCAGACGCTCCAATCATTGTGGTAATCAAAGGCGGCCATTGCCAGTGCTGGCCACGATTGTCCTCTCCACTTACCCAGTTATTAACTTGTTCAAACTATAAAACATGGCTACTCTTCCACACAAACAGTAATAGAGAAAATAGTAGTTAGCTATCCTGAATTGTCATCGAGATAGACTGGTAGACCTTTTTTTTCTACCTCAGGATAACACAAATCCTCCCCAAATAAACTTCGTGTGTAAATACACGAGTGCCACAGAAATCACATTTATGTTCAAGGACTTCAAAACACTCACCCTAGAGCCTGGAAAGAAGGGATGGAAAGTGCCCAGTGCATCGACAAGAACAGCAGTCTGGAGGCCGACTCCCCAATGTAGTGCACATTCAGGTACTCGGGCACAGGAGAAGGCAGGGTGAGCTAGCGTGGACAGGGATTGAGGTAAATCAGCTTATGACTTCAAGTTCGAAATTATCACTTCTTTGAAAAACTTGAATATAAATATAACACATCATATAGGAATCCAATACCTGCACCTAACAAAGTCTAATATTGAAACAACTCAAGTCACTGGCTATTACAATAGTGCTTAGAAGGAATGAACTGGTCATAATTTCAGTCAAAGTAGCATCCAGACCAACAGACTCTCACTTAACAGCTGTCTACCGTGGAACGATCTGGTTTACCTTATGAAGTTACTATCTTGGTACATCAGTATGTTTTCTCGTCCCACTTCTTTCTCTATCAATTGATAGAGAAAGTACATTTCAGTGTCAGAAGCGGCCCTGCATGCTGAGGGGTCCTTTATTTAGGCTACAGTTTTGCTAGCAGAGATAGTGATCCTGAAGCAGGCCTGCTGGTGCCAACGGAGGAGAGCATGTGCCCAGACACCGGGTACAGCTATGGCCTGAAGCAAAACAAAACACATGGAACCAGGGCTCAATGCTGACACTCCTTCATCCTTCAAAGAGCAGGTCTATGCAGTATCACCCTATTCTAAGATACTGCTACTGAATACAAAAGTATGTAAAAAAAAAATGTCTACAGGCAAGCCACTCAAAGGCTATCCGTTTGCATTATTATAAACAAATAAAGAAGTATAAAGAAGTAATACTCAGTTTGACTTAAGATAGTTATTTCAAGTGTCTGACCACAGTGAAAACAAATCCTCTATCAGAGGACTTCAGAGAACATTCCGGAAGTCTTAAGGAGAGCCGACACCACTGCACGTGGCATACGGAAGGACCGTCTTTCCTGTTTTGAATCAACGGAGATGACCTCAGAGCGGACCCGGGCAATGAGTGCTCACAGTGACTGAAGACTGAACCAGAAGAAACCAGGCTGCTATCTACCAAACAGGAAAACTGAGTTATATCTGGGGACCTAAAACATCGCTGAACAACCTCAATCCAAAAACCTAAACACGGAAACATTTTGGGGATCAATGCCTAATATTTCAAACTTTGGCACATCCTGGATTTTTGGATCAACAGTGTTCAACTAGTAACAACGGAATATCCACTCCCAAATCTGAGAATCTGAAAAAACTATGACACACTTCTGGTCCCAGGCCCCATTTCTAAATCTATTCTAGAAAAACACTTGCCCATACATATAAAACGTCATAGGTAAGTGATAAAGGTGGTCAAAAGATTACTTTACCATTTATTATCAGTAAAATCTGTGCACAAATATCACAATAAGGGATGGGGAATACACATTAAAAATTTTATTAAAAGTAAAAAAAACAAAAACAAAAACAAAAAAACCCCAAAAGTTAAATAAATCAAGATCAGGTAATTAATTTGAATAGACCCAGAACCCCTAGTGAAATGAACGAGTCATTAAAGTCCCAGGACCAGATAGTTTTAGTGCAGAATTCTACCAGACTTTCAAAGAAGAGTTAATGCCAATACTCCTCAAATTATTTCACAAAATAGAAACAGAAGGAATTTTGCCAAGTTCATTTTATGAGGCCACAGTCATCATGATACCCAAACCACATAAAGACCAAACAAAGAAAGAAAATTACAGACTAATTTCCCTTATAAACTTAGATGCAAAAATCATCTCTAAAATACTTGCAGCGCAAATCCAAGAACACTTCAAAAAGATCATCCACTATTATCAAGTAGGCTTCATCCCGGAGATGCAGGGATGGATCAATATATGAAAATCAGTAAATGTAATCTACCATATAAATAAACGAAAAGAAAAAAAAAACACATGATCATCTCATTAGATACTGAAAAAGTCTTTAACAAAATATAACACCTCTTTCATGAAAAAAGTCATGGAGAGATCAGGGATACAAGAAACATACCTAAATATAATAAAGGCAATTTACAGCAAGCCTATAGCCAACATCAAATTAAATGGAGAGAAACTTAAGGCAATTTCACTAAAATCAGGAACACAACAAGGCTGTCCATTTTATCTATATCTATTCAATATAATACTTGCAGTTCTAGCTAGAGCAATAAGACAACTTAAGGAGATCAAGGGGATACATATTGGAAAGGAAGAAGTCAAAGTATTGTTATTTGCAGATAATATAATAGTATACATAATGGGCCTGAAAAATTCCACCTGGGAACTCCTACACCTGATAAACACTTTCAGCAAACTAACTGGGTACAAGATTGTCTGAACAACAACAACAACAACAACAACAACGAATCAGTAGCCCTCCTGTATACAAATGACAAATGGACTGAGAAAAAAATCGGGAAAATAACACCCTTCACAATTCCTTCAAATAATAGAAAATAACCAAGTGAAGGAAAGATCTGTATGATAAAAACTTGAAGTCTTTGAAGAAGGAAACTGAAGAATATATCAGAAGATGGAAAGATCTCCCATGCTCATGGATCAGTAGGATTAGCATAGTAAAAATGGCCATCCTACCAAAAGCAATCTACAGATTCAATGCAATCCCTACCAAAATTTCAACACAATTATTTACAGACCTTGAAGGAACAGTTCTCAACTTCTTATGGAAAAACAAAAAACCCAGGATGGCTAAAACAATCCTGAACAATAAAAGAACTTCTGGAGGTATCACCATCTCTAATTTTCAGTTGTACTACTGAGCTATAGTAATAAAAACCACATGGTATTGGCATAAAAACAGATACGTTGATCAATGGAATCGAATTGAAGACCCAGACATAAATCCACACACTTTTGTACACCTGATTTTTGATAAAGAAGCCAGAAATACACACAGGGAAAAAAGACAGCATCTTCCACAAATGGTGCTGGTCAAACTGGACATATATTGATGTAGAAGAATGCAAATAGATCCATATTTATCACCCTGCACAAAACTCAAGCCAAGGGGATCAAAGATGTCAACATAAAACCAGATATGCTGAATCTGATTAAAGAGAAAGTGGGGAACAGCCTTGAACCCATTGGCACAGGTGACAACTTTCTGAACAGAACACCAATAGCACAGGCACTAAGATTAACAGTTAATAAACAGGCCCTGGTAAAACTGAAAAGCTTCTGTAAGGCAAAGGACATTGTCAGTTGGACAAAGCAGTAGCCTACAGAATGGGAAAAAAGATTTTTATCAACTCCACATTCAAGAGAGGACTAATACTCGAAATGTATATACATATATATACATACACACACACATATAGAACTCAAACTAGGTATTTTAAAAAATCAAATAATACAATTAAAAAATGAAATACAGATTTAGAGAGATTATTCTCAATAGAGGAATCTCTAACAGTTGAGAAACACTAAAAGAAATAAATATTCAACATCCTTAGCCCTCAGGGAAATACAAATTAAAACTACTTTGAGATTCCATCTTATACCTGTCAGAAGGGCTAAAATCAGTAACACAAGTGACAGTTCATGCTGGTGAGGATATGGAGCAAGGGGAACACTCCATTGCTGGTGGGAGTGCAAACTTGTACAGACACTATGGAAATCAATATGGAGGTTCCTTAGAAAGTTGGGAATCTATCTACCTCAAGACCCAGCTATACCACTCCTGGGTATATACCCAAAGGATGCTCCATCCTACCACAAGGATACTTGCTCAACTATGTTGATTGTGGCTTTACTCATAATAACTAGAAACTGGAAACAGCCTAGATGTCCCTCAACTAAAGAATGGATAAAGAAAATGTGGTGCATTTACATAATGGAGTATTACTCAACTGTTAAAAATGACATCATCAAATTTGCAGGCAAATAGATGCAGCTAGAAAAGATCATCCTGTGTGAGGTAACCAAACCCAGAAAGGCAAATATGATTGGTGCCTTGTCCAGTCATCATCAGGGAGGCTTCCTCCAGCAGCAGATGGGAGCAGGTGCAGAGACCCACAGCCAGACATTATGCAGAGAGTCTAAACTGGAGGTCTCCACCAGGTCCTTCCCTTCAGAGCTCAGGGAACTCTGCTGAAGAGGGAGAGGAAAGATTGTGGAGTCAGAGGGGATGGAGGATACCAGGAGAACATGGCCGACTGAATCTGAGCAGGACTCGTATGAGCTCACAGAGACTGAAGCGGTAAGCCTGAGGCCTGCATGGGTCTGCACCAGGTCCCCCGCATATATGTTATGGCTGTTGGCTTGTTGCTTTTGTGGGACTCCTAACAGTGGGAGCTGGGGTGTCTCTGACTTTTGCCTGCACTTGGGACTCTTTTCCTCCTACTGAGTTGCTCTGTCCAGACTCAATATGAGTCTTTTGACTTGTCTTAGTGTATCTTGTTTTGTCATATTTGGTTGTTATCTCTTGGAGGCCTGCTTTTTTCTGAAGGGAAACGGGAGGAGGAGGAGTGGATCTGGGGGACAGAGGAGGTGGGGGAGGACAGGGAGGAGTGGAGGGAAGGAAACTGTGGTCCGGATGTATTGTATGAGAGAAATCTATTTTCAATCAAAAAATTTAGTAAAAAAAAGTTGTCTTTGTTCAAAATTAGGCACAAAGGTTTACCTAATTCTTACTTTTAGGAATAGAATGTAGGTTCCCTTTGCTAGTATAGTATGGTTTCCAATTTTGTGTTGTGTGGTGTGTGTGTTTCTTATACTTTTTCTTTTTTATTCTGGTTTGCTTATTTGCCTGTTTGTTCTAAAGAGAAAGAGAAAGAAAGGAGTAGAGTTGGATGGTGGGGAGGTGAAGAGGATCGGGGGATGGGAAACTGTGATCAGAATAGGTTCCATGAAAAAAATTATTTTCTTCTTTTTCTTTTATTGGGTTTTTGAGACAAAGTTTCTCTGTGTAGCCCTGGCTGTCCTGGAACTTGCTCTGTAGACCAGGCTTGCCTGGAGCTCATAGAAATCCACCTGCCTCTGCTTCCCGAGTGCTGGGGATTTGCCACTACCACTTGGCAAAAAAATATTATTTTCAATAGGGAAAGAAAAAAAGAACATGGGCACTCAAGCTCGCTAAGTATATACTTTTACCTGTAGAGCTGGGGATCGAACTCAGGGCATTATGTATGCGGGACAAACGCTTTACCAGCTGACCTACATCACCAGTTTGGTTTACTTATTTACTAATATTGACAGTACCAAAAGATGAGACAGGGAAATAGATGGTTTAAACCCTGTATAAGATTGTCTTCTGAGGTCTGAACCCAGGGCCTTGGCATGTTGAGAATCCATTCTACCACCAAACAATACCAACAGACTCACGACGAAAAAATTTTCAAATGTTTACTGGAGCAGCAAAATAAAACACAATTCAGAAAACACAAAACATTTCTTTAAAAACACCTGTGTGTGTATGTGTGCGCACGGATGATGTATGTGTGCAGGTGTATGCACAGAGCCCACAGGCTGCTGGCCACATTTTTTTACTTACTTTGCATATGATGCGTGTATATGAGTATGGCTGCGTGCCATGGTGTACATGTGGAGGTCAGAGGACAACTTTCAGAATCAGTTCTCTCCACTGTGCATCTCAGGAGTCAAACTCAGGCCATCAGGCTCTGAGGCAGGTGTTTTCACCCACTGAATCTTCTCTCTGCTGGCTCCTCACCTTGTTCTGAGACACAGTCTCTCACTGAATCTGAAGACTAGCTGGCCAATGAGCTCCAGGGAGCCTCCTGTATCCCTCCTCAGAGCTAGGATTACAAGCACACACACCACACTTGACCTTTTCTTTTGATGCTATTGATCGGAACTTGGGTCCTCCTCATGCTATGTGGTAAGTCCGCATTGACTGAGCCATCTTCCCCAGCCCCACAAAACAATTCTTAAGAGAAGCAAGCAAACATTAAATGCCTTTAAAAACAAAGATGTGACTGTTTTTACATAAGAAGAAGTGTAAAATTTTGGGGAAATATACCATTTCAGAATTGCCTAAGGTGAGTGGGGGGGGCAGTGAAAAATTAGGGTAATTATCCAAAACAACCAGTCCTATGGGTGAGGGCCGCTACAAAACAACACTACAGAATACTCGTGGGACATGCCTCTCATCACAGCATACAAGAGGATGATGGAGAGCTCACAACCACGTGTGCTATGCAGCAAGGCCCTGTTCCTGTCTCAGAAACCAAAACCAAAGTAACAAATCCATAAAAGAAAACAATACCCTCCAAAACCCTCAAAACCCTCTGCAAATAGTTTTAAACTACCTTTAAACAAATAAAATACTAGCTGTATGTTTTCCTTACTTGCCTTGGCAATTACCTCTCTAGTGCAGCTTCTACATCAAATTCTGTCAGAATAAAACTTTGAAAAAACCATTTGGCTTGTTAGGAGATATGGATTGTCTTTCAAGATCTGTGACTCTGGGTTAGCCCTTCAGGTGACTGATGAACACCGTGAGCACTAGGAGCTGTTATCTCAGAACTCACATCTGACCGGTGAGAACTGTGGGCAGGATTGAGAAGGGCATGTGTGTGAAGTGATGGAGACATGACTTGGACAGGAAGGGCCTGAAAAGGTCATGTGACAGAGCCGCAGCTGAACCCCCACATGAGCAATGGAAGCTATGAAATATGTTGGCTGGTTGATTTTTGTGACAGGGTGTTGTCACACTTTAAATTGTCAGTGACAGAGTAGGTTGATTTTTAACAAAGATGCACTGGTTTCAGGATCCAGGACAAGATGGAGAAGACATACGGGACAAAGATATCACTGTGACAATTCGAGCTAGAACTTTAAAGGAGCTTTAAGACACAGTGATAGAAACAAGAGGGGAATTGAGGGAAACTCGAGTGCAGGATGAAGGGGAGTCACCTGATGGAGGACAGGAAGGGTTTGTGTTTAGCACCACATCAGTTTTGAAAACGGCCTCACCCTTGTCCTATGGATTTACTTCAAAGGACAGAAATCCTATTTACCTTAATTGTTCCTATAGGAATAAAGTGAGAGATTTTTGAAATCATGACTCAAAAAAGTCATAAATAAAAATATTACTATCAGCCGGGCGATGGTGGCGCACGCCTTTAATCCCAGCACTCGGGAGGCAGAGCCAGGCGGATCTCTGTGAGTTCGAGGCCAGCCTGGGCTACCAAGTGAGTTCCAGGAAAGGCGCAAAGCTACACAGAGAAACCCTGTCTCGAAAAACAAAACAAAACAAACAAAAAAAAAAAAATTACTATCATTCTAGATTCTTTACTTGCTGTTATATCACCGGATGGCTTCTCCTTCCTACCTTTAGGCTGCTTTGAATAAGATATTAAAATACACAAATCTGAGTTCCACTACGAAATGAGAATAAAAACTTCAACTCATCCAAGAGGAGTGTCATGGCTCAGCTGAGAGAGCAGATAGGGAAATATGCCAATTAGACACACAGAGCAGCAGAGGGACACAAGGCGGCTCTGCTCGGTGACTGAGAAGTCCAGGACCTGAAGGGGGGTGTCAGTCCCGAAACTGGAGGACAGCAGCGGGAGACCTGACCCAGGAAATGACTGCAGAAAACTAAACTCTTCCCAGGACTGGAAGCAAGGGTTGAAGCTGTTGCCGTTTCCAGGAGAGGAAGAACCCACCAGCTCCAGAGAGAAAAGCACAGTTTGAATTTGTTGAATTCATCTGTCCCAGGCGTTCAGTTTATAGAATTAAAAATCCGAGAGTTATAGAAGGAAGCTGATGAGCTGCTGTCTGAAAGAGCCATTTGTCCCTGTGTGCACGGGGTCTCTGCCTACACCTCTCTCCTTGTCCTTCCTCCAATTTCAGTCCAGAGTGGGAAATGAAACTGAGCACACGAGAGAACGGATTTCATTTAGAAGATAAAAGAACCATGGGGAAAGCATCTTGCCTTGATCCCCTTGTCCATAGCTCCGACAATAACTTTTAGGCACTAATTATTCTTACTATCTCTTCTTATATCACCTATGAAACATGTTTTTGGGCACTGCAGATAAAACACTTGAATTTTTCTAAGTTGTATTTAGTAAAATTTTACATGAGAATTGTTTTCTCTGCTGCATTGAACTGGTATGTCATGTTGTGGCAGTTATTAAGCCATGTGAACTCTTCCTATGGCTATTTCAAGCAAGCTGAATTCTGAAATACCAATCTTCTATACTGTTTTGGTCTAGTAGGAAAGTTTGTATCTACTGTAAATCATTCTCAAGTGTCCCAGAACTGCTATGTACGGCTGACTGTAATCTACGTATACTCAATTATTTTACACACCCCTCTCTAATAGTATTCACAAGGGCAGAGCAAAGAGCCAAGAAGAGGGGTTAGTTATGGTGCTAACGAGATCTCAGTGGTGAGCACATCTGCAGCTTGGTTCAGCGTATTAATCTGAGTAACAGATCAAACTTTAGAGAGTTACTTCTTAGGCTTCATCTGTATCGCTTCTAACAGTCTAGCTGTGCTGCTTCCATTTTAAGAGTGTACCGGGGAGGAGGGGCACAGTGGTAGGGCACTGGCCTAGCATACACAGGACCATATATACATGTAGCGTATATGAAGGGATTCATCCCCAGCACCATGACAAAAAAATGTATTTAGGATGAATTTCAAATGCTCCTTTTCCAAAATGGTCTTTAAAAGTACTAGGAGTTAAAAACCTAAGGCTAAAATGCATTACGTAATAAGCACCCCCATATGGTAGTGCTGAAGGGTAGCTAAGTAAGGTAGCTCATTCACACATTCACCATTTTTATCTTTATTATTTCTAATGCGAGAGGAAAATGCCTGGGTCTTGGACGCCAGTGTACACTGAGATAGTAGCCAGGCACTGAACAAAGCCATGCACTCAGGTCCCAATGACTGTCCATGCCTAGTGAAAGAAAGCAATTGTGCCTAACTGGCCCTAAAACCTTTTTTAATTTGTTTTTCAAGGCACGGTTTCTCCTGCTCTGTGTAGCCTTGGCTATCCTAGAGTCTCTCTGTAGACCAGGCTGGCCTTGAATTCAGAGATCAACCTGCCTCTGCCTCTCGAGTGTTGGGATTAAAGGCGTGCACCACCACTGCCTGGCTGGGCTCACAACCATCTACAGTAGGATCCGATGCCCTCTTCTGGCATGCAGGTATACATGCAAAGCACTCATACATACAATATAAATAAATTAAATTTAGAGAATTATTAAAATCTAACCATCCAATTGCCCTATCACAACTGACAGACAGCAAGCTGACCCACTGTGTTCTACAGCAGGGTGTGATGCAGTTCTGAAATTCTACCACGGGTATTTCTGACTCTAAAAGTCTAACAGGCAAATTCTGACTGTTGAAAGGAAGATCAGAAGGGAACAGTAACATAACATAAAAAATCAAAGGTACCCTGAAAACTACATGGGAGTCGCTGAGCAGTGGCCCCTCTTTTTCCATGTAGCTCGACTCTCCAGGGATGAGGTGCGCGTGTCCGTCCATGCTCTCCACTGGGCTATGACAGGCTGGGCTTTCTCCGGGAGACAAGGCTTTGGCAAGGGTGTCAAACGCCCTACAAGGAGACATCAGACGCTGTGAGTCCGGCCAATGTCCAACAGGCAAATGAAATTCCTCTAGAAAATTCTGGAGCTAAGACTTAAGTCAAGGGGCTGTGAGAAGGGCTCAGTGGTAGAACACTTGTCTAGCACCCACATGGCCATGGGTTTAGTGCCCAGGATGGGGGTTGGGGGGGCACTTAAGCATAAAAATTCTTTTGCAAATAGGCCAGGGGAGTGGCTCAGTGGTGGAAGGCTGTGTAGTGTTCAAAAGGCCCGGGGCTCCACCTCCAGTGCCACCGTCAGGAGGGGTATGCACACACAAAACGAACAAATAACAAATCAGGCTCCAGAAAACAGCAGCATTCTTGAATGACAGATAGACTTTGTATTTCAGTGACCTCTGTGATCAGCTCCAAAGCCAACAAATTAAACTTAGTAAGTGTACTTTAAAATATTACATATTACCATATTACCAAGAAATATCATCTCTTTAAGTATGAGAGAAATCCTCATATGTATTCCTTCATATACAAGTTATTTATGTTGACTTTGCTACATCAAACACAAAACAGGTTCAGTTTTGATTTTACTTAAAAATTCAGACTATTTTTATACTTGTGGTTACTTTAATGCACACAGTTAAGAATTTAAGATTAGGATGATAGATAACTGAAGTTACCAAGTAATCATTCAAAACAGTTTCCCAGACTGTTAAATGATACGTTTTCTAGAGTTCCTTAAATGAAGTCCTATGCTCAACAACTCCCCAAGGCTCAACTGCTACTTCCCCCTTTCTGGTCCTTCTGCAATGCTGTCACTCAAACCCAGGGCCTAGAACATACCGGGTGAGCATTCTACCACCACTCAGGTGTACCCCAGCGAAATATTAAATATAAAATAATAAACGGAAGTCTGAGAAAACTCCGAAGGAATTTCATCTCTGTATTCTGCATATTAATACTGACAAAATAAAATCAAATTCTGATTCTATTTTCCTTAAGTATAAATTAAAATAGTTATTTCAATGAGATCTTTGACATTATCTTTATCAACAGAAATTAGTGGTGGTTGGGAAATCAAGATGACTGCTTAGGAAACATGTTTCGTTCTACATACTGAGGGAAAACATCTAAACACAAAACGAAACGTCAGACCCCAACTGTCATTTAAGATCAAGGAAATCCCCAACCTGTCAGACTGCAGTACTAATTTTATAATATACACTTCCTGCTCACAAAACTCAGAATGCAGTGTGTTCATGCTGCACTAAAGGCAGATTTTCAGTTAACCCTTACTATGCCTTACATTTTTCTATTTCTTACTGAAATACTTTTCAGAAACTTTTACAGACATACATTAACATAGAAACACTCTAATCAATTCAGAATGGAGTTTAGAAGAAGAGACCAGATTTACCTTGAGACGTCACCGTTGGTCTGGATATCCTGATGAAATGCACAGAAGGGTGTATCCCCATTGCGTAAGCTCTCCACCACAGGCATGTCGTGACTAGTGTAAGGAAGGTCTTTAGCTTTGCCGAGATTCGCTAGTGACGTGACCACACTGGCCAGTGTGCTTAGGTCTCCCTGACATGATTCAACCTTAAAAATAAAGAAAGTACTAAAATTTTGCAAAGTGATACTGATATTTCAAAACCTCAAATATCAAATTCCAGGTCATGAAATACTAAAAGAGCAAATTAATAAATCAAATTGATGAGTTCATTTCTGTAATCCCTGCACTCAAGAGGCTGAGGTGGGAGTGTTTCCACAAAGTCAAGGCCAGTGTGGGCTTCAGAGTGAGAGGCTGCCCTTAAAGAAAAAACTCTTGAGGAAAATACAGAATTAAAAATAGGTATAAGTTCTTTAAAAATATTTACAAAGTTTAAAACAAAAATTCTACTTACTAACTAATCTAGCCAAGTCATAGTTACTTCCTCTAAAAAGGATATCAAATTAGGTAATAATTCCTTTTAGCAGTAATGATTTAATATTGTTAAAACTTCCAAAACTCTTTAAGATTAAAATTTTTTAATTTTATGTGTATGGGTGTTTTGCTTGCACGTATGTCTGTGCATCACATGCGGCCTGGTGCCCTCAGAGGTCAACAGAGGGCACTGGGTTCCCTGGAACTGGAGTTACAGATGACTGTGAGTGGCCATGTAGGTGCAGGGAACTGAACGTGGGTCCTCTCCAAGAGCAGTAAGGGCTCTTAACCTCTGAGCCATCTCCTCTCTCCAGCCCCAAAGATTTAGTTTTATTTTTACGTTAGGTGTGTCTGTGTGTGGGTATAGTCATGAGTGCATGTGTTTATGGGGGTCAGAAAAGGGCACTGGGTCACCTGGAGGTGGAGTTAGAGACGTCGTCGTGAGCCACCTGAGGTGAATGCTGGGGAATGAACTCAGGTCCTCTGGAAGAGCAATGTGTGCTCTTAACCACTGGGCCATCTTCCTGCCCCTCAAAACGTCTTACACAACAAACTGGCATAGAATCTAAATTAAGTGAAAAGGGGAAAGGCAAATTTATTACCAAACGGACTTACTAAGAGGCCACTGTCTTAATTGAAATGTAACGGACCAGACCAGGCACTAGAACAGGAGGAAATGGATCCTCTGTCGAGGTTTGTTTACGTTTTCTTCTTATCAGACTTGAAGAACCTCCTGGTCATGCTCTGTCTCTTATGACACACTCCTCACACACTTTCCCAGCTGTCTGCTCTTGTTGTCAATAGTGAATAATATACAGTATTTATGCACTGGCTGCGCCTCTTGTAAGAAACCATTCTCTTACAATGCTTCAGCTAAAATCCTGCACAGGAAGAGCAGGGGAGTGCTTCTTTTTTTTCCTTTTAGCTCTCAATCTTCAAAGCCACGAGTTGACACTCAGCAACTTCTCATAGTAACACATGAGCTTTGAGAAATACCATTTTCAATGAAAAGGTTCCTATATACCTAATGCTTCCATTTATTAAATTCCTTTGGGGCCGGGGAGATGGGTCAGCAGTTAAAGTGCCATGGGCATGGGGCCTGTCTGTTATTTCAGCTCTCTGAAATCAGAGAGGGCAACCGTGGAGCAAGCGAGAGAGCCATGTCTGTGGGTTCAATAGACATCCTGCCTCAATGAATAAGGTGAAAAGAAATCAAATAAGCCTCCCAACATCAGCTGGGGGCTTCACATACATGTGTACATGCATGCATAAACAAACACATATGCATGCACACACATATACAAACACATATGCATGCACACATATACAAACACATATGCATGCACACATGCACACACATATAAACAAATCTGCATGCACACACACAGAGGCATATAACAATTCTTTTAACGTTCAATTATTCCACCCAAACCTAATAACAAGACCTTTAAGTTTCTTCTATAGTCTTTAATTTGTTTTGTCTGTGTGTACATGATTTGTTTCTTTTTTTTAATGCAGAGTCCTGCTATGCCGATCAGGGCTGGCCTGTAGTTTCCTACTGCTGGTCCAGGCTGATCTTGAGCTGGTGAGCCTGCCTCTGCCCCCAGAGAGCTGGAATTACAGGTGTGAAACACTACAATACATCTAGCACACGCAAACCATTCTGAATTCTGAAATAATATCAGTGTTTCTTTTGAAGTTTCATTGGTTTTATTAATTCTTTAATTTATATGAAACATACTTTGGTGAATAAGTAGACAATAATTTTTATGCCCTCCTCAAACAAATCATTGCTAGTGTTCCCAGATCCTTAATGATATCCTGTTAGCAATTTCTTATGAGACATTTTATATATATATATATATATATTGAGTGGAAGAGTAGGTGCAGCATGCATGAAGTCCTTGGTTCAATCTCAGCACCGGAAGGTGTAATGCAGAATACAACAAATGGCCCTAAATATCATATCACAAGATGAGATTTCTCCATGTTGTGTTACCTAAGAATCTCCAGTGGCAGAAACTTTGAAATCTAGTTAGACATACTGTCTCATGGAAAGGAATATTTACATTTCTGAGTTTTAAATAAAAGTTAAGATACCTAGCAGAATATATGAGCAAATGCCTTTAATGTGATCCCAGCATTCAGGAGGCAGAGGCAGGAGCCATCTGAGCTTGAGGCCAGCCTGGTCTACATACAGTGATAGGCCAGCCAGGGCTGCACACTTAGACCCTGTCTCAAAAAACAAAAGCTAGCCGGGCGGTGGTGGCGCACGCCTTTAATCCCAGCACTCGGGAGGCAGAGCCAGGCGGATCTCTGTGAGTTCGAGGCCAGCCTGGGCTACCAAGTGAGTTCCAGGAGAGGAGCAAAGCTACACAGAGAAACCCTGTCTCGAAAAACCAAAAAAAACAAAAGCTAAACAAGAAAAAAAAAATTAAAATAGTTAAAAATACTAATTACTTGTATTCTTGTTTAAGAAGGCTAATTGGCTGTGAACATAGGCTTTGCAATCCAGCAGGCCCCTATTGTTCATGGCCTGTGTGTGCTGGGTCATTCTGTTGAAGACGGATGAGGATTCCTGTCGGACAGGATTAACTGAGAGATTGATACATATATATATATATATATATACACACACACACACACACACACACACACACACACACACACATATGTGTGTGTGTGTGTGTGTGTGTGTGTGTGTATATATAAGTCTTCCCAGAGGCACTCCCAAGTCTTTTCAGGGCCAGCAAGACAGCTCAGAGCCAAGGCACTGGCCACGAACCATGATTCCTTGTATGACGAGACCCCACATGGTGGGAAGGGAGAGCCAACTCTGGAAAGTTGTCCTCTGACCTCCATATGTGTATGGTGGCATGTGTACACAGTAAAAAATAAATAAATAAATAAACAAAAGGTTAAAAACCTTTTTAGGAAACCTTTCTCTTCTCATACAGTTTTGGGAAACTACAGGAAGTTTATAAAGTTTATCTAAATAGAGCAATTTTTAGGGCTGGGGAGATGGCTTCATGGGCAACAGTGCCTGCTGTACAAGCATGAGGACAGATCTGAATTCAGATTCCCCAGCGCACACATAAACAACCATGTGTGTTCCTGTCATCGCCGCATCCAGGGAAGAGAAAGACAGGAGGGTTGCTGGGGGCCTCACTGGCTGCCCCCCCAACTGGAACACCAAATTCCAGGTTCGCTAAGACCCTGTCTCAAAGGACAAGGCAGACGGCAATACAGCAGGGCATTGTGAGCGTGAGCATGAGGATGTCCACAAGCAGGCACACATGCATGTGTGTGCACGCACACATACAGAAATCTCTCCTTTAGACTCGAGCCAAACAGTCTCAAGAGAGTCGAGAGGACTGGGGTGTCATCCGAGAGCACACGCAATCTCATCCCCACCCTGACCCCAGAGATGCTGAGCTGCACAATGGCCACATAGAATCCTGAGACTCAAGTGAGCGTTCTAACGGAGGTATGCTGAGAATTTCCCTTTACTTGATGTGATACTCCAAGTAAAATATAATATGTAAAATAATACATAAAATATAATAAATCTAGCAGGAAAAATAAGAGGAAGACAGGTAAGGGTTCTGATCAGACGGGTTCACAATACATCACGGTTGATCCTCAAATCAGAGTGCAGACGGGGCTGGATTCACTCCCAGTCGTTTCCTGCTTTTAGCCTTCCAAGTTGCTGGGTTCAGGAAGTGTACCATTCATTAGGTTTGGTTTAGATTTAGCATCAATTAATTTTCTGGTAGCTTTTATTTCAAGATGAAAGAAAAACTGGGAACACTTCTAATTTTTGTTGCTTTCATGGTAAAGATAAAATTTTAGTGACACAGTGAAAAGTTTTATCAAGTAATTTTAGCTTTAGAAACAGGAATTAGGAACTGGAGAGATGGCTCAATGGTTAAGAGCACTGTCTGGGGCTGGAGAGATGGCTCAGAGGTTAAGAGCACTGACTGTTCTTCCAGAGGTCCTGAGTTCAATTTCCAGCAACCACATGGTGGCTCACAACCATCTGTAATGAGATCTGATGCCCTCTTCTGGCCTGCAGGCATACATGCAGGCAGAACACTCATATACATAACATACACAAATAAATAAAAGCTTTTTTAAAAGGAAAGAGGAATTATTGTTCTGTAGTAGAGCATGGGGCTAAGGGCTCAAACTCCAGCACCACAGGGACAGGGACAGGGGGAGGGGTCTTTTAAACTGCACTGTATACCTTATCTGGTGCCATTAGCATAGTTGGTTCTGTTTTTATTCCAGACGGATGAATATTCACGAACATTCCTGAATCCAACAGTCCTGTTGACCTGTAACAAATGAAGCACAAATTTCAGTCTTACTTGATCTTGAAAAAGTAGCAAATGACCTGCTTCTTAGTGTCATCTGTACAGCACCTGGTGGCCTCGCCGTCCGTCACAAAGGTTGGAGTAGCAGCCAATGGGCTTCGGAGGTCTTTGCGGATGTAGATTTTTTCTGTTGAGGCCGCACAGTTGGAAGATTTTTCTCGGGATACTTCAATGGGTTTTCTTTCACACTGAACAGCTGTGAAAACATGTTAAATAATTATACTACAAGAGACTTTATGAAAATTTGTAAACCTAGGCTTCTTGTCATCAGTATGGCTAACAAGAGACACTACTTCCCAGTGAATTCCAAAGGCAACCATCAATCTTTACAGAGTCTATTCACGTTCAGTGGTGTTGCTGCCTATTTGTAAAACTGGTCAATGTACATCTTATTCACATTTCTTCCTATATGGCCACTCCTATGGTAGAAAAACAGAACTCTTAAGACACCTCATGATCAAGAAGGAAGAACTGTATATAGCATTAAAGAAAAAGAAACTTTATTAGTTGAAGATAATACTAATAAAGAAAAAGGACTGAGCTGGAGAGATGGCTCAGAGGTTAAGGAGCACTGGCTGCTCTTCCAGAGGCCCAGAGGTCCTGAGTTCAATTCCCAGCAACCACATGGTGGCTCACAACCATCTGTAATGAGATCTGGTGCCCTCTTCTGGCCTGCAGTCATACATGCTGTATACATAATAAATAAATAAATCTTTAAAAAAAAAAAAGAAAAGAAAAAGGACTAAGAAGAGCCTTTCTAGTTAAGAAATAAATACGTATTACACAGAAGCTCATCTGCACAATGTGCACTATCTATAGGAATTTGTAGGACCTAGAGAGGAGGTACGACAGTTGTTAAATGTACACTTTCTTTTGGGGTGGAGGTGAACGCAAACTGTCAGAACTCAGAACTCGGCTCGGCCACCTGCTAGCTGTCTGTCCTTTGGTGAGTTTTCACCCTTCCTCGGTGAAGGTGTTAGGTGTCAGCAGTATAACCAACCGCAGAGAACTGCTATGAGAATATGCTGAAACCATGTGTAAGGAGCGGCTTGTAGCACACGGACAGTTCAATCAGTAGTGGCTGCTGTCATCAAGATCACATTTTGGCCATCAGTCACAAAGCACACTGACGTCTAGCTACTTTCATGATACATAGTTTTCAATTTTAGAATGTAACATTGACAATACTGCAGAGAACTTAGGAAAGACAACAAAATCACTAAAAATTCTATTATGCACATTAAAATTTTTAAATTCTGAGACAACTTACAAAAATCATTTGGGTGCTAAGTGCCAAGTGGAAATGTGTGCTTGGCACAGGAGTATTAAAAATATTTATTGAATAATAAACACGTATGTATATATTCTACTTTTAGTTGGACAATTGGATTAAATAGCCCATGTCCTGTTTGACAAAAGAAGAGCCTTGCTGGAGGACATGTGTGGCTGCAGTGAATTGTAAAGGTTTGTAGCCTCGTTCCACTTCCTGGATAGGGCTAAAACGTGAGCAGCCTGCTTCCTGGTCCTGCTAGCACAGAACCTTCCAGCCTTCTGGAGCCATAAACACAACAAGCTTTTTGTTCTTTCAGTTGGCTTTGTCATGATATTTAACTACAGTGACAGAAAAGTCGCTAATACAGCACACGGGCACCTCAGCTGCTCATCCTGCTAATGTGTGTACACTTCCGAGTATACAAAACATTACTCCTTTCCGGCAAGTACATACAGTCCTGTTTCATCCCAAAGGCGATGCATCTCTGTAACCTGCAGTACTGGCAGCGGTTTCGGTGGTGCTTATTAATTACACAGTCTTTTGATCCTCGACACGAGTATACTAAATTTTTCCGGATGCTTCTTTTGAAAAATCCTTTGCAGCCTTCACAAGTTATTGCTCCATAATGACGTCCTAGAGAAGAAATGTTTAAGAAAATAGAAAACATACTATAGGTTAGAAGTGAAATAAATTCATTTTTTCTATGAAAACAACAATATATAAAATGAAATTGTGATTGAGATTCTGACAAAATTTTTTTTAGGATTTAAGTAGAGAATCAAACAACCATATCCTGTGGTAACTTCAATGATGTATAGTTTTGAATTTTATAATGTAACATTAAAAATATTAGAGAACTTAGGGCCAAAATCATCATCAAAAATTCTATTATGCACATTAAAATTTTAATTCTAAGAAAGCTTACAAATTATAGTTTTGTCATATATCATACAACAGTGTTCTTCCCCCTCCTGTTAGGGAGCAAATACAGCTCCTCGTATACGCTAGGCAAACATTCTACCAATCTGCATCCTTGGATATAACAGATATTTAATATTACAGCTCCATGCTCCAGAAGAATGAAAAGTGCTACCTACTCCTGGAATTACAGTACCCTTTCTTTGTGAGTTCCACTTTGAAAACTTCTTAATAAAGCTATTGTAGTTCGGACTAGAGACGGCTCGGTGGTAAGAGCACTTGTTACTCTGTCAGAGGGTCCAGGGTCAGTTCCCAGCACCCACCATCCATCTGCAACTCCAGTTCCAGAGGACTTGATAGCCTCTTCTAGCCTCCAGTATCAGGTGCACACACAGTACACACAGATACAGCCAAGCCAACTGCTCACACACACATTACATTTCAATTAACTTGCTATTTCACCAATCATGTGTTTTGTATGATGACATTAACAAATTACACAAACTTGAGGAAAAGTTCTAATGGAAGTTTTTGTAATAAAATTTCAAAAAAAATTTACAGAAACAAGCTGGCCCTTAAACTCTGCCCCACTGACACCTGTGCATATATACGAGCAGACATGAGCACGCACTTCTGACAGGAAGCAAGCAGTGATCAGTTAAAATGACTTATCACTGAGCACCCAGAACTGACGAAGAACAGCCCACCCAGGTCTTAGAGCCGAACTTCCCCGGCAGACCCCATCTGATCACAGAAGCTAACCAGGTCAGGCTGGCTCATTCTTGGATGGGAAACTAACTAAATCAGATATGCAGAACTCCAAATAAAGGTTGACCAAAGAATCTTCCATTCAGCAATTCACTTTACTCTGAATTTCTAAAACAGGATTTGGGGAAGCGTGTTAAAATAAATTTACGACATAATGATTTATTAAAGACCACAATTCATTTTCCGATGATTCCTTTGGCAAATTTAATTTTTACATTTAAAACGTTTTTGTGTTTACCTCCAAATGGTGAAACCAAAACAAATATTCTATGCCATTATAAATCAAATGAAATGACACTCAAGAAAAAGTATAAAAAAGAGAGAAAAGTGAAGTTTTTGAGGTCACAAAGATGAAGCATAAAAAACATATTCTTCTATTTATTTTTTAGTGTTAGAGGGAACACAGTTGAGGAGCAGGTACTTTAACAGTGTAACATATACAGAATTATTTTTAATCATACCTGATGCTTTGTCTCCACATACTACACAAAGATCAAAAACTTTATTTGGTCCTTGGTCAGGCGAATTTTCTGTAAAGAGCTTTTAGAAGAAGACAAATGTCATTAGTCAGCAACAGCCTCATGCTGTCCAACAGTGAAAGAACACAGAGTCAGAGTCACTGACTCCGACATAAATTACTCTTCAACTAAGAACTCTGTGACCATGGCCACAGAAGGTAAGCCAGTTTTCTTCCACACACAGAGAAAATACGGCAGTGGGAGACAAGGCAAAAACTATGAGTATCTTTTCCCTTCTTCCACAACAATCACAATGGCACACACCTCTGATTCTAGTATTATGAGAAGGGGTGGGGAGGGCAGGAGGATCTTTGTGAGTTCAAGTCCAGCCTGGTGTACTCAGTTCCAGTCCAGCAGGGCTACACAGTGAGACTCTTTCTCAAGAACAAAACCCAGCTGGTGGCTGAGAACACTCGCTGCTCTTGTAGGGGACATGGGTTCAGGTCCCAGCACCCACGTGAGGTAGTTCACAACCAATCTGTATGTCCAGGTCCAGTGACTGATGGCTTCCTCTGGCCTCCTCAGGAACCTGCACACACTTTGCGCATGCACATATCCTCAGGTACACACACATACATATAAAATAAATTAAGTCTTAAAAAAAGTTCAATACACAAATACATGAGTATTTTTAAGTGTAAGCCATTCATATACACTATTCATATATAAAATTATTCATATAGAAATATGTCTGATTATTCTAAAAGTTCTAAGACCTTTCATGACATTTGCCTTTGATGGTTCAGAACCTTTCCAAATGAAATGGCCCAGCAAAAGCATCTATATACTAAAGCTGGACCTGGTGGTACACACCTGCCACCCCAGCACTTGGGAGGCTAGGGGACAAGGATCTTGAGTTACAGCAGCCTGGGCTACATAGTGAGACCCTGTGTCACACAAATGAGGCCCTGCTGCCTCCAAACCTAAAAATGATAGCATACAAAGATAGTTTTTATGGACTTTTTAAAAAGAAAGGGAGTTCCAAATAAATGTTATCAATATGACTAACTATAATTATGCGAGTATGACTGTTACACAAAGACCCACAGAACTGGCCATTACTGAGACAAGGTGAGGTGGCCCTGTTGAGTTGTATGAAGAGCTCATCATTAGGTACATCTATGGGAACGCCGGCAAAGAGTTCTGGGTTCTTCCCTCAGATCTACTTTTCCGTTAATCCTCTGCTAGTTGTTCCCCGGATGAGAAAAACATTTTTTTTTTTTTTTTTTTTTTTTTTTTTTACCGTGACTTACCTGGAGGTGCGGTGTGGCCAGGTCAGGAGTGGCAAAGAACAGCTGGCTGACGCCTGCGGCATCTGGGGTTGTGAGGAAGACTTTTCCTGGGGTGGAGCCCTCATGATTGGCCAGAGTGAACTGCTTGCCCTGGGTGCTATGGTCAAGCGCTGTCACAATCTGGATCTTCTGTTCGTTCTGCTGCTCTGTAACAATCTAACACAGCCAGGGCACATTAATGACCCATCCAACTCAATCATGTTTGCTTGCTTTTTGAGACAGGTCTGGCTGTGTAGCCAGACTGGCTCTGAACTTATAACCCGCTGCCTCAGCCTCCTGAGTACTAGGAATGTGCTACCACATTTGGCTTTTGTTTTTCTTTGATGAATCAATTTTAACCTCAAAACAAAGCTAGAAAAACCAGTTATACACCTTTTAAATGGCAATTCTCCTTCCAATGAAATTCTAATAGAGCATGTGTGAAATTTACAAATAAAAGTACAGCCAGGCAATGGTGGCACATGTCTTTAATCCCCGAACTTGGTAGGCAAAGGCAGGCAGATTCCTGAATTTGAGGCCAGCCTGGTTTACAGAGCAAGTTCCAGGTCAGCCAAGAATACACAGAGAAACCCAGTCTCAAAAAACCCAAAATAAGTAAAGAAAGAAACTACAACAGCAAGATTATTTGACTTTGACTATCGCTGTTTTGACCCCTCCCTTCTTTCACTACTTCTCACTCAGCAGTTCTCAACTGAGGGTCAGGACACCTTCGGCAAACCTCCGTCTACAAATGCAGACATTACGACTCCTAACAGCAGCAAATTTTCAGTAGCAGGGAAATAACTCTATGGCTGTGAGTTATAAGTCTAATGTTCACTTAGCTTTTAGAAAAGAGAATTAGGTACATGCATGATCTAACTGTCACTGGGTTGAAACATTAGATCAGTAAAAGGGTATTTACCACAGTGTAACAGAATAATTAAAAAGAAAAATAATAAACTTGGACTTCAGTGGAGAAGAACAGTAATTAGGAAAGCAATTCTCTGGTCTCAGGACCCCCTATACTCTCTAAGTCTGGAGCCAGCTCTCATGTCAAATTAGACATACACATTGGATCAACAAGAATGGAAAGGGCCCCATCAGCTTTAGAAGTGGTCCAGCCCAAGAGGAAGGACATGTCAAGAAATGCCATTCTCAAGTGGAACTTTACCAAGTTTCACATGGGCTACAATGACTACAGGGTAAAGCTGTAGGCTCTTATGGAAGAGCCCCTGGTAACAGAAGGACATGTCTTGCTATATGTGGACTCACAATTATATGCTCTGGCTAGGTCTCCCCAACCAATGCCCGAGCCCAGGCCTGGATGACAGCCTGTCTGTAAACCAGTGGGCTGCTGGGACAGAGCAGAGGATCTGGTGTATACTCACTGCAGGAAGTTCCTGAGGCCTGGGGACATATTCTAGCTCTACCCTGGCTGTCCTATGGGAATAAAATGAAGAAACTGGGGGTAGGGGAGGCATCATAAAATTTCCAAGATAATTGGAAAACCTTTATTCACACGCGTCTTTAATCCCAGCACTCGGGAGGCAGAGGCAGGTGGATCTCTGTGAGTTTGAGGCCAGCCTGGTCTACAAAGCGAGTTCCAGGAAAGGCGCAAAGCTACACAGAGAAACCCTGTCTCGAAAAACAAAAAAAAAACAAAAAAAAATTCATATACTAATAGGAAATAATGTTTTATTAAAACTAAGTTTATTTCTCCACTGAATATGTAATAGTAAGAGTGGTGTTGTTACGTTTCTGTGAACTATTCTAATGTCTGATTTAATAAGGTTGTAAGTTCATATCTGCTTTTTCATTTGGTCCATTAGAATGCGTTGTTTTGGTTCAAATTTAAAAAGGAAACCCAGTCTCGCATAGATAGTATAGAAAGGAATGAAATATTTTAATAGCATCTTGAATTGTGGAAATTGTTCACTGATACCATCCCAAAACATGATGTGTAGCTTTGCAGAAGTTAGCTGCAGCGTGGAATCAGGAGTTACATTATATACAAATGGAAAACCTAGCACAGGGCAGGCAGAGCTTTGAAGAAACACATATTTTGTCTTAGGAAGTCATAAATGTTTTCATATTTTTCTTAAAATTAATCATTTTGTTCACCATTATTTAAATCTAGTCTAGCCTTAAACTTGAGGTCCTCCTGCCTCTACCTCCTGAGTTCTGGGATTACAGGCACGTGTTGTTAGCCTGACAAGTCAATAATATTTTGGGTACTAACATCGTGAGGAAGATTTAATTTTTATTTCACTATCACATTCCTACTATCATAAGATTGACTTCTATGAGGTAGTTGAAGCCTATTAACCATATTGTAGATGGTTATGATACAACTTGACTGAACTACGGGATGTTTATGTTTTTAGCACAAACTATCCCATCCTAGTTATTATTATCCTATTATTTTATATGTGTGCATGACATGTGTGTGCGCTCACACTCGTGTGAGCACGCATATGTGCATGCATGCACTCCATGGCATGCATGTGGAGTGAGGGGACACCTTCAAGAGTTGTTTCTTTTTTCTCATCACCACACAGGTTCTGGGGATTGAACTCTGGTCATTAGGATTAGTGGCAAGCCCTCGATGCGGATCAGCCATCTCCCTGGTCCCGAGACTAGTTTTTATTGGGTGCGATTGTAACAACAGGGCCCATCTCTCTTTCCTACAGTGACAGAGGCCGGGCAAGGTCCCTAAGAGGTACTGTTGTGTTTCTGAGACCTGATATGCCCCAATGTTTTTAAATCACTTCAAAAAGTCAGACATGGTCAAAATAGTTCACACTGAAGAGTGAAAATTAACAATGTCTACGGGAGTAATAAGTCACAAACTTCAGATAAAACCCCCAAAACATATGCCATGTTATAGTAGTTTGAACGTATTTGGCCCCCATAAGCTCATAGGGAGTGGCACTATTAGGAGGTGTGGCTTTGTTGAAGGAAGTGTGGTCTTGTTGGAGGAGGCTGGATGACACTCCCTTTAATTCAGATTTTGAGGCTGGAGGCCACACCTTTAATCTGGGCCACACCTTCTGTTGGAAGTGTGTCACTGTGGGGGATGGGTTTTGGGGTCTTTTTCTCAAGTTTCACTTGGTGTGACAGTCATTTGACTTCCAGTTGCCTGCCTATGAAGATGTAAGGACTCTCAGCTCCAGCACCACGTCTGCCTGCACGCTGCCATGCTCCCTGTCATGATGGACGGAACCTCTGAACTGTAAGTGAGCCCCCTCAATTAAATGTTTCCTTTATAAGAGTTGTTGTGGTCATGGTGTCGCCTCACAGCAACAGAAACCCAAACTAAGACACATACGTTACTTTTTGCGAAAAACTGGATGCAGTCATTTAAGACTAGCCTCAGATTTCCTGACCCTCAAATGACAGTCTCTGATCAGAGCCCCCTCCTACTCCTCTCTATTAGCTTTTCATTTCTTTTTTATTGTTATAAACGTTTTGTACGTATGTCTGCTCCATGGCACCATATACACTAAAGTCACAGCACTTACCATATTTTATCGCAGTTATTGAACTACTTCTCACCGCCTAGAAAAGCTTTCTGAGAGATGGCTATCTTCCCACCTGGAACGTCCAGAACCCAATACAGACATGTAGCATGAAGGATGACAGCGTGGTAGGCCAGCAAGAGAACGGTAAACTAGACCTACCTCACCCATCTGTTGTTCAATAATCTGGTGTGCGATTTCTTCGATGGTCGCCATGATCTAACCGTCAAAACACCTGCCAGAGATGGAAAAAAAAAAAAAAAGCCTGTTTACAATTTACACATAAAGTATTTACTGAAGAATTTGTGATTGCCTCAGATTTTCTTTAAAATAATCCAGTTAAGGTAGTGGGGTGAGAGACACTAGACCAGTGGTTCTCACCCTTCCTAATGCCTTTAAAACAGTTCCTCATGGTGTGATGACCCCAACCATAACATTTTTTTAACTGCTACTTCATAACTATAATTTTGTTACTGTTATGAGTAGTAATGTAAGTATCTGACATGCAGGATATGATACGTGACCCCTGTGAAGGGCCATTCAACCCTCACAAGGGGTCACGACCCACAGGTTGAGAACCACCGGATTAGACAAAACCAGATTGGCTGCAGACTAGCAATGTTGAACACACTGTCAGCTGATGAACGTCCATGCTGGAGGTCCATGTAACTATTCTGCTCTTCCATACTCAGACACAGCTGTTTTAAAAAGCTGTTCTACCTGTGTGGGTGGAAAAAGCTGCTCCTATAAGCCACATGCTATTATATGGAAATCCCAGAGTCTGCAGTAGGCTGCTTCCTGTGAGCTATTACTGGTCAGGGAGGTCTCTGAGGCCCACAGGTAATACAGGCAATTGCCACTGCTCTTGGTTGTCCATGAGAACTAGACAGTTCAGACTCTACTGCTGAAGACACCATCGTCTCTGGTCAGAGGAGGTAAGAGAAACCAGGCTGGCACTGGAAGCTGTTTCTTCGTCCCTGCTGGCTAGCCTCCAGTGCTAGACGGTGTTGTGCAGGCTGCTGGGGGACTGTAACCTACAGTCTTACTCAGGTAAGGTAGGTTTTGCGATGTGACATTACTGATCTGATAATTACAATGTCCCCACTGGGACACACAACCGTGGCAAGTCTGTCACGGCGGTAACCAACTGCTCTCTGCTGTGATCTGAGGCCTGCTTCACGGGAGGGAACCCCTGTTTAGTACTGTAAACGCGGTAAGCAGCCCACGGCTGGAAGGGCCAAGCTGTAGCAAATAACACACAGAGATCACCAGGACCCTGCCAATGTTCTAGCCCCCTGAACAAGCTGTTTGCTCTCCTTCCTGCTGCCACTGTGAAGTCTGCCGTTCTAAACTGTAACTCCTCTACCTTCATGCAAACATGATTAAGCTGGAGAGCTTCCACAGTAGGAGGCTGGCCTGGCGTGCCCGAAGAGGCCCGAGCTCAACTCCCAGAAACACAAACGCAGCGAGCATACAAACCAAGAACAGCTCTCCCTTTCAAGTTCAGCTTCCAATGACGTCATTATTGTCATCTGGTGACTTGTTTCAATACCACCACCTACTGAGGTTCACACCAAGTGTTGCTCCTTTCTTGTCCTTGAGGACGGCCAAATTATAACCATCTAGTCTTCAAGTATTGGATGTCAAAGTCCAATATGATTCATCTAATTGCAACTTCAAAAAAATGTATTTGTGCGTGACTGTGTGCATGAACATGTGCATGTGTGGAGGCCAGAAGAGGGCATGCGTGTCCTCCACCATCGCTCTGACTATTCCTTTGAAGAGGGGTCTCTCCTTGAAGCTGTGGTTGGTGTTTTCTTGGCTAGGCTAGAAGGCAGCAAGTCCCAGTAATGCCCCTGTCTCTGACTACAAGCCATCTCTCCAGGCCCTATTATTTTGCAAAAGACCAAACAAACAGATTTACTATTACCTATCTTCTCAATATTCACCCCAGAGTGGCCTTTCTCTGTGGGATTTGGGCTGCCATTTGCTAAACTTTACATTCTAGCTGTCCAGACTCCTAATTCTTACAGTTTACCGTGCTTCCCCATCCTTGATAATGGCTTTTCTCTTCACTCTGAATGTCACACAATCACTGATCAATGTATATGCTCAAGTCTGCATAATAAATGAGACAAAACAGGCATTTTTCTTCTTTAAAATTTTTCTTTTTTTATTATGTGCATGTGCATAGGTTTGTGCTCGGGAACATAGATGTCAGAAGGCCAGAAGGTATTGGATACCTTGAAGATGGAGTTAAAGACAGTACTGAGCTCCCCTGGGAAAGCAGCCAGTGCTCTTAACTGCTGAGCCATCTCTCCAGACTCTAGATTTAAAAGGTAGGGTCACAGGTAGCCATGGGTGGCTTTGAACTTGCTATGTAGCTGAGTATGACCATGAACTCCTAACCCTCCTGCTACTACCTAAGTACTGGGATTACAGGCAAGTGTCAACATATTCTACAGACTGTTGACAGTTTAAACTATTCTACCTTCCCCCAGAGAAGTAATTTGACACTGTACAGCAAAGGAATTAAACTACTTATTCTCAGTACTGAGGCCGAGTCAGAGTTTCAAGTTCATGGTCAGCCTATTACAGAGTGCTAGACTTCAGACTGCAATCCTCATTGTAATCGCTACTAAATGCACAGTTTATTACATAATGTCCTTACTATTAGCATTCTTCAGAAATAAGACCATCAACCCCGTCTCTGGGAAGTTAAAGAGTCGATGTACGTGGAAATATACCTGTGGCTGACGCTCTTCAGCTCGTGATGTAATGAGCATTCCGTTCGAGTTAGCAGAATGAACAAAAAGAAGACTTAACAAAATCTTATACAAGAGACAACTAAATTAGTCACTGGAGGGTTACGTATTTTTATTAGCCTGAGGTAGAAAGCAAAAAAACATGAGGAGGAGGGCTGGAGAGGAGACTCAGTGGTTAGGAGCTATGGCTGCTTTTCCAGAGGACCTGGGCTTGATTCCCAGCACCCACTTGGGGGCTCCCAATTGTCTATAACTCCAGTTCCAGGGGATTCAACACCCTCTTCTGGTCTCTGTATGTCATGAAGCATGAACACAGAACACAGACATCCACACAGTGAAACACCCATACAGATTAAATACAATCAAATTTCAAAAGCACAAGGATGCTCCCGTCCGTTACTGCTATCCACCTTGATCTCTCGTACAATCTCCCTGACCTTCTCTCTTCATCCTTTCCATATAAAGGGTTGAATTAACAGAAACCCTCAGTTTCCTAATCTATGGATCTCTGTCCTGTACAAGATCACACAAGGGTCACATAGGAGTCACCACAAATCTGGCAACAGTAAGAAGGTTTTAAATGTGTGATGACGGAACATTAACTCAAAATCAAACACACAGTTAATCCAAGGTGTTGCTGGCAGCACAGGTCCACCCAAGTCATATGGAGCCACGTCCCTGAGACCTTTGTTTTAGATACAGGACACATGCAGTTTGTACTGTGCATGCTTCTGTGACCTATGACACCATGAACTCTGCCTGAAACACCTCCGCTCAGACTACTGAGTGCTCTAAAGTTCTTTTCCCTGGTACAAACATTTCTGTTCTTACAGAAACGTAACAGTTTAATTATATAAAAAGATTATGTAATTATTTGTAATTGTTCTAAAAAAGATTTCCTAATATTTTCCTACACCATCTTTCCTCAGCATCTAATTATCAAATTAGTACTGTGATGGTTTGAAGGAGAATGGCCCCATGGGCTCATATGTTTGAATACTTGATCCCCAGTTGGTGGAACTGTTTGGGAAAGATGAGCAGATACGACCTTGCTGGAGGAGGTGTGTCTCTGGGGAGGGTTTTGAGGTTTCAAAAGTCCATGCAATTTCCCGTTAGCCCTGATGTGTGCGCGCTCTCTCTGTCTTTTGGCTGCTGTCTCAACATGTCAACTCTGTTACTGCCATCATGACTGCCATGCTTCCCTTCAGGATGGTCATGGACTTCAGACCTCTGGAACTATGAACTCCCAAATTAAATGCTGTTTTTGTTTCTGATGACAGGGTTTCTCTGTGTAGTCCTGGCTGTCCTAGAACTCACTCTGTAGACCAGGCTGTCCTTCAACTCAGAGATCCACCTGCCTCTGCCTCCCGAGTGCTGGGATTAAGGGTATGTACTACCACTGCCCAGCTATAAGCAGCATTTTAAAAATTAACCACAAGTGTAATTTCACAAACTGAAGTTTTTATTTTAAAAATAAAAAGGAATATTCATTTGTATTTTAGGACAAACCTGTTTTTATTTTTCAGTTATGTGTAACTGTCTAACTCTTCCCAGGCAGGTTGTAGAATACCAAAATTGACAAGAAAAAAGTAAGTCAAGCCGGGCGGTGGTGGCGCACGCCTTTAATCCCAGCATTCGGGAGGCAGAGGCAGGAGGATCTCTGTGACTTCGAGGCCAGCCTGGTCTACAGATTAAGTTCCAGGACAGGTTCCAAAGCTACACAGAGAAAGCCTGTCACGAAAAACCAAAAAAAAAAAAAAAAAAAAGAAAAAAGAAAAAAGAAAAAAAAGTCAAATCATCTTTGCAATATAGATTTATTTCTAATAATCATGATCATGTGAAAAAAATCAATAATCCCCCCAGCTTGATTTTTAATGAGAATTTGGCTGCAGAGAACATGAAAGCAGCCAAGATGACATTTTAATAAAAGTATGCAACACACTGCAATAAACCAAAATAATAATTTTTTTTTTGTTTTTCGAGACAGGGTTTCTCTGTGTAGCTTTGCGCCTTTCCTGGGACTCACTTGGTAGCCCAGGCTGGCCTCGAACTCACAGAGATCCGCCTGGCTCTGCCTCCCGAGTGCTGGGATTAATGGCGTGCGCCACCACCGCCCGGCGGAATAATTTAAATGTTTCTTAAAATTCTTCAAATAAAGGGAGAGAAAAAGCTCTGTTACTGTCAGTGAAAAGCATTTATTTGTACTTACAAAGAATTTATTTACTTGCAAAAACTCTGTGTGTGTGTGTGTGTGTGTGTGTGTGTGTTACATATACAGTGGGTATGTGTGTTACCATTAAAATGTTAGCAGCGGCTCATGGCGAAGGGGATTCATTAGTCAGGGCCCTCCAAAGGAACAGAGCTAGTGATGAAATTCACAAAGTTTCTTTACTGAAAGGTCCTCTTTCCAACAGAATTTCCAGAATTAATGTGACCAATTCCAGCAGTTTACTATCAGGTTTAAGGAAAGTCAAAGTTTGTAATTCAGCTAGATGATACAGCCAGGATTTCTAACACGGTATAGTAGTTCCTTTAAGATATGTTTAGGAAGGAAGCATATTTGAAAAACTGTTTTGCTGCCCTGTGGAAGCGCAGACAGGCTGGAAAGATATCTAACACCAATGGATTTTTTTCACAAATGAAGGTTCACAGCTGAAAGGTCTTGCTAAATTTCTGCAGAGATGCTGTGAGAAACTCTAGAGGAGACTGCTGGCTTGTAGCAGGAGTTCAAGTTTGCAGAAACCAGTGTACTTTCACTCACTGAATGACTCACCAGGAGGCACCTGTAGCCAAAAGGCATTGAGGCAGTTGTGGTTGGCAGTACTGTTCATTCAAGAGCTCTGCTCTGGGCTCTGTTTTCCAACATGGCAAACAAGCTCTGTTTACAGAGCTTCTCGGCACCCAGAGGTGGCTCTCAAGATAGTTAAGTTCAAAGGTCACTGAAATTGAACAATGTTATGTCTTGGATGGAGCATAAATCTGATTGGGATTATTTTTTTCATAATGATTTACGGCTCTCAAAACAGTTGTCAGTTTTGTTTTTTTGTTTTTTTTTTTTAATTCAATGTTGCTTCAAGGAAGTAACTGGAATGTTTTTATGTTAAAAGATAAAATTGAAACTTTTACTAAAAAAGCTAACATGAAGAAACAGAGTGAAAATTAATTCTTTAGAGATGTTTACAGTAGAGATGATTTTATAATGAAAAATAACCTCCTCAGGCAGAGAAGATGGTTCAAGGGTTAAGAGCACTTGTCCTTCAAAAGACTCAAAGACCCAAGTTCGGTTCCTCCACCCACATGGTGGCTCACTAGCCCCTATAACCACAGTTCCAGAAGATCTGACAAAATCTGGCCCCTGAGGGCACTGTACACCCTTGATACACACATGCAGGCAAAACACCCATATGTATAAATTTTTTTCTGAAAATCTGATGGAGATTGCCTTCCCCAGAAAATCACAAGTTCATATTCCTTCACCTCCCAATGCTGTACACTAAATGTCAAGAGCTTTACAAAGCACAAAGTCAGTCCAAGGAATTCCCTACTTAGTCAAGGATTCCTGAGGTAAAATTTTAGCAGTTTATCACGCTGAACAGAAACCATGGAAAGCAACACTTTTAATACCCCATTTCAATCCCCTACTCCACCTCTGAGACCCAGTTCAAATTCCATTTTACACACTATTTTTGAATGATCCAGTGTATACTGTATACAGGAAGAGTTGACTGGAATTCAAGAACAGACTTCTATTAATTCCTAAAAATTTTGAACAGAGGCCCATTTTTCTAGGGATGGTTTGAAAAGATTGTGTGTGTGTGTGTGTGTGTGTGTGTGTGTGCACGCAGAGGTTCTTATCGTGCTACTTATTGTGTGGTGTTCGTCTTAGTTATCACTGGGATAGGAACTACACATTTCATCACACCCACAGTAGATATTTAGGGTTTGCTGCCATGGAATTGCCCCCTTCAAAACCTTTCAACTATATTACACAGAATGATGAAACCAGTTACATTTATTGGCACCACGGGTGTTTTTTTTTTTTTTTTTTTTCCGTTAACAGCTACACGTATCTTCATTAATAGCAGTGGAAGCAACATGAAAACAGCTTTTGAAAACACGAGTTAGGAGGTTCTGAAGGAAGCTGTGCAAAGCTCTGACCTGGACACCTGACCTTTGGTTACTGTCACCCTTCGACCACAATGACCACAACTGGGAAGATTACATTGTATCCAAAGGTTCAAGATGCATATCAAAAGGTTACCGGACATACTGATCCAAAGGACACACTACCTTTCCTTTATCTTCCACAGGTCTCCTGGGGTTTGGATACATAGCTTCTAAGCCAGTCTGGCCTGGAACTCCAAGCCATTTTTGATGTCCTAGCCTCCAGAGGACTAGGATTACAGGCGTCCTTCACCAGCCCGGCTCCTACGGGTCACTCGGGTGTTCATCCATATTAAACGGTCCACAATAAATTCCCACTTCTCTCACCTTCCTGGAATCTTCCTTAATTTACGTCAATGTCTGTCCCCCAAACTTACAATTCCTCAAACACCCTCCCCAAACGATTTCCTTTCTCATCTTAGCCGTGTGACTAGAACAGAGCACTAATCGCTTTTCCAAGTGTACCAAAGCGGACACACAAAGTTTAAACACAATTATCCAACCGGGTAAACAAACAGACACCGCTTAAACAAACAAACGAACACACACCTCTCCCTCAAAGTCTAAGGCATACTTAAAACTTCCAGGGGGCGGAGAAAACCCCACCAGGACTTAACTTCAAGTCGTCTTTGCTTGTCTTTTCCAACTCAGGGCGACCTACTTAACTACAGGGTGAGGGACAACCTGGCACTTCTCTGCCCCTCACGGTGGTGGTGGTGGTGGGTGGGGGGATGCCATCTGCACGAGCTGGAGGCAGGCAGGGCTCTTAACAAAAGGGCTCCCGGGGGTGGGGGGGTGGGGGCTGGGGGGGGGGGGACGGGGGCTGTGATGTGCCCGGTGCATGCGACACCGTGGGCCACCTTCCCCTCCGGGACCCGATCGCAGCGGCGGCTCGCCCTCGGGGTGGAAGGAGAGCCCGGGGCGGGCGCACGGCCGGCCGCCATCCCTCCCGTGGCCCCGGGGCCCGCGGCCCGCCGCCGCTCCCTGCCCAGCACCCACCCCGCGCGCAGCCCCGGGGCGGAGGGAGGAAGCGGCGCCCGAGACGGAAGCGTTCCCCGCGGGTGAAAGGTCACCGTGCCCGCCCGGCCTCCCGCGGCTCCGGGCAGGTCCGCTAGCTCCCTCCCCGGGGGGGGGGACCCGGGGCGCTCGCCCGGGGCCCCGGGGCCGCGGCGCTCGGCGGTTGAGCCGTCCCGCAGCCGACTTACCCCCTCCCGCCGCGGCGGCCGCTGGGCTGGAGAGAGCTGACGCCAGGGGGGCGGGGGGGGGGGGGGAGAACCCGAGGCCGAGACGCGGGACGGGGGGGGGGGGGGAGACAAGGGGAGCTTTCCGGGTTTGGGAAGACTTGGGGAGGGGGTGGGGGTGGGGAGGTCAGAGTTCGTGACCCCTTCCCCGGGGCTCGGCGGCGCGCGCTGCTCTCGGCGCCTGCGCGGTGGCGCGGTGGCGCGGCGGCCAGCCGGCGGTGACGTTCCCTGGGTGAAGCCGAGGGCCCCGGCGTCCGGCGGGCCGGGCTGGAAGTCGATTGCCCCCTGCAGGCGTGGAGGGACACCGCCGGCGCCGCCGCCTGTCGGTCCGATGTCCTGGGAGTTGGAGCACCGAGTTGAGCGTCAACCTGCAACTCCTTGCAACCCGTGTGTGCACACAACCCAAACTCACATATTTAGACAGAAACGGCGACCGAAGGCTGGATTGATGGCTCAGTGGTGAAGGGTACTTGTTGCTCCTCCAGAGAACTCAAGTTTGATTCCCAGCACCCACAGGACCCACCGGTCACACCACCTTGTGCAACTCTGGTTCCATTGGATTTGGTGCCCTCTTCTGGTGCACAAACACGTGTGCAGGCCAAACACCCTACACTTAAAGCAAAAATCTTTTTTTTTTTTTTTTCTCAAGACAGGGTTTCTCTGTGTAGCTTTGCGCCTTTCCTGGAACTTACTCTGTAGACCAGGCTGACCTCGAACTCACAGAGATCCGCCCGCCTCTGCCTCCCGAGTGCTGGGATTAAAGGCGTGCGCCACCACCGCCTGGCTTAAAGCAAAAAATCTTTAAAGAAAGAAGAAAAAGACAAAAAAAAGTCTTTGAAACCGGGCCTGTTGGAAACCCAGACAGGTCTTTTAACTCATGACCCACCTGCCTCCCTCTCTAGTGCTATAGGATTTTTAAAGTTTATTTATATGGGTGTTTTACCTGCACCGCATGCCTGTGCACCACAAGTGTTCCTGGCGGCCGTGGAGCTCCTCTGGATCTGAAATTACAGATGGCCCTGAGTGGCCACATGGGTGCTGGGGATTGAACCTGGGTCCTAGAAAAGAGCAGCTAGTGCTCTTAACTGTTGAGCCATCTCTCCAGTCCCTGAAAGGACGTTTTGAGTAATAATAAACAACCTAATCAGTTTGGGATAGATGTCTTTAATCTCTGGAAAACTGGACTTTGTTTTATAAGCACTCTCTTAGATTAGTTTAGAGTGCTAAGGAGTCTGGGTAGTACCTAGTCACAAACAGCCTCCCAGCAGCATGAGAACAAGCTGCAGCAAAAATCACATCAAACTGTACTTGGACGTTTTTAGTAAAGAGCAAGAATACAACCGCTACTGTGTATGCTGCGTTCTTAGGGCTCCTTTTTATTTTGCTAGGCGATGTATCTCTAGATATGTATGTAACAGTTCCTGACGGTCAATAAAGATTTGCAAAAGGAAAGGTCACTAATGGAACACCATGTCCTGATGGGGGTCCCCTGTGGCAGGAAGCTTTGCCCTGCATTCTAAGTACTGTGTGGTTCAGACTTTTTTTTTTTTTTTTTTTGGTTTTTCGAGACAGGGTTTCTCTGTGTAGCTTTGCGCCTTTCCTGGGACTCACTTGGTAGCCCAGGCTGGCCTCGAACTCACAGAGATCCGCCTGGCTCTGCCTCCCGAGTGCTGGGATTAAAGGCGTGCGCCACCACCGCCCGGCGTGGTTCAGACTTTTAAGAGGTGATCTGGAAATTTCCATCTAGATGAGCACTGTAGAAAAGCAACCAGATTCAGAGCAGAAACCCAAATTGAGGGGTGGTGGTGGGGGGGACCAAATCTTTGCTGTGCTGGACAGAATAATTGTCCCTTGTGTTCCTGATGTCTCATGCCTGTAATCCCAGCACTTGGGAGGCAGAGGCTGAAGGATCAGGAGCTCAAAGACATCCATGGCTACATTGTTTGAAGGTAGCCTGGGCTGTGTCTCTTTTTAAAACAAAGTGCCACCATTTCCCATTGGAATTAAGTATTTAGACATAGAAAAGGGACATGCAACCTTTCCTAGCCATTAGAACTGTTTCATACTTAATTCTCTGAAAGTCTACCTCTACCTTTAGGTGGTGTTTGGTTTGGCCACAAGGTAGCCCTTCCAATAACCTGAAGCTGGTCCCAAAGGTGAAAACTATGAAAAGCACACTGGGTTCAAGGGAAAAGGCTACTTGCCATGTTTTCTTATTCTTGGTGCTTAATACACATGCCCAAAGGGATGCTTCTCCAGGTACAGAACTTAAGTCACAAGAAGTTGACTTATTAAAACCTAGGCCAGCCACAGTGGTTCATGCTCCTAATGCCTACTTTGTAGGCTGAGGTAGGAACATTGCTATGACTATTAGGCCAGTCTGGACTACAGGGTGAGACCTTGTCTCAAAACTAACCAAATAAATCAGTCTTGGAAACATAAACCACTTTAGGAACATTACTGTAGGTGACATGTCTCCTTTGGTCATACTTTAGAAAAGGAGGCTGGTGAGGTTCATTTTAAAGGTATGGCTTAGAAGACTTCATTGAAGCTGGGTTTGACAGCACATGCCTATAATCCCAGTTACTAACGGGCTGAGGTGGAAGGTCTGAACATTGAAGGCCAGTCTGGATAACACAGTGTCAAAAAATAAGTAATAAAATCTCTAATAAAGGACTGACGGTAGTAAGAAGGTTTTTCTGCATCCCGCCTGGCCCTGTGGTCCCACAGCCACTTATAAAACAATCACTCAGAGGCTTAATATTATTTACAAATTGTATGGTCTATGGCAGGCCTCTTGCTTGCTAGCTCTTATATCTTAAATTAACCCATTTCTATTAATCTATGTTTTGCCACGTGTTACATGGCTTACCAGTCTGCTGGCATGTTGTTCCTTGGGCGGTAGGCTGGTGTCTCTCCAGACTCTGCCTTTCTCTTTCCTGTCTCTCTCCTTGGATTTCCCACCTGCCTCTAAGCTGCCCTGCCATAGGCCAAAGCAGCTTATTTATTAACCAATGAGAACAACATATATTCACAGAATACAGAAAGACATCCCCCAGCAAAGGACTCCACACCAGCAGTAGATATTATAGTAAATTTATTCTGTATAAATTATAATACATATTAACATTATTTACAATGCTATTTTTATTTATAAATGATCTTTATATGAACAGTAAGATACAAACCATTATCCCTTTAAGTAAAAAACAGTTTTGAGAAAAACATTAAAAGTCATTTAAAAAGTATTTTTGAAACTGGTTCTTACATGCAGCAAGTAATTCTATGAAAGGGAATGTTGTCTCCTTCTACTCCTCACCCCAAAGGAAAAAGAATATTTTCATACTTAAGTTTTTTTTGTTTTTCCCCCTAGCAGGCAGGTTCACTGTCAGGGCCACTGCTGTTTTTTGCAGTGTGGTACATAAACTTGTTTTCCTTCTTAAGATTCTTTCCTCGAGTGAACTAACCTTTCTTGTAAGGGAAAAACCCCAGAGATTTCCATTTAGAAAATGACATTGAAAGTGGCACAGACTCCAGAGTATGTGTACTGAAGATACGTTTTAGGGACCCATAGAAGATACTGAACAAGCAAGCATTTATCCACTGCATGTAAGGCATTTCTTCCTAGATGTGGTAAACCCCCAGCGAACAAGGTAAGCTGTATTCAAGTACGGAACGTGGTAAGAATGATGGAGGTCTGTTTATGAACAGGAGCACAGGAAAACGATTCCAGGAACACAGGAAAGAACACAGCTATTCTAAGGGAGAGGAGGAGCAAAGGACCCCATCACAGTCAAGTGTCAGATAACAAGGAAGCAGAGCCGCGTTGATTGACAGGAGAACAATGGAAACTTCGAAGGAAGAAATGCTGAAGTGAGTTCACTTGGAGTGTATGGGATCAGAGGCACTGTTCTATGTCAAACTGGGAATGCCACTGACATCTTCAGGAATAGGAATTAAATTAGAAGTCTGCTTTAGGCACATTGCTTTGGCAAGGTTTAAAACAGATCACACAAAGGAGGCACTGGAATCAGAAAAAGAAAAATGGTTTTTCTAGATAAGGGATTGAACCCCGGGCCTCATATATAGGAGGCAAGTGGCATGTAACTGCCCTGTGCCCCCAGCTCAGACGGAAAGCTGCAGCAACCCTAAGGGAGATATAACGGCAGGAAGATGAGGCTGGAAGGGACATGAGAGACTCAAGTCAGATTCTAGGGCCCCATCTGTTGTCCTTTTACTGCACAAGAAAACAGGCTTGAATAGGAGGAAAGCGAGTGTTAGCCATGCCACCCATGTGGCCTTGCGGGATGCGGGGAGCGTGGGCCTAAGATCCCAGTTAGAATACAGGCTTTGGACGCTATTTCAGTGGTAGCTGAAATTGTCCCGAGGAAGGGAAAAGACTGAGACGAGGCAGAGGAGCTGTCTTGAGAAAAACACTGCAAGTCTTACTCAAAACACCTGGGGAATCCTGTCCTCACTGTTTTCAAATGAAGATCTGAAGATTCAGGAGAAATGGATAGAAGAAATACAGTATCTATCCTTAAGGATCATACAGTACAATGAGATAGGATTTCCCTCGGGAAATTCCAGCAATTTGACTGCCATGAGCTCAGTGGAAGCACATTCAAGGCACATATATCCCCACGCTGTGATGATTACATTAGGTCCTCAAATAAAAGGCTTCCTCCATTCATACGGGGACTACTACATAGGTTGCTAAGAAAAGCATACTTCTGAGTTGCTGTCCTCTGACTTCATTTTTTTTTTTTAAATGTTAGTAAATAAAGAATCAAGCTTCTTACTGGAGAAAACTCGGGCCATCAGGGAAAACAGAACAGTACTCGTTCATCAGAAAATGGAAAGAGGTTCAGAAACATGGAGTAATGGAAAGGAATGGCCCTTTTCATTCTCTTAGGACATGCTGAGGGCCACTGAGAAGATCACCTCTCCTGGCTCAGCCTGCCATCTTGTCTAGGGTTACTCTCTAGCTGAGCTTAGGAGACACCTGAGCAAGGTTTTGACGGCATGTATGTATAATGAGCAACACTCCCGGGATCCAGAACTGAGATGTTCCCCATATCTAGACTACGCTGGTATTGTCCACTCTTAAATGTCAGCAATGGAGGTAGCTTATGGGTACAGTGTCTGCTTAGAGACTCTGGGTTTGGTAATATTTTTAAAAGTAGTTTTATAGCAAATTATAAATACATTCTTATTTGCCATGGAATGAGCCATGTTAAATAAATTATTGACCATTTTTACTAGGTTATAAAGGGATCAAGGAGGGACCACATTAGAATATTTTTATGGGGGGGCACTATCTGAGAGCTTGCATAGTGTCTTTCCCAAAACTTTCCATAGACTAAGAAATTAGCAATTATAATCATGTACACAGGAATTACTCTGTGTGCGAATTTCTCTCCACATGTATTTAGATTCTGAAGAGTTTCTTGATTCAGAATACTGGCTAATACTTCTCAGACTTTTTGTGGCTCATGAGCACGTCTCAGAGGCTGAGAATTCAAAGAGGACAAAAGGTGGAAATATAAAGGATAAATAACCCTGGTCTCCAAAAGGAATACACTACACACATTCCACCTCTGTCTACATGGGAAACATTTATATGACCCAATTAAAAGGAGTTTCAAAGAATGGACTGACCTCCAGCGGCGAGGAAGGCTGCATGCAGGGTTGTGTGGGACTGCACAGGGCTTCAAATCAGGCCACAGCCGGAAGCAGCCAAGAAAAACTGCACCTGCTACCTCAGGTCTGCTTTACCTGTAGCAAGCGGCATCCAGAAGGCCTCATGAAAGTGTTCAAGACGAAAACATAGTATCCAGGGTATAATTCTCAACTCCTGACCTCACACTAAATTAAAATCATATATAAAGAAGCAGAAAACTCTTGCATCCTTTAGTATTTTATGGATAACCTTTGCCTTTTAGCTGATGGTTTAAACTCAGTCAACAAAATATTTAAACAGTAAAACAATTTTAAGCACAATCAACAACGTTATGTGCCAGGGGATTTACAGGTTAAACAGTAAGTGCGTCAGAATGAAGACTATGAACCTTTCCTAAGAGGGATGCTGACTGGCAGAGTCTGGTGTGGTAGCATACATCTATACTCCCCGTACACGGGAGGCTGAGGCAGGACGATGGGTGAGGGCAGCCTGGGCTGCACGGAAGAGTGAATTTTAAAAGTCAAGGGCAACAAAGCAAAGCGGCATAAAATTTCCTTAAAAACACAGTGATTCCAGATCACTTTTAAAATACATGTTACAGAAAATATGACATCCTTTTAGATATAAATATCACCAATGACTTGGGCTCTGAACCCTTAAGACTAGCAGGGGATATTGGGGAGCATGTCACCTGCCATATTCTGTTATTTAATCAAGCTTGGTGGCACACATATGTAATCCTAGCACTTGAGAAGCAAGCAGGTGAGTCCCAGGCCAGCCTGGACTCCGGAGTGAGCCTCTGCCTCAGAAAACCAAGGGGGAAAAACAATCATATTTACACTGAACTGGCAGTTTTCAATTAAGACCCGGCATGGTGGTGCTGGCCTTTAACCCAGTCGCTCAGAGGCTGAGGCGGAAGGCTGCTCAAGGTCTGCCTGAGCTACACAGTTAGTTAGTTCGAGGCCAGCCTGGCAATTAGCAAGATCCTATGGGGCTGGGGGTGAGGCTGGGGACACAGTGATCAGTACAGTTACTGAGGTAGACGCTGGCTATGTGGATCTCTACTGCAGTATCAAAAAATCTCATCTAGGTTTAGTGATTCAAAAATAGGCGTTTTCACCAGCAATTTGGTAATTGTAATTTCTACACCAAACGGTGTACGGACACGTGCTACTTAATGTGTGTGTTTTACTTGCAAAGACTTCCCAACAGCGAAAGTGTCGTAATGCAAGGCAGAGACAACAGTGTGGACGGTACGTCAATAGTGTTCGGTATACAGTATTAAGGTAAGTTTGAGTCTCTAAACAGTACTTTAGAATTCAGTGTGAGTCTCAGACACAATCTTGACCAGCAAGTAAACATCAGCATTTTAATAAATAACATACATGAAAAACATTTTTAAGACTGTATATACCTAACAAAACAGTTTGTCTCCTAATGGCCGTGGGTGGATTTATCTTGGCAGTGTTCACTTTTACACGCCTTCTGAATAGCTGTTGCTCCGTTCTGCTGAGCTGAGCCTCCACCTTGTCGGAATCACAGAAGAAATGAAGCCAATACTGCTCGCTACAATATTGTGCCCTCCTGAAATGCTTCTATCCACCTGGTGAGGAGAGACAGCGTTAGACTTGTGGACTCCAGCCACGTGACACCTATGAGTGTGACGCAATTGCTGATTTAAGCTCTTGCCTACAGCACACGGGGGGTTCTTGCACACAGGGGACCACCCTTTCTTTGGTAGTATGTTCTTCGTGGCATCGCTACTTCGTGTGTAAGTGTTCTAAGTGTCCCGGGGTGAATGAGAAGGCTCAGTGGGTAAAGGCGCTCGCCACCAAGCCTGCCAACCTGAGTTTAGTCCCCGGGACCTGCGTGGTGGAAGGTGGGAACTGGCTCCTGCAGGTTATCTTCTGATCTCCACACTAACGCCACCTGCACACATACAGTCAAGAAATGGTGTGTGTGTGTGTGTGTGTGTGTGTGTGTGTGTGTGTGTGTGTGTGTGTGTACTTACTTGGCTGTGGAAGGAATAAGTCAGCAAAGGCCCTTATGACAATTCCTTTCTTCTCTTTCTGGTGTGCTGACTCAGTGAGTTTTGGAAAACAGCTATGTACCTGTTCCCCCTAAATCTACCAACTAAAAATCCCCTTATATGTCCCCTAAACCAAACTTGTTCCAAATTTCTCAATGAAAGGGAGCTGATCTGGTATTTAGTCTATTCTAAGATCAAGAATTTACATATAATACAAAAGCTTTCCAAAATTTCACAGAAGTCATCACAAATTCTTGACTCTGAAAGTGGCCTCTGACAAGGCACAGCTGCAGTGGCTCGGAATACGCTTGTGCGGTCCCCGTTCACTCTTTGTTATCTGGACTCCCTGAAAGCTACCCCACCCCTACACTTACTGGCAAAGGACTTCTTACAGTACCAGATTACAGAAGGAAGAACTGGAGCAAGCTATTAACATCTGAAATCACTAAATCTCAGAGTGGTCCGTAACACATTCAGCTCCAATTTCAAGGACAGGATTTCCAAAACTTCCAATTTTAGGTGCAAATGGCTTAAGTTATACTGCAACGGAATACTTTTAAGAAGTCCCACAGGGGCTGGAGAGATGTTCAACACTTAAGGGCACTGACTGCTCTAGAGGAGCCAGGTTCAGCTCCCAGGACCCATATGGTGGCTCACAACATCTGTATGTAACTCCAGTTCCAGAGGACCTGATCATCCCTTCTGACCTCCACCAGGCACCAGGCACACATGTAGTGCACACACATGCATGAGAGCGTGTGTACACACACACACACACACACACACACACACACACACACACACGCACGCACGCACGCGCACACACACGTGCACACACACACACACGCACCCCAAATCGAATCTAATAAAACCTTGTCACAAAAGAGCAATTTAATTCTCAATACCCAGAAGGAGTCATTTGGATAAGCAGCTGCACATTACTGCATATCCTAAAGCAGATGGAGGCAGGGGACTCTTTAAGAGTATAGCATTGTGCCTGGCTGGTACTCAGGAACATCTGCAACTCCAGCACATTAACTCCTAACTGCCTACAAAAGTGCACACCCTGCCTCTACTCAAAAGCACTCCCTTGTATCCCAAGCACGTCACTTGAAAGCCTGCTGGGAAAACACACAGGCAGCGGTGTGCTCTGTGAGGTGGAGTAAATCAAATGTGAGGAGAGGCAAGTGGAGCCATTTGCTCAGAGGGGGCCTTCACTTCATGGGTACACACCTGTAGGTTAAACAGTCTCCTAGCCCCTCAAATTAAGATTCTTGCTGGGATTTTGAAGAGACTGCTTCAGTCTCGGGCATCTAAAATGATACCTGCTTCCTTCTACTCGGTCCCTGGAGACCGCCTGTGAGCCTCTTAATGCGTCTCACTTTCCCTGCATGGCTGTAAGCTAGCCAGCAGTTGTTTAAAGTCCTGCTGTCCACAGAACAACTGGACGGGGAATCCCTGCCCTCACTGAAGCCCGGGGTTCACACCTGCATTTCCACTGCCCTCGGAGCAGAGCTCCAAGAGCTTCCTCCCAGGTCACATGTGGACACACACTATGGACAGGACTACCCATTTTCTTTCCTCTTCTGTTTAAAAATCATCTGAATAACAGGTTAGATCTTTCTACTTTGGATCTCTGATGTAAATTCTGAGTTGTTCTCTGTGCTTTTAAAATATCATTTAAAACAACAGCTTGGATTCTCCCGTGGCACAGGGAAATCTGCATTACTTACTTCTGGGTGGAGTGGGCATCATCTGCCTTAAATACATAAAACACCATGCCTTTGTGCAGTAACTGAAACACTTTGGACTCTGAAGTCTCGTCTTTGACTTGCGTGACGGTAAATCCTAATAAAGGCTGACTCTCCAAAGCTGCCACATCCTAATTTAAAAACAGACAAAGGAAGATAGGCTTTTAGATTGAGGTGTCATCCGGTTTGGAAAGTCTAGATCTATGTAGCTCAATTTAATACACGACCCAGTAATTCTAGCAGCTTATTTCTACTTCAATGGCAGTGAGCCGTCTACCAGCCACCAGCCAGTTTTCAGCCCGTTCACACCCACTGAAATTCCCACTGTTTTCACGGTAGCCAGGGAAAGCAGGTAGTGACCTTACTTCCAGTTTATGGATGGAGACACTGAATACTTAGAGCAGCAGGTGACCTTCCCAGATCCCACCCAGGGACTCTGGGACTCCAGCTGGTTGTTTGTTGAGACAGGGTCTCTCACTCTACAGCCTAAGAGGGCCTGGAACCCAGTGATTTTCCTGCCTGGATTCTCCAGAGGTTTTGTTTTTCCCTATACCAACACTTTGTTTGTTGACTCACCATGTAACCCTGGCTGGCCTGGAACTCACAAAGATCCACCTGACTCGCCTCTAAGAGCTGGAATTAAAGGTGTGGGCCACCATGCCTGGTCCTCCTTCTTTCTAGAGCTTCATGTAACCCAGGGTGGCCCCAAACTCCTCCTGTAACTGAGGCTGAGCCTGAACTCCTACGTCCCCTGCTTCTACCATCCAATAGCTACTTTGCAGGCATGTGCTACCATAGCTGGCTTCCCTGGAGGCCCTCCTAGGTGACTGGAACACAGATCAGGGCAGCTAGAGACAGTTTACGACAGAGTTCATTTCATTTGTGCTATGCCTGATCAGGACAAGCTAGGGACACCGAAAAAAGGCAAGACGAGAGGTAGTCCCTGTCTTGTGTGAAACAGCAGTCACATGACAACAGAAACACCTGCACTTCTGTACTCTTCGAAATTCCTAACATTGGACTAAGAGCTCGTTGGAAAGAAAGAATAACTATTCGCACTGAAAGTACTAGTAATAGGACAGGCATGGTGGCTCACACCTGTAATGCCAGCACTGCAGAGGGTGAGGCAGGAGGATGACTGTGACTTTGAGGACAGACAACCTGGGCTAAGTGGTGAGTCACTGTCTTAAAAAACCACAGATGAAAGCCCAGCACCACCACCTCCCAGCGCCTAAAACAGTGCTTGCTTGGCATGCCCAGGGCCCCCACGCACACCCTCAGCTCCCCGTAAAGCAAAACCTTCCAACAAATCCCACAGAACTAAGACAAGGTCTCAAAGTCACTCTTAGGCGTCCATCTTACCTCGCTTGCGGCGTATGTATAGAGTACTTTGTTTTTGATGACGAACCATAAGTGTTTCCAGGGTTTTTTGCTGCCCTTGGATCTGTAGAGGTAGCCACTCATGGTAGAGTCTTCAGTGTTTGCTGACACCTGGGGAAACAAGTCCCGCCTGCAGTTCAGAGGCTCACAGGCTACTTTTCAATAACAACAAACAACACAACAGAAAGCAGTTCCTGCAACCACTAGCTGCAGGCGCATTCCTGCGGAGCTGCACCTGGCCTGGCTCCAGAGAGCAGCACCTGGCCCTAATCCATCTTTTGTCTAGCAGACACCTTTTGTTTCCCTTGCTGCCCTCTATGTGAATCCTGTCTCTCAGAGTCTTCCAAGGATACAAAGGCCTATGCAAAACTTGATTCAGGAAACCCGGAAAACTGTGGTACCTGACAAACCCAGGAATTTGCACTTGGCATTGTATTGTTGGGGGCCCCTTTCAGGTTGTTTTGAGCATATGGAAATTAACTGGCTAAACTGTATTGGAGAGAAATAAAACTGCCTTAGGCAAAGGGTTAGTGCTTCAGTCCTTCCAGGCTGGACCCCCCTGCAGCCATGAAAGGCTAGATTCATTCTTAAGATGCTTCTGTGTCTTCATTCCACGAACTGTGTGAACCCACACACCCCTGTAGTGACTCACACAGCTACATTTGGCACCCAACGTGGGGCTTAAAGAAGGAAAAGGAGCCGGGTGGTGGTGGCGGCGCACGCCTTTAATCCCAGCACTCGGGAGGCAGAGCCAGGCGGATCTCTGTGAGTTCGAGGCCAGCCTGGGCTACCAAGTGAGTCCCAGGAAAGGCGCAAAGCTACACAGAGAAACCCTGTCTCGAAAAACCAAAAAAAAAAAAAAAAAAAAAAAGAAGGAAAAGGATCCACTGAAGAAGGACAGAGGAGCCGGTCATCTTAGGAAATGGAGGAAGCGCTCTCAGGGTAAGAGGACTCCAGGATTGGCAGCGTCATGGGGAATTTAAACTCCCCATCTCAGGAGCAACAAAATGTACAGTTGCTAAATGCTTGTCAAAATAAAAAGTGGTAACTGCACAATTTTTAAAGATAGAAAAAATGGCTCCTGAGTCAGGAAATAAATTAAGAAAAAGACCTTTCTCAAAAAGGGAAAGAAAGAAAATGAAAAAGGAAATCTTCCCAATAGAGAAGAGGGAAGGAAAGGAAATTTCCCGATAGAAAAGGGAGAAAATTTTTAATCAAGAAAAAAGAATTTTCCTTGTAAAAATGGGAAAAATATTGACACTAGGCCTAAAGATTTTAAGGCCCCGTAAAAAAAAAAAAATAATAATAATAATAAAGGAAAGAAAAAAAAGCCTCCTCCCATTAGAAATAGAGGAAGAAAAGGCTCTTTCTGATATAAACATTTCAGGATAGCTAAAACTCTGAGCTCTTTCTGCCTACAAGCACAGAGTGTCAGTATCTGAATTACAAAGAATCAACAGGTGATCCTCACTGCTGGCTGAACAGCAAGCCCAGAGCTTAAAATTTTGTTGTCTGTTTGCTTAACTTTGGTTTAAATGTTTTTTAATATTTTTAAATTTTTTAATTTTTAAATATTTTTCCCTCAGAGTGGGAATAACTCAATATTAAAGATCCCTTTGTGGGAAATGTTTTTTGTTTTTCCCTTATGGTGGGAATAACTCATTATTAGTAGTCCCTTCATGGGAGAAAGAGGAAGTTTTAAAAGGCCCAACTTCTGGTAAAGAAGGGTTACAGTCAAGACATGGAATGCTGAGTCAATGTTGTTTAAATTTCCAGAGGTACTAATCATTCAATGTATAAAGGATGTTCTTTTCTTTTGAGTGTCTAGTAAATGTTTGGATGAATGTTTGACTTCCATGGTATATAAACTAAAGGAACAGGATTCATAATTTTGAACTATATATTAGGTATGTTCTTGTCTGTTGATTATTACTGAGAATGTGGCTCTGCTCTTTAAGTTGCTTTCTAGAAATTCTTGGGCCGGGCGGTGGTGGCGCACGCCTTTAATCCCAGCACTCGGGAGGCAGAGCCAGGCGGATCTCTGTGAGTTCGAGGCCAGCCTGGACTACCAAGTGAGTTCCAGGAAAGGCGCAAAGCTACACAGAGAAACCCTGTCTCGAAAAACCAAAAAAAAAAAAAAGAAATTCTTGGTTTAATTCTATTGAAATACAACACCTGAAATGGATTGGGTTGTTAGCTTATTAAACAATGTGATTACTAGGAAAAAAACTCATAGAAAATAATCTCTTACTGATAAAGAGGTTACAAAATTATTTTTCCAGTAAATAAAATACAGATAAATTGTTTGATCCACATTGTTAATAATGGGAGATTTACATTAATGTGTTACTTGGGATCTATAAAAAAGGATCCTCTTTTTAAGATTTTATAAAAAATACTCCAGAGTATTGCCTAAAGTTACCTCTTAAAATCCTATAGTGATTGTATTTAATGCCTTTATAGATAACATATGTAAAAAGGACCATGAAAATAAAAACTGATGATAGAATTTCTCAATTATTATTGCTTCCATATCTTAAAGACAAAATGGCGCCTACACGTAAAACTAGAGGCTTTGGAAGTACAGAAAAAGAAGGTGTTTTGGCAAACAGTTATCAATGATGAATGACCTAAATTGAGGTAAAATTAAATAGGATTGAGATTGAAGGATTATTGGATTCTGGTGCTGGATGTATCTATAATTTCACAAGAATCCTGGGATCTCTACTGGCCTCTACAAGAAGTCTCCACTCAATTTGTAGGCATTTGAACCTTATCTCAAGTAAAACAATGTAGAATGGATTAAATGTATAGAGCCTAAAGAACAGATAAAAATGTTAAAGCCTGATATGGCTGATATAGCCATGAATTTGTAAGAAAGAGATTTGTTACAACAATGGTGACCTCAAATTAATATTCCTACAATTTCAGAAACAGCTTATAAATTGGTGTTAAATTGAGATATATTCCTGGAAAGAGCATTGGAAAAAATGAAAAGGATAGGTTACAGGCTATACAGGCTATACAAAGACAAGGTAGAATAGAGATTGGCTGTCTAAATTTAGAGTAGGGGCCACTGCCGGTAGCCCAACATTGTGTCAATATTTTGTAAATCAACCACTAAAAATGATACATAGACAATTTCCTCAATCTATTATTTATCATTATATGGATAATATTTTAGTGGCTGCTTCTGATACAGATACCTTAGAAAAAATGTTTAATGTAGTACAGAAAAAAAATCTACCCTTTTGTGGATTACAAATTTCTCCTTAAAAAAAAAAATACGAACAGGAGATTCTCTTAACTATTTAGGCTATAAATTAAATAAACTAAAAATTCAGCTATAAAAAATACAGATTAAGAGTGATAGACTGCCTGCTCTTAATGATTTTCAAAAATTATTAGATGATATTAACTGGTTGCGGCCTACATTTGGATTGTCTACCAAAAATTAACCAATTTGTTTCAAATTTTATAAGGTGACTCAAATTTAAACATTCCAAGACAGTTTATAGCTGAGACTAAAAAACAATTAGCCTTGTTAGAACGTAAATTGCAAAATGCTTATATGGATAGATTAGACCTTATGAAGAGATGCTTGTTAAACAGAAGTGGGATATGAGGACCCCCTAGAGATAGACTGAATAATGCCGTACCAATTTAAAATTTTTTTAAATGCTAATGAAACAGAAACAAAATTGAGATATGGAAAGAGTTGCTGAATTGAGCCAGCCCATGCATTATAAATATCTAAACATCTAAATAGCCCAGGGAAAGTGTTAAGTTAGGGCTGAGGTCATGCTTATGTTTCCACAGGAGACCTTTGCAACAACTAATCCTTCCAACCTGGGGACAACTAAAGAGTTTGTGTAAAAGGAGAGACTCACACAGCTACAATTAGCCATTGAAAGCAACAACCATCACAACGTCTCAGATTGACACTGGGTATTCTCTGTATTTGAGGGGGTGCAGTAAAGAAACTGCCCACGTGACGGCTCCATGATATGGTTAAGGTTTTTATTATAAGAACAGCCAGAGGCAACTGGAAGGGTTCAGAGCAGAGACAGAAGGAAGGAGACTGACCATGGCCAGGCCTACTTGCTAGAGTTAGGAGAATAGCAGGGGTGGAGAACAGAGAGAGCAGAGTGAGAATAACTGAGTTATAAGAAGCCTATGGGTTGGAGGAAGTTGAGGACAGCATGAACTTTGGAATGTGTAATAGGTATTTGTGATACTGAGGAAGCCTGGAGGCCAGCTGTGCGTTGATATACTGACAGGCTCCCCTGTAGCCAGAGGTAAGGAAAATGACCCCCTCTGGCAGATGGGAACCAGTTTCACAAGTTCCTGAGGAATGTTGCCTTTTATCAGACTGTCAAAAAGCCTCCTATAGTCCAAGTTGAGCTCACTTCTGAATATCGGGCCTGCCTTTTGGAGTCTGGAGAACTGGAGTTTCCTTAGGACATTCTCAAGGCCATACCCTACAGCATGAAGTCTATAAGCATGGGTGTGCTCTCCAAAGCTTTCTGCAACCATTTTGTCATCGACTCGGGTCATAAGGATGATGAAAAAAGACTGCAAGGCATCTGCTATATCCACCACAGCATTAAAATTCACGTCCTAATAGTAACAGGAAATGACATCCTTCTTTCTGAAATCAGCCCCGTTAAGTTCAATGGAAACACTTACTTCCTTGAGAGCAGCTGGGATTTTCTTCTGTTTCCTCCCCGATGGGATACTGTGCAGGACTGAGGACAAGGCACTTGAGGGGGACTTGTGATTCCCAGGAGATCCAATCCTAGGTGGCAGCTGGCGATCTGTAACAGAGCAGGCGTGCTCATGGAGCAAGGGTAAGCAAGCATGCATTGCTACTAAAATCAGTCAACCATGATGTACCAAATACCCACGAAAGGACTCTCAGAAAACGAGAACTGAGCGGGAGTTGAGTTGATTACATACGGACTTTCTGAACTACAAACCATATGACAAGATCCCATTTCTGTGTCCTTAGGATTCTGAAACAGCTAGGGACACACTCAGAGACAGTGTGCCTGCTTTGTGTGCACAATGCCCTAGGTTCAATTCTCAGTACCAAAACATGAAGTAGAAATTCACCGTGATGGACATGGACATGGTGGCACATGTCTGTCACCCCAGATGTAGAAGGATGAGGAGTTCAAGGTACATCCTTACGTACCATAGGAAGCTCAACCCAACCTGAGTTACATGAGACTCTATCTCAATAAACCATAAGTCAAGAATTCTGAAACCTACAAGGACATCATCAACTTCACAAACTTCCCTACCGACTTAACGAGGTTGATTTAGACAAAGGAAAAGATATATGAACCAGAGCATCTGCTGGTTGAATAATGAAGCTGGAGGGAAAAAACGGGGCTGGGGTGCCTCTAAGTAATTTGGAATGCTGTTTAGGCTGGGGGTGGGGGTGGGGGTGGGGTGATTGGATATGAACAGTTTGGTCTTATGACAATCTTCTCGCTTCAGCCTCCCGAGTGCTGGGATTACAAGCATGAGCCACACCACCTGGCTCTAAATCAATCGTTTTCTCTTTCATACTTCTGTTTTACATGGCGCTGAGGATCTAACTTAGAGCTCTGCACATGCTGGGCGGGTCCTTTCCACTAAGTCACATTCCTCCCAGACTAAGTTTAGAAAAACAGAGCAGGCAATAGGCAGGAAGAGGGGTTTGCAGAAGGACATAACTGGAGTAATCTAGACCTTGTTAAGGTTGACACGAAGGACTCAAGGTGAGTGAGACTTTCTAAAATAAAATGACAAGGTCTCCTGACCAAGAAGAGGTGCGTGGTGAGAGGTGAATGTTAACATTTCACATTGGGATAGCCAAAGAACAGAGAAAGGAAGAGAAAGGGTGACAAGGAATAGATGAATGGGTCTTCAAAAACGTATACAAACAGTAACTACTGACTTAGAAAAACAGGGATTCTAAAATAGCTTGCCATCTAGGTTTACTCATACAATACTCCTCTTTCCTAAAGAGAAACTATTCTTCATGGACATAAAGGATGATGTTTTCAGAATTTAGAGCCTATAAGTTTCTGAAATTTAAAATATAGACTTGAGCATTCCTCTTAGCTGAGTTTATTTTGTCTGTGGGCAAATAAAGCTTGCAGACACTGAACAGGCAGATACAAAATACCTTGTATTTGTTCAAAGATTCGAACCTGCCAAGTGTGGTGGCAGCACTTGGAAGGCGGAGAGTGCCAGGCTAATTTGAGTTACAAAGGGAAACCATCGATAAATAAGTAAATAGAGGTACACAGAAAACTCTCTAAACCATCTAATGAGCTAGAACTCACTAACAAAATGCCAGCCTGTATGCTCCTGTGCTCAATTCCTTTGCAGATGAAAGCATTTTAGAGACTGGGGAAGTCGCTCAGCAGTACAGTACTTAACTCAGATGCACAAAGCTTTGGATTCGGGCCCTTGTACTTCCAGGGGGTGGAGTAGAGAAAGAAAAGAAAATCTATCTGAGAAATGAAAAACAAGGGCTAAAGAGATGGCCCAGGAGTTAAGGTCACCTGCTGCTCTTGCGGAGGACCCGGGTTTGACTCCCAGCACCCATAAGGTGGCTCACAACCGTTCTTAACTCCAGTTCCAGGGGATCCTACACCCTCTTCTGACCTCTGAGGGCTCCGTATATGCATGTGGTCACGATAGTCATTCAGGCAAAACACTCACACACAGAAATAAATAAATCTAAAAGAACAAAAATGAAAAATAATAAGCCAAAACTTTGAAACAGCTCTCAAATTAAAGTTAGCTTTTAACTGTGTTAGCATTTCATCAGTAATCATTCAATAATAAGCTTCCTTAGTAAAACCGTTTCTCATTGTTAATGGAATTGCCATAAAACTCAAGTTAGAGCATATAGGAATCAAGACAAGTCCGGCAATCATGCTTCGTGCCAAACACGGTTCTTTTAGGAGGGAGAGACTCGGGCGAAGTGTTCACTTCTGTATTACCTAATTTCTGCAGTTCTTGGAAGCAGTGTTCACACACTCTTGCCGGTTGCCTTTTCAGGTAATCTAAGCCATACTTATTTGACGAGCAGGCTTGGCACACGATCTGAAAACACATTGCAATGATTTCATTCAGAAACACTCCCGATTACAAGCCGTGAGGAAGGCTGCAGTTTACACCACTGTCCACTGATCAACACAGTGTGACGGTGACTGACTCTCACTCATCTTGCAGCATTCTGGCCGGCAGTGAGCTAACTTACAGAGCACTTCCATGGAGAGGCTCCACATAAGCCCCGAATGCTTCCTTCACAGACGATGTGCTCAGCAGAGCTAATGCACAGAAGCCTCCAGAACACTGCCTAGGGTGCAAGAACTTCTCTCAGGCTCACTGCCCACCCCCCAGCCTAAACATTGTCTCTGCCACGGTACTACTACCTCTCTGCGGCTCTACCAGGTTACGGGGTCCTGTTTCACCTTTAGGGGAGCTCTCTATCACTATGCTTGTTCTGCTAAAGAAATCATGAAAGCTTAGACGTCGGTGTGGAGTGGAAATACCTTCCAAAGACCCACTTGGGCACTAGCAGGAGGTGGCAGGAACTTTTAAAAGTTCATTACGGCCGATGCCTTCCAAGAGGACTGTGGGGTCATTTCTTCCACGTTTTTCACTCCTAACAATCGAGTACACAGCTTTGCCCACTGCATGCTCTCACCATGACGTGTTGTCTTAACCCAATACTAAGGCCAACTGACCGAGCACTGAAGTCCAAAAGTGTAAGCCAAAGTAAATCTTTCCTCTTTCTAAATTGATGTATTGGGCCAGACATGATGGCACACGTCTTTAATCCCAGCATCCAGGAGGAAGAGGCAGGCGGAGCTCTGTGAGTTCAAAGCCAGTCTCGTTTACAAAGTGAGTTCCAGGCCAGCAAAAATACAGGGACCTTCCTACTGATCCTGGTCTACAGGAAGATGGCTAAAAAACGAAGCTGTGATATCAATAAATGGGGGGTTGTTTTGTTCTTTAGACAAAAGGGTTGGCCTTGAACTTGCTGAAATCTCCCTGCGTCAGGCTTCTGAGGGCTGGGATTCACAGGCACGTGCCACCATGCCTGGGTTAGTTCTCCTTTCTGAAAACAGGTTCTCTGCGGCTGCACTGATACTGTAACTGGGGGTGGAGAGTGGAGAAGAGTCTCCCACAATGTTCCCTTCTCCAACCCCAAGTCACAGAGAAGACGACATCTGTGGTTTTCACTACTGCTGCTTTTCCGTCTCGTGTACTAACTACAACGACTTCTGAGGGGCTACTTCCCCACTGCGCACGGCCCAGGGACACCGACATCACGACAGCGATAGATACTGTCCCTTCTGACCTTCCCACAGGCCCTGCAGTGATGTCTTCTCCAGGTCAGGGTAAATTCACTTGTGCAAATCATACACATGGTGGCTCTGGTGTCAGGAATCCAGATGGGAGCCTTTGACCCAAGGGGACTGACTTCCTCTTTCTTGTCTGAGTCCTGTGGAAGAAGACGGACTTCTGGTTACTGGGTGCACACTGCCTGTGGTAGAACCGAGTCTTTGCAGTGGGCTTCCCCAGTGCTGAAGGCATTATCAAGGAGGTGGGAGGGAAGAGGACCATGGCATTTTTTGAGTCCTCAGTATATCAGGATTAAATACATTTGAAAATCCTGTTGCAAAATTATCTGCAAAAGATGCTCACAATACTGAGATGATTAGCTTCTTCCTGAAGCTATTCCTGCTCTTCCAGTTCCATACGGCAAAAGCTGGGGATAGAGCTGGGGTGGGGTGCATGTTTAGTGTGAGGAAAGCCCTGAATTCAATCCCTACAACACACAGAGAGACATGCACAGAGACACATACTCCCTTCCCATAAACACACACACAGATACATACACAGAGACACAGACATACATACACTCCCTACACACACACACACACACACACACACAGAAACACACTCCCTCCTCATACACATCCCCCCAAAGATACATACATACAGAAACACAGATACATACATAGACACACACTCCCTCCCCATGAACACACCCCCCACACACAAAGATACATACAGAGACAGAGATACACACACACACAGAAACACACACACACACACACACACAAAACATACTCCCTCCTCATACACATCCCCCCAAAGATACATACATACAGAAACATATACACAGAAACACAGATACATACATAGACACACACTCCCTCCCCATAAACACCCCCCCACACACAAAGACACATACAGACACACACACACACACACACACACACACACACACACACACACACACAAGTAAATAAATAAAATTTCCTACACTTAAGTCTTATGACTAGGAGAAACTAGAAGTACACATACCTCCTCTAATCCGTCTCTGAAAAACACGTTCCTTTCTAAAACTCTGTGAACTCTACAATTAAAGGAAAAGCAAACCCCTGAAGCCAGCCTAGCAGGAGAGGACCACAGTACCTCATCAAGGCTCCGGCTGGGGCAGAAGGTGATCTTCTTCTTGGCGTACTCTTCTATTGCCCTGGATATGGCCTCCAGCCAGTCATCTCTTTCTGTGGCAGAACTGACGGGGGCAAAGGTTCATCAAGAAGACATCAGCACTAAGTCCTTTTGTCTTTTTCTTTCTCCCTTTCCTTCTCCCCTGGCAACTAAGACCACCCTCTGGTCAGTCCAAAAGGGATTCCTTCCAAAAGGCATCATTTTCTTTACCTCTGGCAGCAGGGACACATGGCTGCTTGTGGTTGCACATCAAAGCCCATGCTGGCTCCCAGGCTCCCTCAGTATCCCAAGGACATGTTATACATGTCGAAGTCCATGACAGAATGCTAGCCCTTTTCACTTGCCCAGGCTTCCTTCCTCCAGATACCCATTTGTTCTCTTCATAATGGCAAACTTTCTCCCCTGTTCCCCACACTGTTCTTGCTACATTCTCATTCTACCTCCACCTCCCACTTACTCCCCCCTCTCATTCTCAATCTCTCTCTCTCTCTCTCTTTCACACACACACACACACACACACACACACACACACACACACACACACACACACTCACTATGCTCTACTCCATTGTCTCACACTCCTCCACTTCTTTAGCCCTGGCCATGTCCAACCACTTCTTTCTCTCTCTGCTCTGGACTCTTCCAGATGCCTCTGGCTTTTCTCTCTCTCTCTCCCTCTCCCACCCCCTTTTCTCGTACAATAAAAGCCTTCCTATGTCATGGAGTGGTCATGTCGGCAGCTTCTTTCCTGCACCCCCTCTCACATATCTGGTGCCGATACCCTCACAGACATCGCCTAAGGTATGAATCATTTGTTCTGCTGGCTTCTGCCACCTACCATACTCGACTCCAAATTTTAGACTGTGTCTCCTGGCTGCTTCTCCTCCGCCTGCTCTAAGTGCTCATCTCTCCTCACCTACCTGCTAAGTGTCCTCTCAGCCCTCTGCTCCTACACCCTCCTGGGTACCTGGGAAGGGAATGGCTCAGTTGCCTTTAGCCTACTGGCTATGGGTGAGTTAGGACTTCTGTTAGTCTTTTCTGTGTCGAACGCACAGATTGCAAGCCCAGCGCCACTTTGAGTTCTTTGGCAGCAGTGAACCCTACAGCTCACACTTGGTTGAGCCTGTATGATAATGAGCATTCAATGACGGGTAATCCCTGGGGGCACCCACCGACCTAAGATAGGGAGCCTGCGTGGCCTGGGCAGGTGTCTCCATGATAGGTAAGGTGATATGCTGACATCCCATGTAACCTAAGACAGAAGCTCATTTTTCTTTTTAGTAAGGGGGGAATCTGTTGGTCCCTGAGCCCCGTTCCTTGGGTAGCTGTTGCCTTGCTTGCTGACCTTGATCAGATGTCCTCCCTATGCTAATTCCCTGCTGGTTTCCTTCCTCCTAAACAGCTTACCGGAGGTCCCTTGTTTGTGTATCCTGCATATTGGTATAAACAGCTAGGATGCAAGTATGTAAAACATCTGTAGCAAACTTCTGCCCTCCAGGGTTCTCCCACTGTGCTGTAAGCCTGTATTTAAGGCCTCTTCCCTCCTTCAATAAACGGCATTCTACTGAATGACCTGCTGTCTTGTCTCTGTTTTAATCCTCAGCCCCTTGCTAGGACATGGTGAACCGGTAGTAGCGCGGGCGCTACATCACAGAGCTCCCTTTAACCCAACTCCAGTATGAACAGGCCAGAGAAGAGGAGGCCTGCTTAGAAACGGGCATTCTAGTTTTGTATTTTCAACCATGCCTCTCCTCCAAAATTCTGTGGTTTATCTCCATTCATTATTGGTGTCAAGACAGTTATGAAGTCAGTTAAAATTTGTTTTGCATATTCAAAACTTCCAGACACACTTTAGGTAATATAAATATGATAATCTATACATATACATGGAGAGCAAAGAGAGAAGAGACTCAAAATCTATCCTAATGAAACAATTCCTTCACAATGGGAGCGTAATGACATAAGGAAATCCCCGTATTTTTTGGAGCATGATATGAAAGTATGCAAAATGACCTGACAACTAGTTAGATTTAAAATACTTTAGAAAAATGTAAAACAAAGAAAGCCAGCGGTAGAGTCTTGATTTCTGCAGCTCGTTGTATTTTTCACTCTAAGTATAAACAATTCAATATGTAATATATATTGAATTATATATTATGTTTTTATATATTATATATTCAATATATAATATTGTATATAATATAAACAAATCATATACGAACGAAATAAATTAAAAATAATATTAAATAAAATTAAACTCCAAATGGGAACAGAGAGACACATGGAAGGGCACAGGGTACTGTTCTTTGGACTTTTTTTGTCTTCCTCCCCCTTTGCCAGGGCTGGAGGATCACTCCCAGGAGGACCTCAGGAATCCTAGACCAAGAACTCTAACAATGACCTAGTACAGCCCTAGCTTCCTTGTTACTGTAGAAGATACTAGAACACTTGCCTTTCCCATAATAAACATTTTCAGGCACGTACTTCCCTGATAAATGCCATTTAGTCTATTTATTCATATTGACAGAAGAATTTACAAATGATATTGAAAAATTGAAAGTTCCCAAATTGTATTATATACAAAGAACAAAACAAGAAATAACACTTTCCTTTATAAACCAAATAAAATCTGCCTGTTTGTTACTTCTACTATTCTAGCATTAGTGCCAAAGACAACTGTCAATTAACAGTTACTATGCTCATCCAACGGCACTAAATGCCTCCCAAACGCCATCATTTCTCATCTTCAGAGCCCCTGGAATGCCCACTGGATCTTACTTCCACCCACTGCATTAGGAGACACTGTCACCACGTGCAGACAAGGAAACTGTGGGCCACCAATATTAGACACTGGCTTTATCAATGACAGGTTACTGAGTCCTGAGCTGATATGAAACCCAAATGCGGTAAAGGGCTGAGCCCTTCACCACCAGGTCAGTACCATCTGGTTTGTGTTCTCTGAAGAACTACAACACAGGAACAGACACTGAGACTTCTGAGCAAACATTTATGAACCATTACCAGCTCTCCTCCTACCGCCCACTTTTTGCTCAAAGTAACTGAAAACAGAGAGGCAGATGGCTAATTTGAGAATTGCTGTTGGATTTTTCTGGAGCCCTGGGAGCATGAGGAATGCGATTTGACTGTACAAATCATGTCACATATGCTGTTCTTTTGTTTAATCATTCCTGGCGCTCTCTCGTGTGGGCTTCTGCCAAGACAATGTTTACCAGCTCTTGATAACACATTTCTTACAGACCACACACATTTGCCTGAAGCATCCAGTGCTGACATCCTAGGCCTTTTGGAATACAATGAGCAGAAGAATCCACATCCTCCTCAAGCTGACAAACAGGCTGAGTACTTTGTTTTTTATAGAATGTGTACATCATCAGAAGGCAAATTTTTGCCATGTAAAATTATTTTCCTCTCAATTGCAATGAATTACTGGGAGGAAAAACTGCCCAGCTGAAGGGATGTCTGGTATATCAGACCTTGCCACACTACTGTTTGTGCTGATAGCAAGGTGCAATGCTGATGTTTGAAGGCCACATTATTGTGACTCTTCTGAATTATGTTTACTGGGCAGTTCTGATAGGTGTGAACTGGACATAGAAAATCTACTTCGGGTAAGGGTTCCCACCTTACTGTGGTGAATGCGAGCATAGAAGAGGGACACCCTTTTATTTAGGTGCCCGGGCAAGCCTGCAGAGGGCTGCCAGGCCCTGAAGAATGACAAGAGTCTCACGGGGAAGTGCAGTTCTCTCTGTGCACCCACATTCAGTCTCAGACTTTGCCATCTCCAGAATGATGGCACTCACACATATGCATCAGCCCAGGCATCCTTCTGACACTGAAATCCTTGCATGCCTGAGGCTCCATGATGACATCCACATGTTCAATGTGCATGCCAACCCCTGATTTTTCCCTAGACTGCTCTCCTTCAAGGGCTACCTATCACAGGGAATGGCATCATCACCCTACAGCCCGTAAAGCCTGTCAACTCTTGATGAATAATCCTTTCTTTCGCCTTCTGTGTTCAGTTAATCACTTTTCCCCAAGTGCTGTCCACCACACAGGAGTGAAATTTTCTCATCACATTATTCTCTGTTATAAACCATTAAGTGGCTTTCCTATGGCTCTTACGCTACAGACCCAAATCTACAAGATGATTCTGCATACTACTTTACCAGATCCTTCAAGTTTCTCTTGGCTGCCTTTCATATCATTTCCTAGCTCACACTACATGCTCCTTTTTTCTACCTTAGAACCTTTGTAGTCACTGTTCCTAATCACCAGGAAGCCCCTGCGTTTCCCTTTGCCTAGTTATCTAACACCTACCCTTCATAAGTCAGTGAACACAGCAAGCCTTTAAGGCCTATCTCCATGTCCTTTCCCCCCTAAATCCAGCTTGCTTAACAGCTTCATAACAATTAGTCCTCTTCCTGTATCCTACTTAATTACAGAAATCCTTACTTGACTTGGGTTAATATTAGCTAAGGACACGTCTGCCCTAGTGGAATACAAGCTTAGAGCAGAAAGGCTCTTTTAATCACCCACTGTACCTCTATGTGTACCTAGCACAATGCTTAGCCAAAGGCAGAGGCTCCGTATTACTGACTGAATGAAGTAATGAAGTCCATCCAGGTAGAGGAGCTCCCTGAAAGAGGCAGAAAGATGTGGCGTAGGATAGCGAGCATGGAGACATAAGCTGGAAGCCAGGTGCTGACTCTCTCTAGCCATCAAGGTTCTAGACACATGTCTACTAAAGGAAGGCTGTCTCATGTACGTAGACCTGCTGCTGGCACAGCCACCTTCTTCATTCTCCTCAGCTATATCTCCTGGGTAACTCCCTGCAGCTTCTACCTCAGCACCTCCTGCTTGCATGTCACGAGACACGACCGAAGCCTCAGGCCTCAGCCCCCGCTCGCCTCAAACTTTCTGCCCAAGTATCTCCACCCCTCTAGATACTCACAGAACCGAAAAGGATTTTACTCCAGACTAGGCTTTGGCTTAAGTCAATGTTGTTACTGGTTTCTATCCACATGACTCGGGTGTCCCCCACAAAACATCAGCCTGCTCTCACTCAATTTGTTCAGGGGGGTAGCACATTCAATTGTCCTCAAGACCTTTTCCTGTCCATTCACACCTTGCCAACTGGCCCCAAATGCCTCGTTTTCAGCTGGTCTGGGCTTTTGACACACCGTCTTCTTAACCTTGATCACTTCTAGCTTTTGATTTCAAGTGAGAGATTTGTAACTCTTCCTTTCGGTTGGACACGTACAGGCCATTGTAGGGTTATTTTGTCTGACAAAATAGGGAGGGCATGGCAGAGGGAAAAATATAGGGAAACACTCAGTTCAGAGCCAGAAAACTAAATATTACTCAATTAAGTTCAACATCACGCAGGCATGCTCAAGGTGCCCAAAATCAATTAATTAAATGCTAACATCAATGATCACATATTATATAGATCATGAAAATACAACAATGAAAAAAAATGAAATATTGTGAGTACTACAGAGAGACACTGAGTGGGCACATGCTGTTAGAAAGAGGAAACAGGACTGAAAAGATGGCTCAGTAGTTACAGACATTGCTGAGCAATCACAAGGACCCGCTTGACAAGCTCAAAATGCCACAAACACTTGCACTCCAGTTCTAATGGAATTGAAGCCCTCCTCAAGTGTACAGGTGCACAGACACACAAACCTTAATTTATAAAAAGAAAAGAAAAGGGGCACTGGAAGACTTTCAGTTCACAGAATACACAGTATTGAAACGGGCCTGGCGGCACGTGCCTGGAATCCCAAAACACAGGAGGCAGAGGACTGCTGATAATCTGGGGCCGGCTAGGCCACATAGGAGATCTGGGCCTCAAAAACAAAACAACCAAACGGGCAAACACAAATTATAGCACACAGTATCTGCAAAGCAGAGTGAAGTGTGACACATGAGTTATGTTGGTGTGTGAGTTCTACAACTTTGGGTTTCCTTAATGCTTGGTTTACACTCTAGCTTTCCTGTTGTTTTGAGACAGGGAATCATATGGTCAAGGTCGGCCTCAAACTTACTATATAGAGGAGAATGATCTTGAATGACTGTGTGTGCTAGGAGCCCAGCCCTTATGACAGACAGGTTTATTACACGTAAGTCACTGTTGGTTTCTGTTTGAGGTTAGTCTGCTATCACACACAACGGTAACAATATATATAAAAGCAAAAGACTTGATTTCCATTCTGGCTTTGTTATATTGAGAGCAAACTCAACTTTTTTGTAACTTGGTTTCCTCATTTTTAATGAGATATTACCTACTGCATGGATTACGGACCTTAATGATACATGAACTCTTTCTAGTAAAGTATAAAGCACAGGTGTTCTGAAACACTTCGTGTTAAAACTAGAGAAGACTTTGCAATACTTTTAAAAGATGCCCAGCATAACAAGTCCAGCATGACTACTCTATTAGAGGAACACTGCTATTTCCCTATCAGTTCTGTCATGTGCTTGATGGGATAATACAAACACAAATGGGAAGAGGTTTTACGAAAGGAATAAATAGAATACCTAGCAACATTAAAATAAAGAAACTATCTGAGCCAGCTACACTGGCAAAATGTCATTTCAAGTATGTGTGTACGTGGATGTGACTATGTGATGACCACACACACACACACACACACACACTCACTCACCTGGCTGAGAGGATGAAAGAACGTTCCACACTTTCAATCTTTAATTCATTCTGATATGCTTCTTGGGTGGGTTTTCTGACCTGGAAGAGGGTACAAATGTCTGTCAAACTTAGCCTGCTGCACATGGGACATGTGAACAGTAGCTGAAGTTGCCCAGACCCCTGGCTACTGATGTCCACAGCCGGTCTCCCCACTCCGCTTTATCTACCGTCTTCTGCCATCTACTCTGGGTTCCACATGCAGGCCCAACGTCCCCATCTCCAAGCCATAGGTCACAATATTCACTCTACAGAATGTCCTTCCCCAGTGTCCTAGCATGGGGCCTGGGTCATGCCTAAGCCACACTGTCTTTCCCCAGAAAGGTTTCCCTGATTCTCTCTCAGGTGGTGGGTTTTGTTTTACGTTTTATTTGGGAAAGGGTCTCACTATGGAGCACCTGGCATTTCCCAATGTCTACCTAAAGCAGCACACCAACCACACCTATCGAAAGATGCTCTTCTTGTCTATGGAGGCTCTCGGCACTCCAGAATCTGAGGCAGAAGATGATCTCAACTTCTCAGTTAGCCTGGGCTACAGAGTAGACTCCCATCTATACAAAGCTTGGTATGGCTGCTCACATCTGTGATTCCAGCACTTGGGAGATGGAGGCAGGAGGATAAGGAGCTCAAGGCCAGTCGCAACTACACAGTCCAGCTTGGGCAACAAAATAAAAGCACAGCCGCAAACGAAGCCTTTTAAAAAGACCACACACACACACACACACACACACACACACACACACACACACACACACATTTGAGATGACAGTCCCACTATGCTGCCAAAGGTGGTCTTGAGCTCCTGAACTCAAATGATCCAAGCTCACCCTCCTGTGGATGGGGGATTAAAAGTATATACCACCAACCTGTCTTTGGCTCTAAACTCCAATCTTATTTATTTCTGTTCTGCTTAGGTAGAGTCCCAAGCAGCCGAGGCTAGCCTGAAACTCACTGTGTGCAGAGAAAGCCCTTGAGTTCCTGCTCCTCTTGCCTCCTCCTGCCACGGGGTGAGAGTGCAAGTGTGTGCTGCCACGCTCCCTCTGCGCTCCTGACTGTGTGTGAAGTGTGCCTGCAGAGTGCTCTTCAGTACCGTGTACTTACGGGAGCCACGTCCGCACCACCGAAAAGTCTCAGGGTACAGGAGGGAGGTTTGGGAAGAGGCAGAGACCAAATGAATCATCCTTTAATGCATCCTCACATTTTTACCGAATCTGTTACTATTTTTGTTTATAGTAGTGCTCAATAACTATCCCTTGAATAAATTAATGAAGAGCGAGCCACGGACAGGGATGGACAGATGGACGCATAAGCAGCAGCAGCCAACAGAAGAATGAGGGGCGTGAGAAAGACAACTATCTCACGGGGTCTTCTCTGCTCGTGCTTGGGTAAGTGAAAAATGTACTAAAGCACACAGACCTTCATCCCGGCCAGGGAGAGCATGTTGTTCAGTTTGTACATCCCAGACTGCACGGGTGTTGTATACAGCAGGGCATCGTTAAACTGGAGGGAGAAACAGAACACAAAGCCACTTACAAAAACCAATTTCAGCAACCAAGGTATTAATAACGCACAAGGATAAAGGGGAAAGATTACCTGTCAGAAAAATTTAAAAGCAATTGTGCTTCATTTTCAAGTTCTGGTAGAGATTTAATGTTTTATGGATTCTAAATCACATGAAAATATTACAATCTGCCTGAATAAATAATGGATTAAAACAATTCTTCCAAATTTAAAATAAAATTAGATCTCAGCATTTCCTATGCTTGAAACAAGCGACAAGGCTGCTCCAAACGCCACCAAGCCTCGGAGTGCACTGAGCTCATGTCCCCACCTGCCTTCCATTAAGCCGGGACCCGGACATGTCAAACACACAGAGCCTCTTACCAGGAAAAACATTCGGGGCTGCATGACCTTCCGAGACAGCTTCATCAGAGTGCCTTCCTTGAGAAACACCTAATTCATCCAAGCAAACACTCAGTTAGTCCTGTGTCACCACACAACGACAACACACAGGACTTCCTCTCAGCATCTCCCAGAACTGCTTCTTTGTGACCTTTACAAGGGTGGTTTCTTTATAAGCCCTACAGGTGATTTGGAAATGGGACTAAAAACCAGGAGGTGAGGAGCTGGAGAGATGGCTCAGGGTATAAGACCGATAAGATTACTAACTGCCAATGCAGAGGATAGCCCTCAACAGCCTGTAACTCTAGGTCCAGGAGATCTGACACCCTGTTCTGGCCTCTGAGGGGACTAGAGGCATGTGGTGCACATGATACACATGTATAAAATAAAAATGAACAACTAAATATTTTTTTCAGAGAGAAAGAGGGTGACCATGTGCTCAGTAGCTTGCAGGGCATGCTTGAAGCTCTGGGCTTGATTTTTAGCACCTCAATAAACCAGGCATGTGGTGGTGTGCCATCCTGTGATTCCAGCACTTGAGAGGTGGGGATGGGCAGGAGGAGCAGAAGCTCAAGGCTAGCCTGGGTTATATGAGACGGCCTCAAGGAAGATAAAAAGGGGCCAGTGAGATGGCTCTGTGGGTAAAGGTAATGGCCGCAAAGCCTGATGGCCTGAGGTCAATCCCTGAGACCTACATGGTAGGAGGGAAGTCTCCCAGGAGTTGTCCTTTGACACCCCCGCAACACACAAATATAACTTATTTTTTCTTAAAAAGACAAAAATGGAAAGAAAACAAAAATTATAAATAAATTTTAAAAGCAATCATACATAACAATCAGTTTCATAAATCCTGGATTGGCCCCCGGGGTACTCTGTGGACTGACACATAATTGCCTGTGTGTACTTGACCTTGAGGCACATCCAATGACCTGACAATTACATGTGGCAACTTCCTGAATTCATTTCTTAGACCACTTCTGTGCTCTATGAGGAGCATCCAAACAATCTCTTTCCCTTCTCGGCCTCTCGATAGATTTTAAATGACACGCCTTCAAAGCTGTGTGAGTTCAGTTGGTACTACAAAATCAAATGATCCCATTAAATCACTTTATTGGAACTCCACGGGCTCCTCTGCCTCTCTCCTAATTGAATTGGATTGCTTGTCACTGTGACTTATAACACAGTGTTTTGAATGGATAGAACGATGCATATTAGGTCAGTGAAGAGTAACACAACTCGTTTTCAAAACTAAAATAAAAGTAGCTACAGACAGTGCCTAAATACACTGTATTAAACTGTGGGAGGTATTCTAAAACACTTACCCGCCCAGGCTGCACAATTTCATGGTGTCCGCTTAAGCTGTATTGAATTTGCATAAGCTTCTGAAAGTTGTCCTGCAGAGAGGCAATGTAACACATGTGATGGCTGTGCTTCCAGGTTCCACAGTATACCAGCCCTTGACTTCCAGACTTACCCCTTGCTTCATGGTGTCGTTGGCATGGTTGGCTACCTCTATGACAACAGCTAGGGCATCTAAAATATGCAGGAATAGAAAGGGTGTTTGGTCATTACTAAGGAAGCAAACAGATCCCAGCATTAAGCAGCTCCAGTTGACAAAAGACCTACTACACAGCAACTAACGCCCTGGCTGCCTGTGAGTAACCAGAACTATAGACATTAAGATTCAGTGAGGGAGCCAGGCAGCAGTGGTGCGCGCCTTTAATCCCAGCACTCGGGAGGTAGAGCCTGGGGGATCTCTGTGAGTTCAAGGCCAGCCTGGTCTACAGAGCGAGATCCAGGAAAGGCACAAAGCTACACAGAGAAACCCTGTCTCGAAAAACCAAAGGGAGGAAAAAGATTCAGTGAGGGGAAAACAGGCTAAAACAAAACAAACAAGGAACAACCCTAAGGAGCCACAGATTCCGTGTCACGGGGCTTGCTGAGATGGAATTACTCTGCTGAAGTTTACAGGGGCAAGAACAGGACTTTACCTAGTAGCGAAGGTCTTTCCTACCATAAACTGTCTTGGGAAAAATGATTCTGATAAAGCAAGCAGGAGTTGTGAGAAATAATTATTTGAGAGTCAGAGGCTGGAAGTATAGCTCAATAATAAAACATATACTTTGCATGCAAAGATTTAAACAACAGACAGAGTTTCTCTGTGTAGCCCTGGCTGTTTTGGAACTCACTCTGTAGATCATGCTGGCCTCAAACTCAGAGATCTACCTGCCTCTGCCTTCCGTGTGCTGGGATTAAAGACGTGTGCCACCACCGTCCCCTAAATTCTTGATCTTGATTCTGCTTCTTGAATGCTGGGATTATGTTTCTGTGTTATCATGCCTGGCTCTGGGTACTCTACCTAGCACCAATCCTGGAGGTGTCTGTATTCCTTAAACATGGGTTCTCTTCAATATTACTACTTAAAAACTGTGTGTGAGGGCTGGAGAGATGGTTCAGCGGTTAAGAGCACTGACTGTTCTTCCAGAGGTCCTGAGTTCAATTCCCAGCAACCACATGGTGGCTCACAACCATCTGTAATGAGATGTGGTGCCCTCTTCTGACCGGCAGACATACATGCAGACAGAACACTGTATACAACATAATAAATAAATTAAAAAAAAAAAAACAAAAAAACCGTGTGTGTGTGTGTGTGTGTGTGTGTGTGTGTGTGTGTGTGTGTGTGTGTGTGTGTAAGATATTCTGGAGACAGAACTTGAGGTTTCATTCAAGCTAGGCTAGGGCTCTACTATTGAGCCACACTCCCAACCTTATCACTGTTATAAAGGAAAGTAGGGTTTACTTATATGGCAATCCCTATCCACTGTGGGATGTTCTGTATGCTGTGAATGTGTTGCTCTGATTGGTTGATAAACAAAATGCTGATTGGCCAGTATCCAGACAGGAAGTATAGGTGGGATAAACAGACAAGGAGAATTCTGGGAACAGGAAGGCTGAGTCCAGCCCACTGTTCAGGGAGCAGCATGTAACGGCACACAGGTAAAGCCACGGAACATGTGGCAACATATAGATTAACAGAAATGGGCTGAGTTTAAATGTAAGAGCTAGTCAGTGGCAGGCCTGAGCTAATGGCTGAGCAGTTTTAATTAATATAAGCTTCTGAGTGATTATTTTATAAGCAGCTGTGGGGTCCGTGGGGCTGGGCAGGACCAGAGAAAACTTCAGCTACACCTACCATATGCCAGAACTTATGCACCTGACACTATCCTCACAGCACACACTGATGGTTCTCTCTGGCTTGCTGCAGTTCACAGTGAACAGGGTTGAGAACCTTAGGACCAAGTGGATAAATGGTCAAGATGCTGCTACTTGGTCATCTGGTCTCAAGCTCTACAATTCTACTCTCTGGGTGTCATCTCCTTAAGAGATGCTAATGACTCTACCCTTTAGTTTGGCTCTCTATCTCTGGGAGAGTGTGGTGTCTCCTTCAACATCTTTACTGTTTGTCTCAAAATGTCCCTGTCATATGTGCGGGTAAGCATCTTTGTTTAGGTTAGTAGAGTAGAAGGGTGAATTTGTGTTATCTTCCTTCCCTGCTGGTACAGTCTACCCACAGCTGCTGGCCACACCGCTTACTGCTCTGCTTCTGACCACACTGCATCCCACTGGCCACTGCTTATTTACTCTGTGCTTTTTTGAAGGTGGGTAATCTCCATGAATCAAGATCCTTCATCTCAAACTCTTTACTTGCTTCATCTCCAGAATCAGTGACTAATTTCCTTGAAGGCAGAAGTCCTGGGACATGGAGAGTAGTCTCTTGGGGCTCTGTTTGCCAAGATCACTATAATATTGGTGTGAGAGGGTGTCCTGGGGAACAAACCCAAGCCTTGTGTGTGCTCAGCATGTGTTGTATGTTGTAGACTGCTGACCTACAACCTCAGGTCTAACTTTTTTTCTCTTCATGAGACAGACTCTGGACGGTAATGCCTCCTCTTCCTCCTGCCTACTCCAACTCATCTACAGTCCTACTTTTTCCTAAGCCAATCTTCTCTGCCTCTACAACTATCATATTTTCCTCTTTCCAAATGACTATGTATAGCTTAGGGCATCTTCACTCTAAAGCTATCACTTTTATTATTTATTTGATGGAGATTTTAAACTTCTTCATCAACTGTACTACGTTTTTACTGAAGACATAAAACATTGTTTGGGGAACCTCAAACTTTTCTTTTAAAATAAAATGATTTTAAAATTCTAACTCTACGCTGTGGATGTGGTTCAGTGGTAGAGCATTTGCTTAGCATGAGCCCTGAATTGAATTTATAGCATCACAAATAACAATTACGTCAAAGAAACTGAGCGGGGAGTAAAGGCACAGGCTTATGATCCCAGCATCCGAAAGAGGCTGAGCAAGAGGATCATGAGTTCAAGGCCACTCTGCCACAAAACAAAACAGCAAGACGTGGTGGCAAGTATCTGTAACCACAGCACTTAGGGCAGAGAGGTGGGAAGAATAGAAATTCAAAGTCATCTTTGGCTATATAGCAACTTTTAAGCCAACCGATGCTACTATTAATTAAACCTTGTTTTAAAAATTGATGATGAGACAATGATTATGAATCTCTAAAAATGGGTTTGAAACAAGCTCAATTTCTAAAACTTTATTTTATTTTATGTGTATGAATGTTTTGTCTGCATGTATGTGCACCATGTGCATGTCTGATGCCTGCAGAGGTCAGGTAAGGACACCAGATCCCCTGGAACTGGAGTTATGAATGGCGGTGAGCCAGTGTGTGGGTGCTGGGAACTGAACCCAGGTCCTCTGCAAGAATACGTGCCCTTAACCACTGAGCCATATATGCTCTAGCCCCCATGCTCACTCAAGTTTGAAATCTGAAGATATACAGAATGTATAAGAATATGATCAACAGTCATAAATGAATGGAGTGGACTTGGACTTGTTTAACGAATTTCTGATAACCCCTGGAAGTGGTTGTGTGATGATAAATAGACACTTTGACCGGAGTTAATCTGAGATGGAGAGGCAGGGAGAAAAGGACAGAGACTAGACTTCCGTGTGCTGTGGAGGCTATTTTCCTGACTAAAAAGGCCAGCTATGGAGGCACACACCTGTAATCCTCAAACCTGGGAAGACTTGTGTTTGAGGTCAGCTTGTAGTACATTATTAAATCTTGGCTCCAAAATGTGGGGGTGGGGGTGGGGTGCTGAGGTTTACGGGGGATGGAAAGGTATTAAGTCACTAGCCACAAATGTTCTCAAAATAACAGGCTACTTTAGATTTTATCCTTTTACGGGTCGCTTTGTTTGTCTGTGGTCAGGGTGTCAGTCTGTAGCCCAGGCTAGCCGCAGACTCTCGGCAATCCTTTCCTAGCTTCCCAAGTACTGGGGTTACATGTGTGTGTCACCACGCCTGGCTGAAACTTCATCCTTGACTTATAGTTTAGTCACTTCGTGGAAATGATTTTCCAGCTTAAAATGACTTCACAGATCATCTGGTTCAGTCTCTGGTTGGAGATGAAAGATGGAGAAATGGACCTCTACAGATGGAACCCTCTGCAACTGAGTGACAGAATACACAGGGAAGGGACTTCCTGGCCAGGCCAGATGGACCCCACGCTCCTCGAGGCCAGCCTGGGGGTCTCCAGGGACGGCCATCACTGCCTCCAGCAGCCCTCTGCCATTTCCCCTAGTTCCAGCCCGAGGGAACTTTTCCAAAGGAGTTTCACACAAGGGTTTTGTTCTCAGTACGTTTTTCCTTCCCAGGCCCAAGCGCGCACAATACTAAAGCTTTTGTACCACAGACGGCTGCAAAGGTTAGTACCTTGGGTGTTCCTGTGATCTGCAGAGTCTTCTAGGAGGTTCTTTAAATAGTCTAGAAAAGAACGAAGCACAGTATTTAGAACAATGCCACTCGGACAAACCCCAACTCACCTTTTTAATTTAATACTTCAGTTTTATTTTTAGCTCAACTGTGAAAGTTCAATACCCTGAGATCAGGCATATAGAACCAGAACTACAGACTGTAAGGCAGTGGTTCTCAACCTTCCTAATGCTGTGACCCTTTAATACAGTTCCTTACATTGAGGTGATCCCAACCATAAAATGATTTCATTGCTAACTTACTGTCATTTTGCTACTGTTAGAAATCATAATGTATATATCTGTGCTCTCCAATAGTCTTAGGCAACTCCTGTGAAAAAGTCCTTTAATCTCCAAAGGCGTTAAGACCCACAGATTGAGAACCACTGCTCTAAGAGGTAAGATAAGAAATCAGCAGGGCTTGGAGCATACACCTATAACCTCACCCCTGACCAGAGGCAAAAGGCAGGAGGATCTAATGTTTGAGGCCAACACAGTCTGCGCTACACAGTGAACAGTTGCCAAACAAAACAATCAAGAAACATGAAAAGAAAAAGAGAAGGTGTAGTATCATATGACGAAGTAAACCATCTCACCTGAGTCACACAACTTTTTTGTCCCCGAGCCAAAAATGTAATCCAGGTTTCCTCATGTTTACTTAGTATGTTTACCCATCATACATGAAATACCTTAATCTAAGGCCCTAGTACAAAACCTCAAGACATTAACACATTGAAGGCCCCCAAGACAAATTTTTCAATCTAGGAATCTACCAATACTCAGGACACCAAAGTAACTCCCCGTGTGTTCTACTGCAGATACATCTGCCCCAGAGGACATCTGGCAATGTCTGGAGGCCCTTTCCACTGTCTCAGCAGGGAGGAAGGGGCGGCAACTGGTGGCTGGAGGTTAGGGATGCAGTTAAACATCCTTGATACAGCCTCACAGCAGATAACCCAATCGTCGAAGTGGCTGAGGTCGAGAAACGCTAGGCTAGATAAAGATGGTCTGTAAATAAACAACACGGTGCGCTGTGCCTTACAATATGAGGAGATCCTATTTAATGAATCTTTAATACCAACATATGTCACTGGACTTCAGACAACACTTACTTCTCTGCTGAGAAACGCTGGATGTCCTTGATATCCATCCAGTTTCTTTCTTTAGAACTTACCATCGCCCACTGTACGGTCCGTGACTTACTTTTCTCACTTGCTTGCTAGTATGTAACCCAGGCCCCTTGTCCTTCTTCCCATGTCTTTCCTGGCTCCATGATTTCTGTCCCTAACTTCTCTCTTCTTGTGAATCCCTTCTTCTGTCTCTGCAAGTAGAATCTGACTCATCTTCTCCGTGGTTGTCTATGTGTGGTGCTGGGGATGGAACCCAGGGCCGTGGACATGCTTAGAGGATGGTCTATCACTGAACTACATCCCTGGTCTTCAACTGGCAGTTCCCAAGGCTCTTCTCAGGTCCCCCTCCCCCTACAAAACTTTCCATCTGGAAGCACTGTTTTCTCCCTTGAACAGGACATGACATGGCAGTTATTCACTTTATGCCTTCTCTCCTATCCCACCACCCACTAACACCCAGCAAGTTCTCTAAACAAAGGTTGAAGTCGGACAGTTCTAAAGCCCAGCGCATCAGCACAAGTGCAGAAAGGGGGAAGACGAAGCATGCTGGGAAGCTGAGTGCACCAGACCCAAACGGTATCAGTTCCGTGATGTGAAAAGGTATCATTCCAGCCTAGAGATTCACAAGTCGTGCTCACAAACGAATATGGAAATGTGGGATGTCAGCACTGGTTTTCCCAAACAATGACAGATAAAGCACTCAAACTTCAAAAGTCTCTGTCTCTGGGATAATGACCCAAGAGCCCATGGAGTCTGGACATGTGCATTATAAATATCCAGCATGGAGTAGACCTGACAAGGTGTTGTATATGACCGCAGTAAGCTTCCCTCAGGCATGGCAAAGCTTCCATTTCGCCAGGGAAGGTCACTATAAATTTAGACCCGTAGGAAGGCATGCCTCTGATGAAATATGAAAAAAACCATAATATCACCGAAGTATATTGCTTATACACTATGCTTAGCCTCCTCTCACACATTAGAAAAAAATGCTTATTAAGCTAGGTGCGGTGGCTCATGCCCATAACCCTAGCTCTTCGGAGCCTGAAGCAAAAGGATCGCCCAGAGTCTAAGGCTAGCCTAGACTACATGGTGACTTTCAGGCTAGCCTGGGCAACAGATGGAGGCTCTGTCTCAAAAAAAAAAAAAAAACAAGCTATTCTTACCTTGACGCTATTCAAGATACACTCCATATGTAAGCCATGTTTGATGAGTCTGTGTTTAACAAGCCTATGGCTAAAAGTGCTAGTATTGAGGCCTGTATAGTAAATAGTTCATGCCTGTAATTCCAGCACGTGGGAAGCTGATGAGTTCAAGGCTAGCCTCCAGTACAGAGACGGGGTCTCAAAAACAAAACAAAACAAGTGTTGGCGTTATGACAAACTTATCCTTCTTGATTTTTTTTTAACATTTCTTTCTTTATTATATGTGTATTTGTGTGAGGCACAGGCAGGCCACAATGTGCATGTGTAGGTCAGAGGGCAAACTGTAAGGGCTGCTTCTCTCCTTCTCCCATGGGGGTTTGGGGATTGAACTCAGGTCAGAAGGACGGCAGTAAGCACCTCTGCGCCCGAGTCATCCTGCCAGCCCAAACTTCCCCTTTTAATAGCTGTTCCTAAGGTCCAAGTGCTTGGCCCAAAGCTTGTCATTAGCCGAAGAGTCTAGATGGGGAAGCAGAGTGACTTCAATGTCAGGCTCGGGGCAGGTTCCTCTCTTTCAGTTTTTGTTCCTCTATACGGAAGGACATCTCTCCACATGCAATCATTTCTTTATCCCAAGAAAGCTTCCTGGAAGACACACCCATTAGGATATCCTGACCTCAGAGTCACTTTCCAGAGCCTGACAAGCGTCTAAGTTGCGTTTGTTTGTTGGGTTGGTTGGTTTAGGTTTGGTCTAGTGTTCAAAGTAGGCCGCTGGCCTGCTAGCCTGAGCTTTTAGGAACAGGGGCCCAGTATAGGTACTACACAGAAAATAAACTACAGATGCTGTTACAGCAAGCTATCCTTTTAAGTTATTTATTTTATGTGCATTGGTGTTTTGCCTGCATGTATGTCTGCGTGAGGGTGTCAGATCTCCTGGAACTGGAGTTACAGACAGGTGTGAGCTGCCATGTGGGTGCAGGGAAGTGAACCCAGGTCCTCTGGAAGAGCAGCCAATGCTCTTAACCACTGAGTCATCTCTCCAGCCCTGCTACAACAAGCTATTAATCAAGAAATGGATGCAGATAAGTCAGCCTTCTGCCGATTTTAAAAAAGTGACAATGGTCTCTACAATTCGACTTTGCAGCTAATCCGTCCGTCCGTCTGTCCGTGATCCCCATCAACAGTTACGAGTCAGTCAGGACCTTGGCGGCAGCATGAGGACGATGACTGGTCACTGTGAGTCAGGCAGCACCAAAACCACCGCTGCCATGACTGGCTGAAGTCAGGGTGCAACCAGGGAAGGAGACCAGACAGACAACCTGCACACTCATGGCTATGTTACCACCTCCCACTTAAGACCTGGCCCTGCAGAAACGTTCCCAGGAATCATGGGGGCAGGATCATTTCAACTGCCAGGTTAGATTTATAACATCATGAATTTCCTGCCCCTGCCTAGACAAATTAAGTCGAGTTGTTTAAACACACACACACACACACACACACACACACACACACACACACACACACACACACTTTCTCAAAACCCAATGAGACTATTGTTTTTAAAAAATCAAAACTAGGAAAGAAAAAAGAAAACAGGAGTGGTGGTGCCTGCCTATGACCTCAGCACTTGGGAGGTGGAGGCAGGAGGATTGGGAGATGGAGATCTTGGAGACAGAGAGGGGCTGGGGGAGAGGGAGAGAGAATTACTGGTATATGGACAACATAAAATGTACTCTTGGACCACCAGGTGGCACCATTGATTAATTAACTCCTGAGCATCCTGTCTCTTAACATGAGTAAGGCAAACCAAAGGGAAACGCACCATGTACAACATTAGAGATGTGTAAGGAGAGTTCCTTTTCTACTCACGTAAGGCCCAAGACGAGAGGAGTTAACACTACATCTTCTGGAAGGCCTACATTGTCTACACCAGAGCTTCCAGCAAGCCTGACCACTCCTGATCACAACCAACCAACAACCAACTTCTAAAGAAACCACTTAAAGGTCAATCGTCACTAAATTTCAGTCATTAGTGGAAGTCTAGAACTTTCTGCCTTCAGATGGCCAGAGTCCTAGACTGTGTGCTGAAGCAGTTGGTGGCAGAGCACAGGAAATGAACTTTGGAGGAGTCTCATTCCAGAGTAGAGTGTTCCAAGCTGGAGGAGAAGGCTTACCGCGTTTGTTCAGGTTTCTTCCTTCCTCTATAAATTCGTAGTGAGTTTAGCAAGACCAGCAGAACTACAAGGTCCCAAGAAAGGCTATTTATGCAATAAGCCTATTTTACATAGCCTCACAGTCTGAAAGAAGCAACCTAAAATTACCCTGACTCTCCAAAGAGCCTATCATTTGAAAATACCAAAACGAAGGTCTGCATGTCAAGTTACAAGACGGATTTCTTCAAGGCAGCTTGGAGAGAGACTTATAGGGTGCTTTCCAAGAAATCAGAGGTTAAACTCTTACTTCCCTAGAAAACCAAATACTGCTAAAGGAACTTAGCAATAAAATGCCTCCTAATGACACTCTGTTATATGGATAGATTAGCATCTTGCTTAGCCATCATCAGATTAGCTTCCTCCTGAAGGAGATGGGAACTAACACTAATACCCATAAGTGGACCGTGTGCAGAGAGGGAGATGGGGAGGAGAAGAGAGGTGGAGACCTTCAGAATACTTGATCCTAAATGAGGTATCTTCAAGCCAGGCGGTTGTGGCACATGCCTTTAATCCCAGCATTTGGGAGGC